CAAATGCACGCACGCACGCATACGCACGCACGGACGAATTGTGCTTTCGAGCATGTATCGCGACAGCCTTGCTCAACAAATCCGTTTAGCCGAATTAAAACGTATGCTAACTGATTCCCAATAAATAACATCGGTAATGTTGGTAACAAGAAGCACAAAATCTCTGCGAACCTTTCGAGAACTCGCCAACACCTCGAAACACCTCGTTCCTTGTTCGATCACCCGCTTCGCCTTCAAATTTCTTTATCCTTAGCGACACACGAGCCACTTGCAAACCGACTAACTCTACTTTTCAACATTTTTCCTATGTATAAAACCAGTCAATTTTACCAATTTTGGATCTCATACTCGAAGAAGCCACAGAGAAAAATTTTCTAAAGAATACGTATGTATGCATGTTACTTTCATTACTCTCTGTGGAGTTAGTCGATTTGGCGAACGAACGGGAATCACTACAAAAGAAAACGCGACACTGTGATCAAAATGTTCCCGCGAGGAACGAGACAAGAACGTTTACCAAATTGTTATTTTTTTATGGAGCTGCAGAGAAACGAAACATTACGAAACTATACACGATGCCTTCTCATACGCGTCATATTTTTTCGTTTCGCTGGTATTTCGAACAATTTTACCGCTTTGCTTCCACCCACTCTCGCTACCACTCGTCCCTCGCCCCTCGCCCCACGCCCCGCCGTGTAAACAGAACTCGATCGACCGATATTCCCAGTTTGACTGTTTCATTCGCTACCGGTAAGATAAGTAACGCGTTGATCCACCACGATTCGAAACGCAATCTCATTTATCGAAGAAACAGAGCCTAGAAAGCAGAAAGCAAATGTTCGCGTACCTCGTTTTAGGTCTAAATCGCAAACCGGCTAGTAATAAACTCAATGAATCAGTCCCTGCGTCGTAGACGATCCCATCCATTGGTAACGAAACTATCCGAAATCGAGAAATCGGCATTATTCGCTAGAATATAAGCAACGAGAAGGGAACAATTTGCCCTACGGTAGAAACGTTGCCTGGTAAAGTTGTTTAGGTGTGCTGTTAAGCCCAATTCACACTTGTTCGCTTTGGATGATCATCGATAGTGAACGTGAGATGCTTATTAGTTTTCAAAATGTCCTGATGATTTTGGGCAGAAATGCTCGGCGAAACGTTACCAGCCTTGCAACTCGCGATAAACAACGGGATAATAAAGCAATAAAGAATAGCGCGGGCAGAAAATAATGTTCAGGACTGCGCGTAAACGACCAGCTAAAATTAATATCCTAATTCTGCTTGCTAGATAACGAAACGTCACCGCGCAATCGTTACTCGACACGTTATCGTTCGTTTGCTGCACGAACAACAGAGCGAACAACGCTTTTAAATTGCAATACATTAGCGACGAATTATCAATGCTCGTAAACATAGTGACCAAGAGAGGGCGGTAAGTATCGTAGTACACGTTGAGGATTTCACAATTTCCAAATAGCGATAGAGAATTTCGACAGCATTCGAACGAATCAACGAGTAACGCGATTGCTTTAACGAGGTATTTCGATACGGTAGAAGGTCGATTATCGAAACGCAAGTGTAACGAGCCAACACTCTCTATACTTCGAATTATTAAAATTACACGTTCTATTCGCGATATGAATAATAAAAGAAAAAGTTTCTTTCAAAATTATTTTACTTATTATACACATATTTTGGATTTGTCTCCGTTAGTTCGTATAATCGACGTTCTACTGTATCATTCGCGTATTAGAATCGTACAGAAACTCTTAATAAATTCCATGTTGTGACGTGTTCAAAACCTTGGAAGCGTTTTGAATTCGCTAATGTTATTAAATCTTTTAAGGTTTTCAAACATTTTTATATTCGTATAATATTCGTAATATTTCGAATCACTATTATGACTAAATTGTTGAAAGAAACTTGCGAGAGAGAAAAATTGAATGCTCGTCGATAATTATAATGGACGCACGGAAATGTGAACCATTACACCTCGTTCACACGACACAATTTTTTACCGATTCGGTGATTTTTACCGAATAGATAATAGACTTTACTGTAATAATGTTCCTATTAATGTCAGTATAGAAAGCAATATCGAATCTTACTCGAAAACGGCTCATATTTGCATCAAGTTCAATTATACAAGCTAACCGCTAATTCCAATTTGCTTAAAAATGAAACACTTTTGTTGGTTATTCGTGAAATAAAATTTCCCTAACTCTGTGGACCTGTGTAGACCCCTGCTTTCGCCGAATCAGTCAAGAAACTACATCGTGCGAACGAGTTATTATCAACCGAGTGTTCGGTCGATCATAACGACCCCCGGTACTCTCGAGTGAAACAGTTCATATCAAAGATACATAATCAATATTCTGGTTAAAGGATCCCAGGCGTACAGCGATTCGATTTACCAGTTGCGCGTTGTATGTACCGAATATTTAGTAACGTCCATGACAACTGACAATAACGGCTGTGAGTCCGAAGATGTTTTCTCCGAAGAATATTTCTCATTAAACCAGTCCTGTACACGGTGGAGCCTCTTATACGACTTTGTCTCCCTCTATACATGCTGTACTGAGTTTGCATCGAGCTCGTGTACAGTGGGATCAAAATTAAAAACTGTCATTTGAAAGAAAACTTTTAATCCGGTAACTTTAGGATAAAACTACGTTAGAAGAAATTTTTTGTAGTCCAAGGACTACACGAAGTATACAATTTTCCTATTCGACAAACCACACCGATAGTAAAAAATTATTTTTCAAATCATCGCACAAACGATCGTTTCGAATGACAGCTTTTAACGAATCGGTGCGTATAACACGACACCAGCTACACAATGCTCGCGTATGTACGTACTAAAATGACATTACACATACACAAAGCTTCGAATAGAATTATGCAAATCGTTTCGTTCGACTTGCCTATGCGAACTTCAGTTTATCGAAAATTTCTAGTGGAAGGCGACTATACGAACACGTATACGCGTACACCACGAAAGTAATTTTATTTCAAAGATCACGACAAGATCAACTATTTACAAACCTCTTCGCGCATCTTGCTACGATGCATTCCGTAAACAATATTGTCGATCAACGGATTTGTTCCAGACTGTTCGTATAATCGGTGTCCATGAAGAATTTTAAAGACAGAAGTTACGATTTGTTCGGTCGATGTTACCGGTGCGGTGCATGCGTGTATAACAAATGATTTAGGCCAGGGGTGACGAACTTCTTTTCCGCCGAAAGCCACAAGAATTCCACGATCTCTGTCCCGACTCTGCGAAGTAGCCATATTGGGGACAGTTCTACGCATGCGCGGAACAGAAAAGTAGAGGAGGGGGCTACTCGGTTCGTCACTCCTGTTTTAGGTACTCATCGTGTCCAGCCGAATACGACGATGTATAAAAACATTTGTCGCTTATTTTATGAATAAAGAACACTTCCAATGAAATATGGTTGCGTCGAAACGGGCGATATTAATTTCGATTGATTTAAACGATAAATTCCCAATTCACATTGGGAACATTAACGATTTCGTTCAAAATACATACTTCGTTTTATTTAGAAAATGTCGCTCGACGACGTAACCATACGCCAAGCGAATCCCATAGAGCAGCTTTAAACGTTAACGAAGGTTCGATCGTAAAATCGACTGACCAGCAGAGCTGGGTGAATCGTGTTTGAAATTACATAAAAAGACAACAATTTCAAATAACACACCAGTCTTTTAATTGCAATAATGTCGTTTGAAATTCTAATTCGTTGCTTCTGATTCGCTTAGTTACGAAATTGCCCAGATCTGTTGATCGGAAACGTGAGCTTTTGGCGGGATTTTTTGGCGGGATTGGCGATTCGCCCAGAATCGAATACGCTTGCAATGAACTATTTTTTTACGAGGAAAGAAAAGAAAAAAAAAAAATCATGATCTGACCTGAAACCCTGTAATCCGCGTAGCGAAAAAAACTAGCCTCTTTTTGAAACGTATCGTTTAATTCCTGGAACCGCAGCAACGTCGTATACGTCTATTGTGATTATTCGAGTATCTCACGGTCCCACGAACGAATCAAACGGTCATTTTTTTTCTGATAACTTTGAATAAATATTGTATTGGAAATAACAGTCGCTACACCTACGTACGTAATTGTCATTGATTGTGATTGTTTCGTTCGATTATACATACTTTAATCAAGTTATTTCAATGATTCGATTGCCATTTGTATAGTTTACTTGTGTAAGCGAGCTATACAGTGTACAGTTATTGTACCAACGATTACTACTGGAACTTGTCACGCAATGACTATGAATTATTCTGTATTATTATAAAATATATCGTTAGTTTTCATGCGAAACGATTAAACACGAGGACGGTGGGGAGATAAAAATTGTAACATATTTGTTGATGGCCAATATCAAATATGTATAAAAGTAATAATAATGCAACATTACTAATAAACAAATATTACTAACTTCTTTGTTAACTTAATATCCTACTTACGATACAAATGCCTTTCCTGCTTAATTGTACACGTCGATTGACACGTTCCCGCCAAATCTATGTCAACGAGAGGTTAACGTTGTGCTCTTACACGATTGGAAACTGTATAATCTAACCAAATAACTCTAATCAAATGACTTTGTACATATATTTTCGAAGAAAAATTAGTAAAACTAGAACAAGTTTAATAAACCAACCTTTTTGGATTCGAAGAATCAAACTATAAAGAAGTATTGCCAACTGTCCGAACTTTAGCTTGAAGTTAGTTTCCATTAATTTTAAAACATTTCTTTTTCTTTTTAAATTAATACAAGTAACTTTTGTCTTTGTTTCTGTTTTTAATGAATTTATATAAACTAGAATAAGGATAATGAACATAATCTTACGTTTTGTTTAAATTGTTTCCTTACATTATTAGTCCCTTCGTTAAGTATAAAAACGTAAGTGTGCAAGTTTTACTTCGAGCCACTGTATCTTCGACGTACGTTATAGAGTAGTGAGTATTTAAATATGAAAACATATGCATGGTTGTACTGAACACGTCGGTTGATAATGTCGCGAAATCGTTAGTTCACGTGAAATAGATCTGTTAATAATTACATCGTTAAAGAATGCCAAAACGGCCGTGTATGTTCGAAGACGATTTACCACCCCAACTAAAGATACATGTAGGTCAAAAACAAGTTGACAACGGTGTTTGCCGAGAGGAACGAATGAAAACTGTTTACGGTACAAAGGTTATAAAAATAAGCGAAGCGAACTTTCTTATTGAACTTGTTTGTTTCCATGCAGGTAGAACAATGGAGTTATTAAAAGACGGTGTGAAATCATTATCGCGCAAATTGAACGAATCTATGGACATGAATCTCGATATACTTTCACCGAAAGCATCGTCCTCTTGCAAAATCAAACAAGAACGTAATTCGAAACAAATGGTACTGAACAGTAAGTTAGAATTATTGAAAACAGATGAAGCTATAAAAGTAAGTTATTTTTTTATCAACAGTATATACTTCGTTTAAATTACATCCTCGTAATAATGTTTCCAATTCTTAAACATTGGTTATTTTATTCTGTCTATGAATTTTATAACAATATAAAATTAATAACTTGTATTTCACATGTTCTTTTAAGGATGATCGACCCAAGTATGATCTTTGTGACTGTAGTAGAGTAATAGACCAAACTATGTTTAATAAATGTTCTTACTGTGATCAAGTCTTGTGTAATTATTGCCTGTTTGAATGCACTGGTTGCACACAATTATTTTGTCAAAACTGTTCATTGCCTGTGTAAGTTACGAGCTTAATATGTTTACGTTGTTTCAATACCTTAAAGCATTATGGTTTTATTTCTGTTCATTTAATTCCAGGTATGATTACGAAGAACGAAACAAGTGCCTCAATTGTTACAAATAAAATTATATTTTATACAATCTCTTCGCAACCTATATATATATTATAAGTTTTTGTATTATGCATGCAGTTTTGTTAATTTAAATAAAGAAACTGAAATTACATTGTTTTATATGATTTAGAAGAAATTATTCCCTCCTTCTACAAAATAAGAGGATTATTTCATAAATACTTGATTCCATTTATTTTCAATTATAATGTCTGTTTCCAAAACGATTTTTTAATTTATAAAGAACATAATCGTTTCACTCTTCTTTCATGTTTTTAACGGTAAAGTCAAATTTACTTTATTAACGTTGCAACAATATTCGAAAAAAGTTATGATGGTCAACTCACTAGGACGAAAATAATAGGAAACAAAAGAATATCGTTGTTACTGAATTCCATCGAAATGGTAAAATTTAGGAAACTATATAGCACGAAGTATCAAAATTTCAATGTATTCAAAATGATCCAGAAAATCAATAATCATTTATAACGAATTTTATCTCTGTAAACGAATAAAGGAATCGTAACGATCTCTTAAAATTATAGATACATACATTAATCTGACGATTATCTATTTAATATCGTACATCCCACGTGTGACGTCTTAAGATTCCAAATGACAGAAAGTAAGTCAGTTATTTAAGAAACAAAGTTTTGTCTTAAACAGAAAATGTTAGGAAGAATATATTCATTACACGTTTCGTATTGTATACAGATACTGCATATGCAACATATTTTGAACATTAAATTTTTCCATTTTCTTTGTTTACGTAAAACATTCGTTAATCTAAATTCAGAAATTCGTTATTCGTAAGTTAATGTAATAAACTGAATATTATTGTTTATTTCATTATAAACGTTCTTTTCTATTTAGACATTAGAATGGTTAAAGAGAAGAAAGTGTTGAAGTTAACAGCAAAGGTCAAGACTGATAAAATTATTAATATAACAAAGAGGACTACAAGCATGGTAAGATAATGTTTTGAAAAGTTCCATTATTAAACAGACTAATCCTAATGATTAATGTAATATGCATTTTCAGAATATGAAAAAAAAACAATCATGCGGCACATTACAGCATAAGAAGAAGGCAAGTTTGAAAAAAAATAGAAAACAAAGCAAAGCAACAAAACTGCATAAGATTCTTTCAAACAAGCAGCTAGAAAATAAAGAAGAAATGTGTAAGAATCAAATTCAAAAATTGAATCAGATTTTACAACAACCTTTAGAACAACCAATGCTTACAAAGGATGAATTAAAACTATTATTCGTGAAATATAAATTAGATGGACATTACAGAACTAATGAGAATTTACCACCTTTTGCAACTCTTTTGGATAATATGTTTGATACAATTAAAGAAAGTGATTTTCTTTATAATAAAACACAGTATACAAACATTCCTAATGTACAAAGACCAGAATGTAGAAGCAACCAAGATACATTCAGAAATTCATATCTTGATTCTGGCAGTGAAAGTGAATATACCAAGGACAACTTAAGCATGTACAGAAATGTACAGCAGACTTTGAAGCAAGAGACATGGAAGCCTAAAATAAATCAATGGAAAAATAACATGGATGATAGAAATAAATACCTTTATGCTGAAAGAAGTCCTACATTCGATCCCAATTATAATTATACACTAACAAACCATAATATACAAACATGTAATGACAGAACTGTATTTACAGACATACAAAATATTGGTCAATCAGAATTAGATTTAAATGTTAATAAGGTTTCTAACACGGAAGGAGAATTTTTTTCACACAATTTAATTAATGGATATAACAGTCATTTGGAGGGGCATCAGAATATAGGATATGCAAATAAAAATTTAATCTTGAATGTATCTGATTCGCCTTTACAATATGAACATTTACAGAACAACAATGAATTTACAAAGCAAAATGATACACACTGTGCAGCCCAATATAAAGATTTATTGTTAAATTCAAACCTTTACGATTTTCATTTGAAAGAGTGGGATAAAAATACATCCCTGATAAACAGAAACAGCAACTATGAATCATGTAAGAGTGAACAATCGATTTCAGTTCCTCAAGCCAGTAATTTGAAATTCTATCATAATGTGAAAAATTATTCAGAAGAAGATATGTTCAATCCACACGTTCATAGAAATGTGTATCCTTTCGTAAATAATGAACACTTGGTGTATGCTGCTAACAATAATAACATTAATGTTCAACAAGATTTTAATACTTACCCCTCCAACACAACTGCTATATCTGAAAATTGTCTTCCACAAGCAAATTCAGTTCTACCATATGCTGTCATAAATTAATATATGCAAGGCACTATACAAAACTTGTGATCTAAATCTATGTCAAATTTTCTACTTTTGTTATAAGTATTTCTTTTTAAGGTTTTATAAAAATATAATACTAAATTGCTTATAACAAAATCACCATATATATTATATATTATATAAAATATTTACTATACATTAATATATGTTAAAGATGTGGCACAAGCAATATAAGTATATACACAAATATTATATTTTCTCCTGTGAAAGTTCAAAAATATTTAATTGCTGTAGCATGTACAACGTACCAGTTTATGTTTTAAGGATATTTATAATAGGTAAAAAGTACAACCGAATTTGATTATTTTAACTATTTTGTTACAGTCTATTGTTTTCACTTATAAATGGCATGAACTATATTTAAGAGTCTTAACTATAATTTAAACAAGCTACGAAAAATTGATGCTTATAACAAATAAACTATATATATTTTTTTAATAAATTATATTTATTAACTAATTAAGTCTTTTATATGAACATGAATTGAAACATGGTCCCTGTAAACTTTTTACCTATATATCACCTTCCATAATACTTTCTGTGTCTCGTAATATTTTCTTCGCGAAATAATAATTGCATTTTGTATGTAAAATGCATTAAGTACAAAACATACAGTAAAATATACAAAAGTGTCAATAATTCCATTTCAATTAAATAAAAGACATAAATATCACAATACTATTATTGTAGTTTATGTAAAAGAAATAATGCAAATTATAATAAAAGCACCATTATAATTCTTTTCGACATTCACCTTGATTTTTTCGTAACATTGATTCTCAGTTAAAAATTACAGACCGAATTAATTATGAAAAATTAATTCCTGGCAAAAAATGGAATATTCGTAAAATGTAAAATCATTACGTCAGTGGCAAAACATACAGGGTGTTCGGCCACCTCTAGCAAAAATTTTAATGAGCGATAGTACAGGCCAAAATAAGACGAAAATCAAGAATACTAATTTGTTGATGGAAGCTTCGTTAAGAAGTTATTAACAATTAAATTCAAAAATTTCAAATCGTTCTGGAAAAATTATTTTCGTTTGCGGGGGTCAACTACAATCATTTTTGGTGAGTACACATACCTTCGAAATCCTATCTACTTTCGAGAAAAAAAATCGAGTAGGTGTTGAAATTTTTCGGCGAAAAAAAATTTTTTCAAATCGTTCTAAAAAAATTATTTTCGGTTGCGGGGATCAATTACAATCATTTTTTTATCATTACACATACCTCCGAAATCGTACGCACTTTCGAGAAAAAAATTCCTTACTGAAAATCCAATTCGGTGCCTAAATTTTTCAACGGAGAAAAAAAATTGCAAATCGGTTGTGGAAAAATTATTTTCGGTTGCGGGGGTCAATTACAATCAGTTTTTGTCATTAGACACACCCACGAATTCCTGCCCACTTTCGAGAAAAAAAATAGAGAAGGTGTGAAATTATTCGAGAAAATTAAAAAATTGCAAATCGTTGTGGAAAAATTATTTTCGGTTGTAGGGTTCAATTACAGACATTTTTGGTGAATAGACATACCCCCGAAATCTTGCGCATTTTCGAGAAAAAAATTCAGTAAGGGCGGCACTTTAAACGTTAATAACTTTTTAACGAAGCTTCCATCAACAAATTGGTATTCTTGATTTTCGTCTTATTTTGGCTTCTACTATCGCTCATTAAAATTTTTGCTAGAGGTGGCCGAACACCCTGTATATAGGCGAGCGAAATATTTTATGAAAGACATTCTTACAAGTTCTAAAGGATTCTATGTTTTGTATGGTGTATTTAAGGGTTGTATTACGTTTGTATGGTCCTTTACGTTTTTGCGATATCCAGAGAAATCCGTTACCGGATCAATTTCGTCTACATCATCACCGAGTAGTCGACCCTCCACATCGTCTTTAGATCTTCTGAACAGCCTGTAATTAAATTTTGTAATACAAAGACATTGTCAAACTACTTTGAAAAATACTAAAACATCGATATATAGCGAAACACGTATTACCTTGTTTAATCTTTAAATGAGTTTGTTTTCAATTCATAATATTAGATATAGTATTATTAATAAGTAACCATTGCAGTATCATCTAACAATTCAAATACCTATGTACCAAATATTTGTGAAAAGCAATAGAGAAAGTGAACATATGCTCATACATATCATATTAAACATAAACCATCCCAGTAGCTAAATTAGTTACAACCTACTTCATACGTAAATACTACTTGCTGAAAGCAAATAGAAGCAGGCAAATTGTCAAAGTAGCATAGATAAGAAGAAAGTATAATTACGAAACATTTCTCTTTTAAGGAAAAGGAAGATTTACAAGTGGTGCTTCCTGAAACATTGCTTTAACATTATAAACCTCCGAAAAAATTAAGATTATTAACATACATGTATAATACAGAAAACAGGTATTGCAAATACGTGCAAAAAATATGTACAAACCACAAAACCAAACGATGAGCAAATCTTCAGGATCAGGTCACGTGTCTAGCAGGTAACATGTCTATTGAAAAAGTGTAAGTATTTATTTACAAAATTTCTTTGTACAATAATTGAAATAGACATACGACGATAGTTAACAATAACCAATATTCCTTCTCTAACATTACATCAACTATTTTACATTTAATACAATATTTACAATTTGTTTTGTTAAGATTAAAAATATGAAATGGCAATTGTCCCTGTAAATTATCTACAATTCTTTAAAAAAATGTATTATTTTCCAAAACTGCTCTTCCTTCTATTAAAATATTTTGTTCAGTCTTATATTATGTTTTAAGTTATGATAAACTTTTGTTCGTTAAAATCGAAATAAATGTCGCATACAGTAAAAGCTGCTTTAAGTTCACGAGTTATTTTATTCGCTTGCAAGATGACCTAAATTCCGATTCAACAAAGAAAGAGTTATTTAAACCGCTAACCAGATTACAACTGAGTTAGTAGTATTACGTACTATTGTTAATTAGTTAAATTAACAATTTGTAATATCCATGTTAGTATAATACAATATCAATAATGTAAATGATAAACAACAAGCGCGAAAGATCAAACAAAGCCAAAACTTGGATGTTAGTATTTTTACAATTAAGGAGATAACAACGCCTTTTGGTGTTACGATAATTGTACTGTAATTCCATCAAGCAGTAGGGTTATTACAATTCCGTACATATTTTGAAAACATTGTAGTCGTTTGAGCGTACCTGGACAGCGTCGAGGTAGATCTATGCATAATTGGTATTACAGAATCATCCAAACCACGATGAAGGGATATCGTGTCTAAATCGATCATTCTTGCCGTGGAATGAGCGTGCATCGCTGTTAAATACTCGGGAGTTTCTAAAGTAGCCTTTGTTGGTTTACGATATCTGTACAAATACCAGAATATAATACCAAACGCGCTAAACGCCACTCCTTCGATACTTACAATTTCAACAATAAAGAACTTCCAACTACAGAGACCGAACTCAAAGCCATCGCCGCCGATGACATCCACGGTTGTAAAAAGAATCCAAAAGAACTGAATATTCCAGCAGCAATAGGAATACCTAGTAGATTATAAACACTGGCAAATAAAAAATTCAGTCTTATTCGACGAACTGTTTTCCTAGACAGGTCCAGACACGCAATAACGTCCAAGAGATCGTTCTAAAGGAATTATTGTTAAGTATTAAATTTAACATTTCAAGTCAGACTGCTTAAACGAGATAAGTATTTGTCTCAACCTACACGCATGAGAACTACATGGGCAGCTTCCACAGCAACGTCCGTGCCAGAGGAGATCGCGATACCAACATCTGATTGGGCAAGAGCAGGGCTGTCGTTGACACCATCTCCTACCATTGCAACTCTCAAGCCTTGGCTTTGTAAACGCTGAATTTTTGCAACTTTGTGCGAAGGTAATACTTCTGCAAACACTCTGGTAATACCAACCTATACAATATATAGAAGTACATATCTATAATCTCCACTGCAGATTTTCAACCGAAAGTAATCCAATAGCTGTTTACCTGTCTGGCAATAGAGGCGGCAGTCTTCCTATTATCACCTGTTAAAAGAATTACTTCTAAACCCATCTTTTTTAAAGTATAAACTGCCAGATGGGCTTCCGGCTTGACCGTATCAGCTACACTGATCATAGACACTAATACATTATTTATTGCTGCTAAGACCGTAGTACGACCTAAATCTTCCTCGCTAGTCATTCTCGCTTCCACCTCTTGCGGTATATTTACTGCGTTTCTTCGCATCCATTCCCTGTTACCGATGCATATTTCGTACACATCGTCGGGACTGGTTTGGTCACCGTGGAAATCGGGACTCAACAATAATTCTAGATTTAAATTTTGTCTTTCTTGGCTCATGCTCGGGATCGACAACACGTCGATAGGCACATTGTTTAAATTATACGTTCCGGAAGACAATGTTTTCGCCTGATTCACATAGTTGACGATCTTTTCTGATTTTAAAGCATCGTTCAATGTAGCAGAGATGTGCGACACTTTGCACTTGAGACCACAACCGGCGACCGCCTGGAAGTTGGAACACTTTCCGGCTGCTTCGGAGTCAATCGTTTCCTTTACGTAACGAACAATTGCTTGGAGAAAAAAGAAAAACATGTTATTAAAAACTACGCGAAACACGATATCGTTTAACCATTAAAACTCACCGGACGCAATTGGATGCTCGCTATTCGTTTCAGCCGTACAAATGATAACTAATAATTTTGCTAACGAGCAGACTCTTTCATTCACGAACAAACTTATTTTTGTTACCATTGGCATACCGTGTGTTATCGTTCCAGTCTTGTCAAATACAATGCACTTAACTTTGTGTGCATTTTCTAACGGTTCAGCACCTTTGATCAAAATACCGTTCAGTGCACCAATACCGGTACCGACCATAACAGCCGTTGGCGTGGCCAATCCTAATGCACATGGACAGGCTATCGCCAATACAGAGAGAGCGTTTTGAAAAGCATACTGGAATATGGTCTCCTCCCTGTTCATGCTGTGTTTATTAATGTAACCGTTGTGCGCGATCGGCAATTGATCTATATTTAAATATCCAACTATTATCCAAACGATTAAAGTCACTATAGAGACAGCTATAACGAGGGGAATAAAGTAACCCGCTATTTTGTCGGCCAAATGCTGAATAGGCGCTTTATTCGTTTGTGCCTCTTCTACTAATCGAACGATTTGTGCTAATGTCGTGTGCTCTCCCGTATGAGTAGCAGTAATCATAAGCGGACCATTTTGATTTATCGAACCGCCGATCACGATCGATCCCTTCTTCTTTGGTACGGGCATACTTTCTCCCGTTATCAGACTTTCGTCGCATGTGGAGTGCCCTGACAAGACTCTACCGTCAACGGGAACTTTGGCACCTTGCACTACCTTCAATATGTCCCCTCGTTGCACCAGATCTATACTGATCAAACGTTCGGACAATATTTCGTTGTTCGGACCTAAGGTAACTAAAACTGCATCCGTTGCCTTCAGCGACAATAACTTCGACAAGGCCTCCGAAGTTTTGCCCTGGAAAGATTGATTACTTAATAAGACACCCAGTCACGTTCCAAATAGTACTCGTAGATAAATATTCCAACCTTCGCAACGTGCTCCAGCCATCTTCCTAAACTGATAAACACTAACAACATCGGAGGAGTATCAAAAAATGTCTGTGGGCTAAAGGATTCTTGCATCACCATGGCCGCTGTAAGTACGGCAACCGAGTACAAATAAGATATCGTGGTGGTCATAGAAATTAAAACGTCCATATTGGTTGTACCGTGTTTCAAAGCTTTGTAAGCTTGAACGTAAAAATGCCAGCCGCCGAAAAACTATAAATATCGTTCGAAATCAACAAACGGTTAGCAATTATTGGGAGTACAAATTTGTTCGGTCCGTTTTGAAAAGATGACTCTGACTGTTATGTGTGTTTCATAGCGACAGCTGATTTCGGTTGTTTCAGAGAAGTTAGACATCTACCAATACTATTCAATGTATGTCGCTTTGAGTTTCATACAAAACTTTTGTTTTTTACTGTAGAAGTTTATGGTGACAATGCTCCAACTGATAAATCATGTAGGGAATGGTCTCGACGTTTCAAGAATGGTGATTTCAGCGTTGAGGACAAGCCTCGCTCCGGACAGCCAAAAAAATTCGTAGATACAGAATTGGAGGCATTACTCGATGAAGATCCGAGTCAAACGCAAGAGGAGTTACGCAACAAGCAGTTTCCGTACGATTGAAATCCATGGGAATGATTCACAAGCAAGGCAATTGGGTGCCTTATGAATTGAAATAGAGAGACGTTGAAAGGCGATTTTTCGCCTGTGAGCAGCTGATTCGAAGGCAACAAAGAAAAGGTTTTTTACGTCGAATTGTAACTGGGGATGAGAAATGGATATTCTACGATAATCCCAAGAGATCCCTGGTCAATCGTTGCCATCGACCTCAACATCAACGAGATGGAATTCGAAAATTGCCTGAGAGGTGGGGAAAAGTAGTAGCCAGCGATGGACAAAACTTTGATCAATCTGTTCATTGATTTTTTTATGGAATAAATGCATCCTTGACTACAAAAAAAAACAGATCGAACTAATTTGTACTCCCAATACGTCCACGAGACAGTATTTATAATTACCTGTACAGGCGTAGAAAATATAAAAAGAATTAAGTTCTCCCAAGAGAGACCAGGTATCACGCAACACATGTCCTTGTGTGATTTATCGCCGGCGGACATAACGACCATAAAGTACGTCATGGCTATCATGCACGGTATGCCAAAGATTAGAGACACCAGAAACGCTGTTCGCCATTTGTTTATTTCTTCTCTATGAAAATAAAAAGTGGGATATGTAGATGCTACACGTCTTACTGTCCTAGTTTTAATACGAACAAAGTATTTAGTGCTTACTTCTGATCCAAATAGTCCCTGTTTTCTTTATCCCTGTTGCTGAACAACGTCGCCGTGAAACCCAACTTGTTGATGCATTCGATGATGTCTCTGACGCCAATTTTCTCCACGTCGTATTTGAATTTACCACGTTGAGTAGCCAGCGCGACCACAGCCGAATGAACGCCTGGCAGCTTTTTCACGGTCGATTCTATCTTATTTACGCAAGACGTGCACGTCATACCTGTGATCTAAGCCGTAAAATAAAATCGTTATACGAGAGTCGGCCTGTTAGAACTCGTTGTCGACATTGCTTACTTTTAATTCAGCCTCTCCTTCGCCAGTCCCCGGTTCCTCGATCAAAGTAGTAGGGAAGCCCAATTCGGATATGCTGGAGGCAATATCGGCTGCTCTTATTTTCTCTGGGTCGAACGTGACCTCTGCCTTGGCGGCCATCAACGCCACCAAAATATTGTTTACGCCGTACAACTTTTTACAGTGCTTTTCTATGGCAGCAACACAGGAAGCGCAGGTCATTCCCTATGGAAAACGATCAGAATTAATGATAGCTCAAAGCGTTGTACGATAAACGCGAGTCATTCTTCGCTCACCGTAATGTGCAGGAAACATTTTGCTACTTTATCGTTAACATTAACGTCGCCGGCGCCGTTCAGCTGCAACGAAACTTCCCCGTATTTGACATTATTATTCTTGGACACGATCGTCACCGCTGTCTCGAGAACTTTGCCGTTCACTTCCTTGACGAATGCATCGAAACCGATCTCCTCGATGCACCGTGCTATCTGCTCAGCCGTAATATCGTTGGTATTGTAAGAGACTACAGCTTCCTTGTTCTCTAAGCTGACGTTTACTTTCCTTATTTCCGGCTTCTCCGACAAAACGCCTGCGACAAAGAGAAAGAGGTGCATAAATCGTTTACGTTGAAAATTTACCGTACGAACCAGGGTTTAGGATTTTCACCTGTGATGCTTTTCACGCAAGACGCGCAAGTCATTCCGTCGACGTGTATGCTGCAAGTACCGATGCTGGATTCTAACGGAGAACCGTTCCGTTTACTGTCGTCACGGTTGCTATCGTCCTGGTGCAAAGAAGCCACGAATCCCATGTCCTCTATGGCTTCGATCAATTCCGCGACCGTGATCTCGTTCGCTCTGTACTCGATGTAACCGATCCTCTCTTCTAGAACGACCTTGATATTCACGATCTCCGATCGGCTGCCTATGGTTCCCTCGATGTTCTTCACGCAGCTTTGGCAACTCATACCCTCGATGTTAATCTTCACCGTGGAAACGGGACTCGAGGAATCATTGTCCTGTGTTCGTGGAACGCGGACCAGGTGCGTCGTACCCTCGTAATCATCGTCGTCGTCGTCGCCACCCCTAAACAATCCACGACGATATTTTTTTAACTCAATTTCTCTTTGTTGTTCTTGACCAATGTTTCGTAAAAAATTCGTAAATAATGGAAATACGTGTATATTTATTACTTTTTACTATTACAATTTTCGTTAATTGAAATAAGTTTTATCTGGTTGGTAAAACTTTACCCTTTAAATTTGCAATCGAGAACGGTATACGTTATCCGCCATCGAGTATCGTGCCGCAGATAAGGGCCCCGTGAATATGAATCGCTTATCAGTAACTTTACATACGCGAAGAAAAACAATTGCTCGTTATCGGTTAACGTTTAGCTTCGAAACCACGCTACGAATACCAAGGCACGATCGCGGAAACGCGTTCGTTTCCTCCTACGTCGGTTACTCGATCGGCCAAACGTTAAACAACACGATTTTCTTTAATCCGTACGAATATTTCGTATCGAGACGCGTACCCTCGAAGAGGAAACATTTTCATGCTTGTACATGCATATAATAATAGCCATTACGTTTCCCAAACGTAATAAAGCTTTCTGTGAAACGTTTTTTTACTAGATGCTTCCGTTGAAACTATCGCTCCATTGAGATCGAAGTTCAACGATAAGATTACTTCGAGAAATGCAGTTGTTAACTCGACCACCAAGATCTTGCTGAGTTTCTAGTTTATTGCAATATAATATGATAAAAATTGGGTTTATTTGCTCCATCGAACGAAATCGTGGCGTAGATCGTTTAAATGATATTCTATTTTGCGCGTAACTATCGAATGTACAACGTTTTAGCTAAGTGGCCTGATACAGTGTATTTACGCTTACACTTTGCCACGAATAATCGATAGAACGGAATTACTTGCTCCGATGTTAAATAACGAAAAGATGTAGAAAAGATATCGTCAAAGCTAGAACATTTATAGCGGGTGGAAGTACGTTCCGGAGAGTCCTTGAAGCTTACCAGAGATTATCCATCGTACCGTAAGTTCCATTGATCAGGGGTCGCCTATCCTCGTCCATTTTCAACGAAAACTAACGCGCTTCTAAAGCGACTCTATAGTGATTTCGAATTTTCCACGGTCGCCTAGAGATTTGATAAGTGCCACGAGCCGTTAATAGAAACCGGCGGCAAGTACACGGTTATGTATATCGAGAAGAACGAACGTTCGCGAACGATAGACTACAGAGATTATGTTGTTCCGATAAATGTTTATGAAACGGGATATTACATCGTTGTTATCTGCGACGTGAAATAAGTTTATTAATTCGAGCACGCCGCGGTACAGCGGTGAGGTTTATGGACGACGCGCGTAACGATCGCGACAGCTCGACGAGGTTCTTCCGTAGATCGCCGGAGTCTGAAGGATGCAAAGGTTTGGGGACGAAGAAACACGTGTTCGTTGAAATCGAGGCACCGATTTCTCGGCCACGGGACGTAAAACCGCGTGGTGCTCCGCTCGATTTGATATCACTGACCGACTGATAACTCGTGTAATCGCGTGGTCCGTGCTCTCGTGTCTTTTTGCTCACGGCACTCATAAGGACTAACCCAATTCTACACGCATAATACAGTTGCACACGGCCGTTTCTCGCGCGCCTCCGCTTCTAGATCCGATCGAGCGCTCGAAAAGTAAACATCTCGTGAAAATAACGGAACAACGATGGTTTAGAAAGGAAAACGCATCGTTACACTTTCTGCCCGCGACACGTTCCTCGATTTACGTGCATGGATCTGTTGGCTATATCCTCTTGCTACATCATTTATTCTTTCCTTTTAAAAACCTTCGTTATTTACCAACAAGGACCAATTTTCACCTCCGTTCGATCCGATTAATTCGCGTCACTGTCGTTCGCATTTTCGGATCGTTGGAATTATTTTAATGCACCGGGCGACGCAAATGAAATTTCCACCGGTGTTTGATCGACCGCTTAAGCTATTAATCAACGTCAGTTTCGTCAACATCCGTTGATTTATAACGCGGTTACGCGCGTTTCAATTGCAGCTGGTGGTTGATCGACTAAAATTCAGTTAAATAGTTTTAACAATTACGACGATATAATATGATGCGTAGAGTTAATATATTAATATTTATAAAATATTTAATCGAAAGGTTTCGGATATCGCAAGTACGATAAAAGTACTGACCCGATCAGCAGTTTCATGCCTTCGTTCGCGGTGTGTTCGCGAGCACGCAACCAAGAGAAAGATCCTCCTCGAAAATTAAGCGAAATACGTCGCACGGATTTCCCTCGGTGCACCGAAGGCACAGCGTGTCTCGTCGTTCCGGTTCGATTCATTCTTCGTGATCCTTTGGAAACCTTCCGGCATCGATTGCTCGTTACCGTGTAACCGGCGACGCGAGACTGATTCGGGACACGTTGCACAGCCGACGGAAATCTCGCAGGATTCGAGATCGTTAACGAAACACTCGAAGTAAAGAACGGCTGTTCTCGGTTTGTCGTCCCTTTTGCACTGTACGGTCGACGGAACGAACTATACCGTCTGCCCCTGCTGTTTCTTATTTGCTCAAACGTTTTAATGTTGCGGAAATAAAGTTGCACTCGTCTCGTTCGCCGAGACAATTACGAACAATTGTCTCCTGTTCAATGCAAGGCTTTAATTAAATATATAAAACTATTTAAAGTATACGTATACAGGGTGTCCGGCCAACCATGGGAAAAATTTTAATGGGAGATTCTAGAGGCTAAAATAAGACGAAAATCAAGAATACTAATTTGTTGATGAAGGATTCGTTAAAAAGTTATTAACGTTTAAAGTTCCGCCCGTATTGAATTTTTTTCTCGAAAATGCGCAGTATTTCGGGGGTATGTCTATTCACGAAAAATGATTGCAATTAACCCCCGCAATCGATAATAATTTTTCCAAAACGATTTGAAATTTTTTTTTTCCATCGAAAAATTTCACACCTCGAATTTTTTTCTCGAAAATGAGCAGGATTTCGGGAGTATGTCTATTCACGAAAAATGATTATAATTGACCCCTGCAACTGAAAATAATTTTTTTACAACGATTTGAAATTTTCCAATTTCGCCGAAAAATTTGTCCACTTTCCTGAATTTTTTTCTCGAAAGTGGGTAGGTTTTCGGGGGTATGTCTATTCACCAAAAATGATTGTAATTGACCCCCGCAATCAAAAATAATTTTTCCAAAACGATTTGAAATTTTTTTTCCCCTCAAAAAATCTCACACCTTCTCGAATTTTTTTCTAGAAAGTGGGTAGGATTTCGGGGGTATGTCTATTCACCAAAAATGATTGTAATTGACCCCCGCAATCAAAAATAATTTTTCCAGAACGATTTGAAATTTTTTTTTCCCTCAAAAAATCTCACACCTCCTCGAATTTTTTTCTCGAAAATGCGCAGTATTTCGAGGGTATGCCTATTCACCAAAAATTATTGTAATTGACCCCCGCAATCAAAAATAATTTTTCCAAAACGATTTGAAATTTTTTTTCCCCTCAAAAAATTTCACACCTTCTCGAATTTTTTTCTAGAAAGTGGGTAGGATTTCGGGGATATGTCTATTCACCAAAAATGATTGTAATTGACCCCCGTAATCAAAAATAATTTTTCCAAAACGATTTGAAATTTTTGAATTTAAATGTTAATAACGTTTTAACGAAGCCTTCATCAACAAATTGGTATTCTTGATTTTCGTCTTATTTTGGCCTCGAGAATCTCCCATTAAAATTTTTCCCAGGATTGGCTGAACACCCTGTATATACGTATCGAAAAACACTTGGGAAATTTCCATCGAACTGAAACTCTTGGAAAAATTGGCAAACAACGTTCCTCTTCTTAATTTCTCTTCTTCCGTAGCGTTAAGATATGCAAATGATACTTTTCCATCGATATCTGTTTGTTTTAGCGTAACTGTAGTAGCAATACTTGATTGTAAACTCACGTCACACCTCGATACCTCGCCAGTTGAAAATCACTGGGCTAGATCAATCGAATCGCTTAACTCTCCTTTCCAAAGCCTGGACCTTGAAAATGGCTGCCATTGGCTAACACTTTCACAAAAAACACACTGAGGAAAGCTACTTCTGGTAGTAACGTTAGACGGACACATCCTCTATTGATCGAAACTTTTATTAATCACTGTGTACCTTCCGGTCATAATATAAAAGAAACATTTCTTCGAGTCGTCTCTCTCGTTTCAACGGGTGTTTATCTGTTCTTTTCTCGTCATTCGCGATTACATTATTTTCTGCTTTCTACTTTCAATGGAAATTAAGCGCAACCTGTTGAATTTCACGAGCACTTTATATTCAGATATTTAACTGTTGTACCGCGTGCGTCCGTTGTTGTATAGAACTGCTTCGAATCGACGATAATTTAATAAATCGTTAGTTATCTTGCTTCCTCGTATTCCTCTTGACAAGCCACATTTATTAGAAACATGAAACAATAAGCTGACCCAAATCAAAAGACACTAGACTTTGTGTGGTTCGTATAAAAGTATCGTCGATAACGAATGAAAGTGTTCATAGTAGAACGAGTTTATAGCTTGCGTCGCGCGATAATGAAACACGTTCAACGGTTAGACGTTACGAAGAAAATGGGAGTTTCGACGGGGCCAGATACCGCTACACACGGCTTGGCTGAATATCACGTCGACGAGGGAGAAAGGTGTGCTCCAGTTATGTATATCCGACAGAATGAATTCAAACGTAAGACAAATCCGACTACTTTCAATTTATTTAATATACAGGGTATACGACCACCCCTGGGAAATATTTTAATAAGAGATTCTAGAGGCCAAAATAAGACGAAAATCAAGGATACCAATTTGTTGATCGAGGCTTCGTTAAAAAGTTATAGAAACATTTCCGGCCACACGGTATATTTTTGGTAAAGAATTTTTTTCTCGAAAGTGCGTAGGATTTCGGGGGTATGTGTATTCACCAAAAACGATTGTAATTGACCCCTGCAACTGAAAATAATTTTTCCAGAACGATTTGAAATTTTCCAATTTCACCGAAAAATTTGTCTATTTTCCTGAATTTTTTTCTCGAAAGTGCGTAGGATTTCGGGGGTATGTGTATTCACAAAAAATGATTATAATTGACCCCTGAAACTGAAAATAATTTTTTTACAACGATTTGAAATTTTTTTTTTGTCCACCTTCCTGAATTTTTTTCTCGAAAGTGGGTGGGTTTTCGGGGGTATGTCTATCGACCAAAAATGATTGTAATTGACCCCTGCAACTGAAAATAATTTTTCCGAAACGATTTGAAATTTTTTTAATTTAATTTTGTTAATAACTTTTTAACGAAGCCTCGATCAACAAATTGATATTCTTGATTTTCGTGTTATTTTGGCCTTTAGAATTTCCCATGGGTGATCGAACACCCTGTATGCAACATTACATGATATATGCAATGTAATATTGTAAAAAAACTTACCAAACATAATTAGTAGAATTCAGTAATTTGTATTTCCAGGTATTCCGAACTTTCTCCATTATGGAGCGAAATGGGTTTATAGTCATATCGTTCTACGTTTCTAAACACAGTGCACAGTAAATTCGAATGGTTACACGTTTTGCGGCCCGTTTTTAAAAGGCACCGGGTTAAGAACACGATTTCACGAATTGGTCACAGCAAAGACGGTGTTACACTGAAAGTAAAAGCAGAGACAGCGTGTTCGCCGTGTGGTTCCCCTTGATTCAAACTATCGATCGGCGATGATCAAATTTCGAAAATCGATCCACCCTCCGTTTGATTAGAAAATAATGCTACGGTGAGTTAACATGCATCTTGAAACACGATCGCTCCGGTGACGTTCCTCTATTCTAATCTGTCTTCCTTTCAAACAATCGCCGTACAATTTTCAAAACAACGATACGGTAATTGATTTCTCGAATTCGATCGTGTTTTATACGCTTCTTATACTTTTCGGTTCATGTAAGTATTTTGTTCCGCTAGCTTCGAACGTGTACAAACTGATAATGAATACAACAATACACAATTTCGACGGAAAATTATTCCGACCTTCCTTCGATAATGATAGCTGAAAAAATTAAAATTGTGTGATAATAATGGCGACGACACTGAAACGCTTAAATCGTCCAATATGAGGTATGCCAACATTTTTATTTAAATTTAATCTCAGAAAATCTCGCTTCACGAGATATTTTACCCGCTGATAATGAAGCGTTTATCTTTTATTGTATTTTTATCAATAATAAATATTTCCTCAAAAAGATACAATTACTGTTATAGCAACAGTATTGATTAATTTTCAATATTAATATTGGTCATATAAATTAACAGATTAAACCTCTGTTGTATAGCCTTGTGCATGCATAGCACCCACTGTTTAAAATTCTTTTTTTTTCAATAGAGTATACCTTTTACATGTTCTAATAGCATATTTGGTAACATGTAACATCAAGAAATTTATTTAACAATATACTGTTAACAAGTATGTGTTAAAAAATGATCTAAAGAAGTAAAAACATATGTTTGATGTTAGTTAGAAAATTGAGAAAGAAAATATAAATCTTGGTATTGATATGGCTAATATAAACTCACCCTTCTTTTATAAACATCAGCTCAACATCTGCTACTGTTGCTCTATCAGTTTGCCCTAAAAAACGAATAGTTAAACGTGAGTTTTACATCCTATGCAAATTATACAATAAATTTTAATGGAATTTCAATAAAATACTATTAAAAAAATATTAAAATACCTGTGTTTATTTTATCAAGTTGGCGTGCATCCTCTATGAGTTCCTTGGCATTAACCATCTCCATGTTTTCCTACAAAATAATAATGTAAATAGATGCATATACAGGGTGGTTCATGTGGTAACACGTGCAGCTTGATAACTTCCAAAATATGCGTTGCACGAAAAAATTTTGCATACAAAAGTTGCATGGTTTAAAGGGAAACTACTCGTTAGCTATTAGGTTTAGGGTTAATAAAGGTCAATACTTTTTTACTCAGAATTCGATATTCTTCCATATTTTGGTATAAAAAATATAGTATTCTATTTAAAAAAAAACAAAGTTCAAATCTTAGAAACACCTCTACCAATAAAAAAAAATAAATGCACTATATAAATGTACCCCTTTAAACCATGCAACTTTTGTATACAAAATATTTTTGTGCAACGCATATTTTGAAAAGTATTAAGCTACACAAGTTATGTGGACCACCTTGTATGTACCATAGATTACAAAAACAATGCAAGCCATATGACTTATGATACATCAAAATATACATACATACATATGTACATGTATATATTTTTTTTTATATTTTCACATTCGATCGTATTAAGAATATATTTATACTGTTATAAAAAATATTTCACGAAATATATTATCTCCTAATGTGATGTTCATTGACATGGAGTGTGTATAACTGTCACCATTGAGAAGAGAATACGTACCAGTGACTCTTGCAGATCGAACCCAATCGTTTTTATCAAAATGAAAAATTTAACTTATATTTTGATCTTCTTACTGTTTCACGAACACTATCCAGCATCGAAAGAGGATGCATCACTTGCACGATTTTCACGTTCACCAATCACACGATTAAGTATCGAGTTTAGATCAGCTCCAAATTAGTCACACAATAAATGCACGTTCATAAAAAGATAGCGATTGAGAGCCCTGTTTGTTATTTCGAAGTGCTTTGTCGGGGATCGTCGAACCAGCAATTGCAACAATACTGTGATACTTTATGTTTGGTAAATTTCACATAACTTAAGTAGGGTTTTTTAAACCGAAAAGGAACAATTAGTTTAAGAGATAACGAGGTACGTGCACGTTACGCAAGCAACGGAAACACAATGAATTTCTGTTCGCGTCTGCACTGAATCACTGGTATACAAATTACATACTTCACCGAGACGCTTCATACTTCATCACGAACTTTTAAGGTTTGGTTAGTTTCAAGGGTACGCGGAACAAAATCGAAACCTACGACAATGTTACCAAATCGGGCACCAGGTGCATCGAGAACTTCCCATTCCACTTTCCCACACTACGCCAGGTCACGGATACGCGAATTCGACAGTTTCGGAAAGTCGAGAAAGCGAACTGACACTCGTCCACTTCTCGATTCTCCAAAACTGCCCGAAGTGAGCGCGAATACATTATTGTGGCACCATCTACGGCAACGCGTTAAAATTGTCGAGAAATATTACGCTGCTTTGCCACTAGGTGGAACCACAATAGATATTCGTCCGCCATTGCAATAAATCGCGGCTTTTAATGAACTACTGCTCGATAATTTGCGAATTACTCTTTTCCTGGGATTAATTCATGAACTTTTAGAATTTAATAATATAGCTGAGATTCTTGACAATATTCAAGGATACCTGTTCTAACCATACCATGTGTTATTAAATAGTTATTAGTCAATACCGGGAAGTCGGCACTCGTTTTCGAACTTTTTAATAACGAATTAATCAGAGCAAGGAGCGTAGCAAAATCGGTCCTTAAATATTGCCAGGGATGTCTACTTGGTTCTCCAATAGCGAAAATATAGGTGTTATTGTTGAAAAATAAATGTAAATGTTCCGACTTCCGATATTCGTTAATAACGTCTTAATTACGGGCGGAATGGTTCTAAAAACTATCCTTGAATGTTGCCAAGGGTCTATACTATATTCTTCAATTCTAAAAATCCATATCTTAATCCCAAGAAAGGAGTAATTAATGAATAATCAAGCTATGTGTAACACAAGGAACCTTTACTTCGCGTACCTCCTTTAGTATTCTGTGATCCTGGCACGATTTTAGCAGTTCGAATCCACGATATTAGATGGCGCCAAGTATTTTTTATCATTTTTTTAACACAATGATAGATCACGTGTACGTGATCTCGCAGTGTGGACCTTTGCAACTCGAAAACCAGTTCAAAATAGTACAATTTTGTACAAGAAAAAAATTTTAATTTTAGACAACTGTAAGCTACGTAATCTTAAATTTATCGTTGCACTTATTCTTGTAACCTCACTAAAATTCATGAATCCCATTACATTTATTTCTATCTCAACTTGGGAATTAACTTTTTTGGTTCTATAGTGAAAAATCTTGGCACTCATTTATAGACGACATGGCAGTTAATGTTGTTCTTTTTTTTAAATGAATAAGTGACGAAAATACAGAAATATATGAACGTTACTTTCGGCTTGGCTATTATCAATTCGGTAGAACGATCGAACAACCAAAAAACCATGTCATGTGAACGGGATGTAACATTATGTGGAGCTTCTAGAGCTTCGCGTAGATTGGATGAATCTTAACACGCTCCTCGCCAATAAACATCAAAATTTAACGTGACAGCCCTGAACACGATTTGATAGAAAAATTCACTGCTCTTAACAGCTGTTATTCTCGCTAATCCAATCAATAATTCGATAAATGAAATTATAGACTCGTATGTTGCAAATAATCGTTTGGTATGTGCCATTTTAATTAAACGTATCACTTACTGAACTATATCGATCACCAATTCGATTTCTGCGGGTGTAAAGTAACGTAAACATAAAAATAAAATTTAAATAAATTCGTTTTTAAAACATATTACATTTTCGCTTCTAATCATACATACAAAACACCTTTATGTAAATGCTTATTAGATCTAGAAACTTTGTAACATTAATTTGGATAAATAACATTTTACAGAAAAGTACACAAGTACATGTGCCAGAATAACTTTGTACAATTTTGAGCCATTTTGAGAGGAAAGACATGAATCTTGATATTTTCACGTAAGATTCATACTTATTAGTAAAAAATTTTATATCCTACAGCATTTTTTGTAAATAATTTATATGCATTTAATGATTTTACTCTTTCAGAGCGCATGCACTTTCATGGTTAAACATGTTATTAATAATAATTGTTTGTAAACTATTGTGTATGTTTATTGCTTTGCCTATCTTATTAATTACATGGAGAAAAGTGTATTCTAAAAAGCGGGCAGAGAGATTAAGAAAAGAAACAGTAGTAGGCATCTTTCATCCGTATTGTAATGCTGGTGGTGGTGGTGAAAGAGTACTTTGGGCTGTGATCAGTGCCATACAAACCAGGTATAAAGTGTTTAATTGAATCTACTAATTAACAATGCATATACATATTACAATCTTTAAACCTTAGAGTCCTGACTCTCTCTATTTTTGGAATGCCAAAGAATTAAATGTTTAAATATTTGTTCGCAGATATTCCAATGTACACATAATAGTTTATACAGGAGACCTAGATGCTGATTCAGAACAAATTCTCAATAAAACAGAGAAAGTATTTAATATTAAAGCTAGACACAAAATTGAATTTATGTACTTACATAGGCGTAAATGGGTAGAAGCTTCGATGTACCCCTATTTTACGCTTTTAGGACAAAGCTTAGGATCAGTTTGGTTGGGCATCGAAGCTTTAAATAGTTTTGTGCCAGGTATGAATTTTTTATGTAATTTTTGTAATTATTTTAAATATTAGATACAGCATGTATCATCGAAACATGTGTGTAAAATGTTATTTCAGATATTTACATCGACACCATGGGTTATGCTTTTACATATCCGTTATTCAGATATATCGGTGGATGTAGAGTAGCAACATATACTCACTACCCAACAATTTCAACAGATATGCTCAGGCATATTTACAGAAGAGTTGTTTCGCATAATAATAGACGAGTTATAGCTAGAAATCCATTTTTATCGGCGGCCAAAATTGCTTACTATAAAGTCTTTGCGTTTGTAAGCTGAGTAAAATTAAAAAGAAAAAAATTATAATTTGATATTATGATTAATGACGATCGTTTCAGATGTATGGTTGGGTTGGTAGGTGTGCAGAGATTATCATGGTTAATTCTTCGTGGACCGAAGAGCACATTAACGCGATTTGGAAGTGTCCGTTGAAAACTCATAGAATTTATCCGCCGTGCGATGTAAAGCACTTAACGGAACTACCACTTCTCAGCGACGATGAAAAATGTGATAAGATTCGTATAGTTTCGGTTGCACAATTTCGACCAGAAAAAAATCACCCGTTAATGTTGAGAGTAATATATGAACTTAGGTCGCTCGTTAAAGAAGAGATTTGGGAGAAAGTAAGTTTGATAAAAATTTAATTCAATATCTGCAACAAAAATGTTTATATAGTATTATGTAATGTCAGATTCAACTAATTCTTATTGGCTCTTGTCGAAATGCGGACGATGAAGTGCGTGTAAAAGACATGCAAGATTTATCGAAACACTTTGCACTGGATAAAAATGTGGAGTTTAAATTAAATATACCATACTCCGAGCTTCTCTCGGAACTTCAAAAAGCAACAATAGGATTACATACAATGTGGAATGAGCATTTTGGTATCAGTATTGTTGAATGTATGGCAGCAGGATTAATTGTAGTGGCCCATGCTTCCGGTGGTCCAAGGTAAAAGTCTTATTAAAATCGTCTAATCTATGAAACAAAAATAAAACGGTTAATATTTTTATTGATAATTGCAGAACCGATATAATAGAAACACAGCCAGGATCGGAAAACGGGTTTTTAGCTGAAGACCCTGAGGAATATGCATCAATTATATCACATATTATATACATGAGTCCAGAAGTCAGAAATAAAATTAGAATGGCTGCTAGGTACTGTCACTTTTACGTCAACGTTACTGTTACTGCTGAAATATTTCGTAAATAATATGTTTAATAACAAATAACTTTTTTTAGAGCATCTGTAAGTCGATTTTCGGATGAAGTATTTGAAACGGAATTCTTACGGACGATAGAACCGTTTTTTAGACAAAAACAAGAATGACTGCTTCTTACAAAGAATTAATCTCAAATTAACAATTTACGAATAATAATGAATTTTTTTAATTCATTTCTCATGCTACTATCAAACCACAGAACAATCAATTCCAACAAAAAAGTTAAAAATATAACTTGAGATAATGGAGCAGAGGAACAGACATTATATAATTTTTAATGCATAATTTATTTAAAAAAATAAATGAAAACACGAATGTAGCATACATATCAATATATGTACATATACTTTTTCTATTTAAATAGTACTGATTACTGTATCAAACATACAATTATTTAAATCATACTTTTGCTTTGATAATTACAACCTACACAATCTAAAGTGTAAGAAGTATTGTCACCAATATCTTCGTTTTCACACAACTTGAAATGAAAACAATAACACTTTTATAGCGGTCTCTGTATGACGAGTAAGCTCTTGGCTTCCAAGTTTAATTCTAGAAACATCCCTTTCTAAGGCCAACAAAATTATTAACTAAAATACACAAATGGTGTCCAAAATATCATTAGCAGCATTTACACCTGGTATTCTTTATTTCTTTAGTAGATTTTCTAGTAGTAGTGCATACTATGCTGAAAAGTTTGTTGTTGTAACCTAACCTAAAGAAAATTTTGTTCACGAAATAAAAATTTCATACATACACCCAAGCTTCCATCAATTTGTGCTACAGACGACATAGCACGAATTGTAAAATGTGCACAACCAAGTATAGAAGAAGAAACACGTACTATCCCATGTAAATGCTTTGACATATGGACACCATTTGTTTTTTCGGAGCTTTCGAACGAAACTGAAACTTGCTCACTTCACATACTCTAAATTTTATGCGTATCGTAAGCATTTAACATGATTACATAGTTAATAACATCATCCACGATTAGACTAAATACAGACAGCATCATGTTGCACAGATCGCGGTGTAATTTACGCTGTGCAAGAAATGTTGTGGTCCCACAACTTGTGGATTCGAGTCGAATCATTCGACTAGCTTACCCCCACCACCAAACTTCTTTGACGATAGTAGGAACTTATATCAATAAAAAAATTTATTAACAATCAAATTTACAATGCACATGTCTTTTCATTTTTATTATAAAGAAATTCTGTATGTTAGAAATTCAATTTCCATATTTTATTTTTTAATGCTAACACATTTCAATTTCAATAGAATCCCTTCAGCATTTGTTATGCTAATTTTGTTAAGATTAAACTACAACAGAAGTTCATAGTTTTCTACAATATAACAATTTCTATGTTATTTATATCCTTTCACAACAATGCGATTAAGAACATTATTATAATAAACTCTTTCTAACGTTTCTATTATAACTTGAAAAAGGAGATGAAAATAGATGAAGAAATTCATAAAATCACACACGTTAAATCATGAATTTGTAATTATTACATTTCAAGATTAGATGGTCCATAGAACATTCGACATTCTCGTCTATTCGAATGTCTTATTGTTTTTGCACGTAAATACAATACGTTTTATACGAAAAAAATATTTTTACACTTTTTTTTTTGTATAGTTTGGTATTTTATCACAAAAAGAGATTTATTAGAAATTCATGAAAAATTTAAGAATTGCATGTAATACTGGTTAATAAGTACTAATAGGAAAAATGCAAGAGAATCAATGTCTCTTATTTACTGTTTCTTTTTTTTTACAATAATTCCCTTGACTTATAATCTGTTTGAATATACTTTTGAATGATAGTTTGGTGTCCCCGTATTATTTTAAGATATGTAATTTCAATTATTTTTTACTATTCGTTCAAATTAACATAGTATTAAACAATATTTTAATAAAGTTAAATGAAATAAAAACTTTAAGCATACACATGGACTTATGACTAGCATAAACTGGCTAAGGACACAGACATCTAAAACTGAATTTCTGTCTTTCAGTCACTCGTCGCTTTGAAATAATAAGCAATAACTATATTAACTAGACGTATGTAATTTAAAAATTAGGCGTTTCATATAGAATAATAATATAATGCCTTCATATTTTTTACAATCAATCTTTTTTGTATAATTCTTTACATTTAAGAAATAATAAATTAGTTATAGTTATTTCGGAGTATTTTTGTATCATTTTTCTTGTGTTTTTAAACACCATGAGATTACCACAAAATCTAACATACGAGAGAAATAGACAATAAATAGTTATAGACAAATATTTAATTCTCAAATGCTCTAGACAATTTCGCTACCATTTAATGGCCACATTTGAAAACTACATTAGTAAAAAATTCTATCACAAATTGTGGCTTGTAAGTGTTATTCTTATAAGTAATTATGTAATACTATATACCTTAAATTACCTTTACATATAATTATACTTTCACAGCTGACATTTTTTGTTTCGTTTTTTATGAAGTTTGTCTGAAGCATTTAAGATTATTATTAACCTTTTGCGCTCTTGTATTAATTAATCACATATATGTGCCATATTCCTCAATTTCCCTTAATAACTTTATACAAACATTACATAAATTTAACTCGCCAGCAGATTATTTTAAACATTATCTAGATTAATGACAATTGCTGTATATTCGACTCGAAATTTGTGTAGATATTACGAGCTAACTACATTTAAAAAATTGAGAAAATACTGATCCGAGGAAAATGTACTCATTTTAAAACTAAGTACAATCGAAGTGCACAAAGTTAAGCAGTTTTGATCATTTAATATAAATGCGTTGCATCTTTCACTCAATCGACATATAAAAACATGTGATAGAAGATTATTCTATTTACATTTATCCATATTCTTTTCTTAAACAAAACATAATTTAAATACAGTCTTACGACAAAACGTTAAACAGTAATTTAATTTCGATAATTTTAAGAACTAAGATTTATTGAACATTTTAATTATCCTAATTAGCTTCATTAATTTTTATAATTCATTTTTTTAAATAATTTTAAAACTTTTTATTTATACTCGCGTATAATCGATTTCTTCACGTTTCCAACATGTTCCACAAACGTACGCATATAGTACGATGTTCTATTCGTAATATACGAATTACAATGGACATTATATCACATTAACTTTAATATTACTAAAATACGATTTGCTGTTTCAATTCTGTTTTTCACAGCACTCGTGTGCTTTGTATGATAGCAATCGCTTTAAAATATTAATTTAAGAACGGAAATTCTCGTCCTTCCTTACAAAACGTATGGTACAATTTAAAAGAAAATTTATATGTAACGTATCTAATATAAATTCCATTTAAAAAATTTGGAATAATGCAATGAAAATATGAATTTACACTTCTTGCGACTTTTGTTTTTCAACGTATAATACAAAAGGGATAATCAGACAGTTCTTCATACGACGTAAATACATCAATATTTGTACTTTCTATTTAAACTTCTAACTTCAAACTAAAATCAAACTTCCGTTCTTGCTTGGTATGACGGACAAACACTAAACTTCTAATCCAGCAGCTAAAACACAGTATTTTAACACAGTATTAATTCCAATCCACTCCATTCTGTTTCTTACTTGTATTTGTAATTATTAGAATAGGAACATACTTTAAGGCCTCGATACTGCCACTTAACGTCTCTTGTTCCCATAGCGTCGACCAAATTTACGATTTTTTCTGTAAACAAAGAAAGCGCACATATAATATTGTAAAATTAGCTAACATAGATATCTTTTTTGAAATGTAGAGAAGTTATGCATATACACATTTAGCATATGGCATAAAAATATACCTAATTTTACTTGGTGAAGGAACTGGAGCATGTTCGGCGATAACAGGTAATACAGAAGTGAATTTATCAGTTGGACGTAAAAGGCGCGCCGTACGAGAGGACAATCTCCATATCAGTCTTTGTTTATGAGGAGTTTGCTCTTGAGCATTATATTTGCTCAATATAGCACCTACAGCATCATGGGTAGAGAAGAAACTTGCATCTGGAATCTATATACGAAAGAACATACCGAATGAACGTTACTGCATTTATAACCATAATACAAAAATTTAATGATAATTAAATCATTCTAATATTACCTTACATATTTTCTGAAGCTCTACAGCGAATTCTAAAAGTCTAAGCATCTGCTGTCTTGATGATATAGATGTATTGATGATGGAGGAACTAGGAATAGTGGTTGTGGCTACAATAGAATCTGCATTAGTATCCAGCCGATTAACTGCACTATTTAAGTATGTGCAAAGTAGAACAAGTGCCACTTCTGATGGCCTTAGACTTGCACAATTGCCATCGCAAGCAACCATCTCTAACCTGAGAAAAAGCTCGGATTCCTGAAGTAAAACACGCGATAAATTAACACTGGTACATTAATTCAATAGTATCTGATTTAATTACACGAAAATATCTTACCGTAACAATACTGTTATATATATTTCCCAATCCTAACTGAGATGCAACCGAATGGAACATTGCATTGAATAATTGAAGAAAAGTCAAGGATGTAACAGGTTGGGTGCCAGGTGCCCATTCTAATTTGTTGCGTATTACTTCTGACATACGTTTAAGATCACCACCAGTGCATTTGCACTGGGAAATAGAAACTAAGTGATCAGCATCCAAGGACTGTGCTAATTGGACAGCAGCTATGTGAAAAGCAGACACGCTGATACAAGCCATATGTTTTGGTCTTGCTTTCATTTTTGTTAAGAAGCGGTCCATTAAATTGATAGCAATAAAAAACACATCCGATGGTAAATCGTACCACACTTTCAAACATCTTAGAACATGAGCTGATCCATCACGAGCCCCAATTGTTATTTCATCGTTCTAAAAAATAAAGATATATATATATATAATATATTTTATATATAAGGAAAATACCTAATGATCTCTCTGCTATTTGTACATTTAACAGTCATATATAGTAAATTCAAATATTAACTTCTTTACAATTCAATTCGTACACTTACTTGTGATATACTAGGTAGTTGAAGGTTAGGTTGATATTTTACTTCAAGAACTAAAGCTTCTTGCAATTGTTCCAATAGCGGGTGGATTGCATCCGGTACAGGCAAGCCCGATGTGTCCATTCCTGCAATGTGTGACCAGCAGCTAACTACAGCACCAATGAAATGATAATGTAACACAGAAAATGTGTAGTGTGGCTGATGATATGAGTGTCACACAACAAGAATGGCGCAGCTGGCTAGCCTTGTATCTGCAAAAATAAAATAATACTGATATTAATATAATTGTATAAATTAATCTTGTTCTAACTGTTATTAGTCAATTAATTATTAGAAATATATCTTTTATACAATTATAAATAAGGGAAAAATTTGTTCAAGTTACAATAAAATATATTTAAAAAATATTTCAATGAGTAAACATTGAATGAAAATGACTTACATGTTATTCAGCAATATTAATATATCATAGAATAACAATAACATATGATATCAAAAATTTTTATTATAATATAAAATAACTATTATTTTAATAATGAATCTTGATTGATTAATCGATTAATAAAATGTACAATCATCGTTGAAAAAAACATTTGGTCTGTTCTCCACATTCATTATGATCTACTGATCTATGAACACGTGTCTACATCTGCATATCGATCAACGGATAACTCGGAAGTTTTAAAGAACGTACTAGAAAAATGACTCATTAGAAATAATTTAGAGTATTTAATCTTTTTCCATCGTGTCATTACTTCTGAACAGTACATTAACATCAAATATACTAGTTATCAAAGTGTTACAAAATATTTTAATGCGTTTCAAGCGAAAAAATGCAATTTCATTATTTCGATTTCTTCGTATATATTTACGATATCATTTTAACATATTCCGATGTTTAGAAATCAAATCAAAATTTAGTTATCGCATATAATTCAATAATTTGAATCTTTGCTTATAATATACCGTGACAATTAAAGTTATTATGATCTGATGTAACCTAGATACTACGGGTATCGAACATAATTACTAGTAGATTATAGAAACGTCTAGAAACCAACACAAAGAGAATAACTTTCATTTCTTGAATACCTTGTTTCAAGTTATTGAACATTATAGAAATGTTATAAAATTTTAATTTACTAAAGCAATCATTAGAAACCTGTCGAAATAGTACGAAATTTAAGAAAAATGATGTTAAAAACTATACGTATAAATTTAATTGCAATAAGAGTAACAATAGAAAACTTATTTATATTATACATATGTATGAAAAATTTCAAGTATACATTAAAAAAGAAAGAAATTACCAATACAACTATATAATTACTACGTAAAACGATGTAAAAACATTTTTGCACAATGGCCTTCCAGAGAACATTTTTGCATAAGAAACAAAGAAAAAAACGAATGGCATTGAATTACAACTTTCAAGTTATATGTATTGTCTCGTACCGACGAAGAAAGCTATAGGAGGATACTGTATGGCTGATGCAACGAACTGTCAAAATTGAAGATAAGTAATAAAATTCATTATGATTGCCCTCGAATATTTGTGTCACACCTGAGTTAAAAATTAAGTAAAATAAACGTAAATATAATTTAAGTTTTTATTAAAATTAATTAAACTCGTATAGAATAAATATAGTGTTCTTTTTCGAATTTAAACGCGAAAGTAATTCAATTATTCTACTATTTTTTCAGATCAGTAGATACGCGCGAATTTATCGATAATGTACACGGTAAAATTTTATAAGATATCGGCCAATTTACTATTACTGGCGGGAAATATTTCAAGTCCGATTATTCGTATCTAATTGTAAACGCGCACATATATGTAAAATACGTACAATTTATCCCAAGTAACGCTCTGTTGTTAGATCATTGAACTATTGAAAAACACTATACACACTTCTTTTTTACTTTACGTAAGAACAACGAGCTCTCGCGAAGAGCAAAACACGTTATTTACGCACGACTCGAACAAGACTGTGTGATGATTGTACTAGGGTTCAGATCTTGCGTCCACTTTGTAAATCGTCACAGATGAGCAATACCCGAACTGTTACGATCGCGTGCGACCTCGCACAAAGAGTGAAATGATATGTATACAAAGGTAGTATAGATAAGGACTTCATTTAAAAATATTATTACTTTTGCAAACATTATTTCGTTTCTGCATAATAAATATTGATTCCAAGTATTTACTTAATAATACCGGTTCAATAACTTTTTATCATTGATACATATTTTAAAAAATATTGAAAAATTCCATAGGAAACACATATTTAAAAACTTTAAAAATTTATATTCATTTTGTTTCATCGATTACCTGCACCGCGGCTAATATAAAATTTTCGCAATGGATGATTCATAAAGTGTAATGTATTCGTATGCCGAATGAATTTTGAAATGTAGAGTACTTTCCCTTTATTTGCTTCTATCTTCATTTCATATTACGTTTGTCTTAATTATCAATTATTGTACTCAAAATATACATATTACTTAAACAAAATTACAATACGAAAATGTAATTCATGTTGTTCGAGTTTGTCAATATTTACCAACGAAAAGAGTGACGCAAGATGCACAATGATTTGTTGAATTGATAATTTAAATTTGTGTAAAAGTAAGCACGTTTATTGAATATGTAATAGCATTATAGAGTGATTTAAATCTAACCTACATATTCACAATTATTTCTATAAACAATGCATTGTTAATTACGGAAGAATCGAAAATGCATGAAATCTACTTCTCTCGTTTCACCACCATTTTGTTTCAGTTAGACATTTGAACGTCGTATTTGGTAAACAGGTACTAAACCATAATAAAATTTCAAAGAAACATTTACCCGGATGCGTCCGAAACGCTTTCACGTCAATGGATCACCCAATCTTGGCTTGTTTGTCGTATTCGTCGGTATAGATAGGAAATAGGGTCGCGTACGAACCACTTCGTTTGACAGTTGCTCTGACAATAAGAAATGGCGGAGTTAGGTACGTTCAGCTGATCATTACGCGCCAAAGCACGCTCGTGCGTAACAAGTAGTCCCTTTATGAATGTAAACATTTCCAAAATATTTACTAACTTATCGTTATTGTACGCTATTTCTGCTGATTAGTTCGTACGCAATTAAATGTTATCGCTTTTGCTAATTATGCTTGAATTAAAATCTAATTTGATAACTTTAGGTTTAATGGTAGAAACGGACCGTGATATCAATGCGCAAGTTATGTTTTCAATTTTATTAATATTACAGGAATTTCAAGTTACGGGTACGGAAATTATATGTATTTTTTCGACAATTTTATACAATAAAAAGAACTGTTAGCAACGTGTTGATATAACAATTTCACTATTTTAATTGGTTATTGTATTTTTAGAAAATTACGACACATAAATTATTAATGTATAACAACTTAATGAATATTAAATGACTCGACACAGTGAGTTCAAAGCTTCTTTCCAGTCGAGGCCGAATACTAAAGCATTCTTGTTAATATAAATACAAATAATTATTCAAATTTAAATACCTACAGTTCATAAGCTAATTTCAGTCAATGATGATGTTGAACTACATGTATCAGTTACTACAGCAAATGAAAATAATTGTAACCGTGAATCCGTATATCTATCACAATATTATTGTTTATATATTTTCATTTTTGTACATAAATAAAAAAACATTTAAAAAAACCTATTATGCTTTATAAAAACAATCGTTACATGTAATATAACATTAGAAAAAGTACATACAATAATGTTTTTCTTTTACAATAATTACTTCGATTTAAATTACATTAGGAGAAATATCACATTTCATACCATAAAATACTTTTCTTCGTACTTAGCTGCATACATAGTACATGTAACTCGTCTATTTTATTGCACATTAAATACAAAACCTTATTTTATCACATTATTTATTAAGGAATAAATAAGTTAGTTTTCTAATAAATAGATATCTTATTTGTCTTTGTTCTTATATAAATTTTAATTTTATTTTATTGTTGTATCTTGTTCTGCCTCTAGTTTTCTTACAGTCGACTCCAAGGTAAATAAATGGTTGTCGTATATACCTGGTGCAATTATTCGCATCGCAGAGGCTAATTCGTACAAATATTCTGTATTAGCTCCGCTAGGACCATGAGATACAAGTATCTGTTTTGCTATTGTAGGTATGTCTTCTATGCCTGCATAATTTGGATTATCTTTGCCACCTATGTAAATTGTAATGTAAAATGGCTTGTCGTCCAAAGTTGTTGGCAACAGTTTTGTATTTTTTAAATTGCCCTGGGGAGCATCATTTGCTAACAAATGTGATCCAATATTTTCTATCGAATAAGATGGATAAAAAAGAACGCTTTTTCTTTCATAACCTCCTTTTTCTCTGTAGTCTAAATGTTTGACAACTTTATTTATGTTTCGTGATGATATTTTATATGCAATGCCCCATACTTCATCGTTAGAATCATCGGAAGATAGTAACGTAACAACACGCCCAGGCTGAAAACAAAAAGTTGTTTCGTTCGACTAATGCGAAGGTACATAAATGTTTCAAAATAATAATTTATTTTATACTGTGCATTATGTTATTATAAAGGATTAAACGTGTTCCAAGGAAATAAAAATTTTCGAAAAAAATTCGACGTATAATTAATGAAGTACATACTCTACTGGGTATTCCTCTATGGTCTGTACTTTTCTGATAAAATCGCCTAACGTATCCTTTGACGTGACCAACTAAAGTTTTCTCATACGGAAAATCGGCTTTCCAAATGAGCGAGCCATAACCAAACACCCACATTATTACTATTTTCATTAAATGTTAATTTTCTCAATGACTTTTAATATTTTACCTCGACCGAAATATTTCAATAAATATATGCAAGCACAGTATCAGACATTGTACAATAGGTTAAATGAATTCTAGCCATTTAAGGGGAAAGTCACCGAGGTCCGGCTATTTTTTCCGTCACGATATACAACTCGTGACTCAGCTTCACGTGCAAAAGCACTTAGCGGCAGTCAATGCCAGGCTGGCAGATCATGTCAAACTAGGTGCAGCGGTGCAGCCTAATCTAAAAAAACTTTTATTGTGTTACGCTATCACGTAAATGTAGGTTTAACGCATATAGCGCCGCAACGGGAATTAATTGAAACCCGATTACTCACCGTTGAGTGCAGAGCCATCTGCATTCTAATTAAGAGCGAAATTTAAACGGAACAGCGTATTATAATGAACAATGCAATTGTATGCTTTTCAACGTGAGTGATCATGCTGGGGAAAGTAGAGAGAAAGGAAGACATTTCTTAGAGATACTTAGAACTCGGGATGCAACAGTAAAAACGGACTATGATATAAATGCGCAAGTTATGTTTTCAATTGTATTAACCGTTTGTGTCCCAGTCGAGATTTGAAATCGTATTACAAATTAGACGAAATTAAACAATTTCAGATCATTCTGAAAAAATTATTTTTGGTTGTAGTTCATTTCTATAACCTGTTGGTAATTTTACGGGTGATACGAAAATGGTAACAGGTTTCTAGGGCCCCAGAAAAATGGGCCAAAAAAATACATTGGATGTAAGGTCTACTTGAATACCTTGTCTGTGGTACAGCCATAGAGTAACAACCAGAGGTAACACTTCATATGAATAATGAAGTTGTGTTCTTCAAAATACTGATATGAGACAAGAGAAAAAGAATCGAATTACTCTTCATTTTTAATATTAAATCAAGCTAATTTAAAAAGTTAGAAAACGTAACATACTTAAAAATTTATAGTATGTAGAAGTTTATATTGAAGTTTTCATGAAAAATAATTCAATCAAGATCAAGATTTGCTAACATGTTGTAACTTAGAACGAAAGAATCACGATGATGATCGTAAATGAAGTTAACAACCGTGATCGTGATTTTACAATCACCGTGATAGATAACTGTTAGTGACATTTTACGCCATCTTCAGTTATCATCCAATATACAATCTAGAAACATTATGAATATAAATGTTGAGCATACTGCCTGGTTGTTGTTTTTATGTGAACGTCAAATCAAAGTCTTCGTTTGTGGGCACTTGGCGTTCTGCTAAAGTTAGCCGGAAGGAGTAATTTATTTGGTGGTTGTTCCCGATTAATTGAAAAAGGAAAAACATTGGACTTTCGACATATTTTTACACGAAAACTGTTACATCGATAAGTCATGCCTCTCCACCGTTATACTCATGCGGTTTTATGCAGAATTCCTCTTTCGCTTCGTACAAGAGGCGAGGTCACATTAGATGAAGCTAGAACGCAACATTTGGCGCTAGCGCAACTTTTGCGGGAACTGGACATTGATGTTGTGGAAATGCCGCCGGATGAAAATTCGCCGCTTTGCGTTTTTGTAGAAGACATTGCAGTTGTTTGTAATGGCATCGCGCTAATAGCTCGACCAAACGAGTCATCGCGCCTAAAGGAGGTATACTTGTTATACTTTACGTTTGTTAACATATATTTATCAATTGCGTTTATCTAAGTCACTTATGTTTATATAGCGAAAAATATTAAATGATTAGTTTTTATTAGTATTATTACATGTTGTGTTAGGTAATATTGCAAGTGCACGGGTAACTTAAAAGGTGATGATCTAATTTCAGATTGAGACAATTAGAGCTGTTTTAAAGAAGGAGCTGGAGATTCCACTTATAGAAATTGCAGATAAAAATGCACGTTTGGATGGTGGAGATGTCTTGTTTACGGGTAAAATTGCAATTTTCAGAATTCAACTTGTAATTTGGAAGTTCACTCTTGAGAATTAATAATTGCTTATCTATATTTATTATTTCAGGCCGTGAATTTTTTGTTGGACTGTCTCATTATACAAATGAAGCAGGTGCAAGAGCAGTTGCAGCTGCATTTCCAGAATATCCATGTGTACCTATCAAGGTTGGTTAATTATTAAATAGAGTATTTAATATTCAATATACTTCATATTCCTTTCTGCTTTATGAAATTGTACCATACAAAACTACTTTTTTAATGCTCTATTTATACGAAATAATTTTTAATTTTTAAACTGTTTTAAAGATATAAATAAAATGGATTCATATTTATAGGCAATTTATTAAATTTTAGAATGTTTTCAATCTAATTGCAGGTCTTCTTCAAATTAATAAATAGGAGAAATAATTATAATAATCTATTTAACAAGTTTTTTATAAAAAACAAATAAATTTACTAATTATGAGGCCTAATTCTTTCAGATAAACTTTTATTCAAATTATAGAATTTTTCACTAAAAAGGGCCTACAATTAAGTTGAAAACGTTTTAAAGTAGTACAGGTATTCCTCGAGTTACGCGGTTAATTGGTTCCGCGTAAATCGCGACTCAGAATTAGTCTCTGAAATATTCTGAAATATATACAAACTATTGTGAAATACCTATTATCTTTTTTATTTAAAAACATTCATTTATAATTATATATATATTTTCTTTTTATATAAAATTGCTCCAAAACCGCGTAACTCGAGGGGTACCTGTATAAATGTTCATTGGCTAGAAACAGTAGTCTGTTTTATCTTTGTATGAGCATTTTGTTTTGCCAAATGTTTACATAAGAGTTGAAACAAATGCATGAACCATTTAATAAAGTATTTGTTAAAATATTAGCTTCATGTCCCTTGCATATTTTCTTTCAAAATTTTACAGAATTTTTTGTTACATACTGTAATTTGTAATAAGTATATATATGATCAAAGAATTACGAATGTGTATATGTAAAATATGTAAATGAATGTGATCATATAATATACAAAATAGAAGCAATATGTATAAAATTCATTTGTAAATATAAAGAGTAAGTTAATTGTGCTTCAACTTTTAAAGTTTTCTCTTAATTTATATGTAAAATGATATAACTAACATTTACTAACATAAAACTGATACTCTAATCATGACCCACCAATTTTTTTTATGGTTACATTGTATCTTCTCTAGTTATTTAAATAACAATTTTTTACATGTTTTACCATATGTATAATATTAATACAACTCGTTTACAGCACACTTGATATGTATTGAATATGTAAATATGCATTTACATATTTAATTTACATATATGTATATACACTGGGTTCAAGCTATCATTGATAAAGAATACATTTAAATAAACTTTTTAATGTTCATTTAAGGTGGGTGATGGTGGTGAAGAGGTGATAGTGGAAAGTCTTACCTCAGCCCCACTTCAGGTTTGGGTGTACTAGACTGACTCTCTTTTGCATATTACATTGAAAAAAGTTCACAATTTAGAAACACAACTTGGCACAATTTCAATAAGTTTATTCCAGAATAGCTGTTTTATGTTACAAACGTTAACAAAATGCTTTCGTGCGAAGTGTGTTAGTATGCAAATTATAGCTTGGTGCAATTCTGCACATGGAACACACTTACATGTATATATACAGGACACATTCTTTCACTTCCGCACGTGATTCAAATTTGTATTTATTTGCATAGACGTATCATGTTGTAGAATTTTGTACAGTGCAACTTCTATCGATTGTTGTCCAAGATATATTGCAATTTGCGAACAATTTTTGCGTATACAATCGAACCTTGGTAACTAGGAAAGAAAAAGATTTTCAAATTATAGGGACTTTTTCTTACCAATATTTCGACTAAACGAGGTTCAATAGAGAAATATTCGTCTTAAAGAGGTTTTCGAATTATCGAGGTTCGACTGCATTTTAATATAGTTAATTATTTTCGTATGAAAATACTTTTAATGATCGATGAAGGTGACACTGTTCTTTGCTATTGTCATATACAAATACGTTGAAAGAAGTAAAATGAAAATAGTGCACTTAAACCAACTTTGGTTAACTATTTCTTTTCAATATAATACCACAAAAAGCTGGATTCATTTAATACTTTTTATTCCTTAGTTTGTGCATCTTGCCTAAATAAATAAAAATACTATCTTATGATAAAACTTATGCCACCCCAGGGAAAAATTTTAATGGGTGATTCTAGAGGCCAAACTAAGACGAAAATTAAGAATACCAATTTGTTGATCGAGGCTTCGTTAAAAAGTTATTAGCGTTTAAAGTTGCGCCTGTAGATAGGCAACCTGCGTACAGCTGCGTGCGCGCGATACTGGTTCTCACTCAGCATGAGAAACTGTACTTAGTGACGTGTCGACAGCCTTACAGTTTTGTGAGTGAGAACCACTATTACGCGTGCGCGGTTGTTCGCAGATTGCCGTTCTACAGGCGGCACTTTAAAAGTTAATAACTTTTTAACGAAGCCTCGATCAACAAATTGGTATTCTTGATTTTCGTCTTATTTTGGCCTCTAGAATCTCCCATTAAAATTTTTCCCATGGGTGGCCCAACACCCTGTATAGCTATACTATTGCAACTAAAATTAAAATTCTTTGATAAGATATAACTAAGATAATAGAAATACTAATAATACAATATATATAAAGATAAAGTAAAAATTAATTGATGCATTTGGTATTATAATTCTTGAGAACATGTATTTCTTATTTAATTCTTGTTTCCAGGTTGCTGAATCTAAGCGTCTTAAAGCTTTAGTTACAATGGCTGGCCCAGACATTATTTGTGTTGGTGCTGGAAAGGAATCTCAAGAAGTTTTGAAGGTATTTAATTGTAATTTTTGCTTTGTGTTATGACTTAACATTGCCTTGAAATTATTTGTAATTTTTTCGTGTTGTTTGTAATTGCAGAGAATCGAAAGGGAGGCAACATACGGCTATCAAACATTAACTGTGCCTGAAGATGCTGCTGCTAATGTACTTTACGTGAATGGGACATTAATTCATCGATCAGAAGATGAAATTCCACAATCGAGTAAAGTTTTTGCAGAAAAAATCGAGTTTCCGACCAGATCATTGCACATGTCCGAATTAGCGAAGGTCAGTTCCGGTTTAACTTCTTGTTGCTTATTGGTACGCAGACCCAGACATATTCGCAGTATTTAAGCCGGAAATAACATACCTAGCAAACGTGTTCAATTGCTAGCGGTTATTGATATGAATCACAAAATCAAGAGTTTGAATATTTCTAGTGAGAAATATATTACCAAAATGCTGTGCAAAAAAAATACTATAATATGTATATGACGTAGCATTTACGTCTCTTTAAAACATTAATAATTACTTTAATGAACAGAAAAGATTATTTTATAATTATTTTATAAAAAGATTATCTTAATATAGAAGAGATTTTATAATTAAAAAAGATTAATATATTTGTTTTCAACATATTTACAGTAAAGATAATATATTGAGACTTCAATAATTTACCTAATTTGTAGATCTATATTATGTAAAATCATGGTTTATATCTTGCCATTTATGTAAAAGCATTTTTTTTTGTTTACATTCTACAATTTTATTGACTGCATTTGTAGATACATGACATAATAATATTTTACTGTTAATAATATTTTATATTTTTTCATGACTTCAGACATATTCTATTATTGTTTTTTTTATTTATGACTTTATATTTTATGCTTTACGTTGATTTCATACATTTAACTTCCACATGCTATAAATTCTTTATCAAAATATGATCGTGATTAATACTGCACAAAATTTCTTCTTTACAAGAATTTATCACAATGAAACATTGATTCATAAACTGTACAAGTAAATCAAAATGACTTTAATATAGCATAAAAAAAACAAAATCATAAAATTAATAAGGTACAATAACAATATATAATTAATGTCTTCTACTTTTGATATGTTATGTTATATAATTAGGAATCGATAATTAGAAATTAATAATCAGTATTCTGACACCTTTGAATGCATTTGCTACTAGTCTATAAAAAGTGTTCACCTAATTAATTCAAATAGAGCTCTTCTATGATTCAATAATATACTACAAAGTTAATGATATGTAAAAGCACTGATAGTTAAGAGTTAATGTGCTGATTCACATTAAAGAAAGTTACGCAATTAAGAGTCTACTAAACAGAAAAGACAAGATTTCTGTATAATAAACTTGATATTATACACAATATGTATTACAGCATGCTTGAAATGTTTTGGCAAATTTACATTGTCTACAGATTTTTAATGCAATAATATAATGAAGTGGTTTTTTAATATTGTTTAAAGTCATAACAATATTTTTAAGTAATTTTATTATAGTTTTATACATTTTGATATGCATGTTTTCGCGTTAATTCAAGCGTTCCTTTAGTTTCTGTAATTTTTTGACCTATTTTCTAATATGAAAGTATGTTAAGAATACAGCGATATGGCACATATTTCACAATTTGTAGCATTAGATTTAGCGTCATTCTGTGTAATTCTTTTGCAATTTCTCCAAAATGTATAAGGCTACGAAGTTGTAAACAAAATAAAAGATATATGCTAGACGTTATAGTCTAGTTTTTACCACTTGACTCTCCCTACCTATATAAATGGAAGAACGTGTGTAAAAACATTCAATGTTAACTTAATTACTAAAATAATTAATTTATTTAAAAACGTTCTCACAAAACACTCACGATGCTTTATATGAATGACTTAATATAGTAACTATAATGTAATCAAAATTTAAACTTTTGTACATACTTTTACTGTTTAATACAAATACATACCAGTATTTCATTTTAATATTAAACCTGGGACTAGTATTTTTTTTTTTTTGTTTTTCTTCCCTTTTTTAATTTTTCATAGCAAGAATATTCACATTTGCTTAAAATTATTCAAAGTATTTTCGTTAAAAATATTTTACATGAAGTGAAATGATTGTCGATCATATAGTCATATAAATTTAAATATCGTAAAATTATCGAGTCATGTTATTTAAATTTTAAATAATTGTAAGCAAATATGCAGAACATATTATTGGTGATCATCAAATTACATGGCTGACACGGTCGTTTATTTTAAGTATTTAAGAAGATATAATTACTTTTTATATTTGGTGGATGGAAAACGTTATTTCGAAATTTAGGAACAATTGTTGTAGCAAACGTGTGTTTAAAAAAAAACACACATCCTTGGACTTTTATTGTTTTTCAAATATATTCGGGAATTGGTCCTTGGTAAACACACGCTCTTGAATAATCATTCAAACGTGTGCTTTTTATATATATAAAGGCACGTGTTTATTGTTGTATATCACCAACTTAATTTTTTCTATTTTTATTGAGTCGTTTCTTAATGCATCTATAGTGTTTAAGTCATTATTGATAGAACACTTTAACTAATTTCGATAATCATCGGTTTCATTATATACAAGTCTCCTTATTATTACCTTCTTTTGCGTCATTAAGAGTAAAAAGTTAAAACGGAAGTGTGGTTCCCTCGTACGAGTAAAAATGGCGGCATATCGCGTGTTAGAGTCTCTAGCCAAGCCATGTACAGTGCTGCTGATACAGCCCCCTTTCGAGGCATTGGTAGTGTCCTGAAACATATACAATAAATTCATAAATATTTTAACAATAAAAATCTAAGAATCCATCGTCACTTACATAACAACTAAATTAGCTTCCATCGAATTTTCAAGTAACAATTCTCGTAAACGTAAATGCCTATTTGTTTTCTCTTTCATAGCAAGCAGTTCGGAATCTTTAATGACATCTGAAAGAAATGCAAATAAATGGTAAATTACGTACGATATTGATTACGGAACTAATGTAATATTATTTAAATAGTTATACCCTCGTCTGTCGCTTTAGGGTCATCTGTTTGTTGAAAATTTGTTATTAACAAATCGAAGAAACTTTTCGTGTTCTCTTGTGCCGGTTTCGAAATGTCCGATATAACTTTCAAATCAGAGTAATCGATCCGGAATTTCGATAATAGACTTGCCATACTAGAAGATATAATTGCGATATTAATAATTTGTTCAATCTATCCTTGTCTGTGATGGTATACAGGGTGTTCGGTACCCCTGGGAAAAATTTTTATGGGAGATTCTAGAGGCCAAAATAAGACGAAAATCAAGAATACCAATTTGTTGATGGAGGCTTTGTTAAAAAGTTATTAACGTTCAAAGTTCCGCCCTTCTCGAATTTTTTTCTAGAAAGTGGGTAGGATTTCGGGGGTATGTCTATTCACCAAAAATGATTGTAATTGTCCCCCGCAACCGAAAACAATTTTTCCAGAAAGATTTGAAATTTTTTTTTCCGTCGAAGAATTTCACAGCTTCTCGAATTTTTTTCTAGAAAGTGGGTAGGATTTCGGGGGTATGTGTAATGACCAAAAATTATTGTAATCGACCCTCGCAACCGAAAATAATTTTTCCAGAAAGATTTGAAATTTTTTTTTTCCGTCGAAAAATTTCACACCTTCTCGAATTTTTTTCTAGAAAGTGGGTAGGATTTCGGGGCTATGTCTATTCACCAAAAATGATTGTAATTGTCCCCCGCAACCGAAGATAATTTTTCCAGAACGATTTGAAATTTTTTTTTTCGTTGAAAAAAGGCACCTAATTAGATTTTCGGTAAGGAATTTTTTTCTCGAAAGTGCGTAGGATTTCGAGGATATTTGTAATGACCAAAAATGATTATAACTGACCCCCGCAACCGAAAATAATTTTTCCAGAATGATTAAAAATTTTTGAATTTAATTGTTAATAACTTTTTAACGCCTTTAGAATCCCTCATTAAAATTTCTCCCAGTGTTGGCCTAACACCTTGTATGTTTCATTACTTACTTTCTTTGTTCGTATTCTAGTTCAGAGTGTTTATTTGCGAGCGCGAAAACTCTCAATTTACTATTCGACCAATTGCGCCTTATACTGATAATGTATGGCAACAAAAGCGTTAAACCGCCATCATCGTATAACCACCATACGTCGATCGTGCCTCTTTTCTGTTTACGTTGAAATTTTGTTACAGCGTTAAGTATATCGTTCGCTATCGGTATGATATTTTGTCGATTCTCGCGTTGATCCTCCGCTGTTGGATTAGGGTACTCGTTGATCATCTTGGAACGTCTTGGTGCCGGGCTGCCAGGAATCGAAATGTCCGATGTGCTGCTAGCTGCGCAAATAAATATCAATTACCAGTGACTAGTCGCGATAACGATAAACTCCAGCGAAATTTCAATCATTTACATTTAATTTCGTTTTATTCAAATGCAAAAAGATGTCACAAACAGTTTTCAAACCTTGACTAAGCTGAGAGAAACTTTGATTTCCTGGCAGCGAGATCGGCATACTTTTTTTTTGCTCTTCAATGTCTCCTATAACCGCACTGTAATCTAAACCTTCGCTTATTCGTAGGAGCGCTACTGCTATGTGCATATCCAAGGCTTTACTGTATAAAAAAAAACGAAATGTTCATCTTCGCGAATAGGAGCAGGATAATTTATGCTAATTTATACTAAGCAAAGGTACATACTGCATCACGTTAAAGTACATATTCAAATTTTTCCGTGGACACGTTATCCAATCTTGCTTGTAGCCCATTAACAAAATATTGGGCTTCATTTTTCCCAAACCTGCAGCTTGCAAAAGGGAAGTAGCACCATCCTGAAAACTCGCCCCATCCACCAAAGAATAAAATGCTTTAATTTTATTTGCTCTGAACCAAGAGGTGCAATTTATGACCATGGAATTGCGCGTTTTATACGATATCGGCGTCTGAAACCAAAGAAAATTCGTTGAGCTTCGTGTAACTGTAATTTTTTTTAAATAATCGATACGAATCATACCTCGATAATATGACCACAAATAAATAAGCTATTATTCTTGGTAATGTGATGCGCAAAATCGACGAGCGACGACCTCGTGCTTGGGCTACCAGTGAGCACCAAGAGCTGGGGCCTGTAATTTTTAACGTGTTCTTCGACTCTGTCTAATTGTTGGACAGCGGTTAAAGCGTTAGTGTATGTTTGGGCCTGTGTAGTCGAACCCCAATTTACATCTAAAAACATATCATTTTCATGCACCTTACGGAACATCAAACACATACAATATGTAAATCATTACCTGGTTTCCTATACGAGACTACTAGGTAAAGTGCTAAAACTACGCATAAAGTGATTAAAGCTGTCCACCATGAGATCAGAAACATCACAGAGATACAGAGAATAGCACCAGCGAGGCTCAGCCACATATTATAATACTAAAACCAGAGAAAGTCGTTGTCAGCGTGATTATTTTTATTAAAAAAAAAAGAAACTATATTTACCTTAAACGTTGGTCGCCAACCGATCGGTTTGGCCAGCGAGGCATGAAAGGTGCTGAAGTTAATGAGAGTGTAGGCAGCCAAAAAGAAATTCGAGATCAAAGGTGCTATGGCGTTTAATTCCCCTAAAACGGAAGTCATGTTTATACGTTGAGAAACTATTTAACCAACGAAATGAAGAAAAGAATCGTGACGTTTACCGATTAAAATAAAACCAACGGCGATAACGAACGTAAGGATGTAGCCACGAATCGGTTCTTTGTCTTTTTCACCGCTGAACCATGCTATCCCAGGGTATAGTTTATCGAGACAGAGTGCTTGAAACACTTTAGGCGCCGATACCAACGACGCCAAAGCACTTGACAGTGTGGCTGCAAAGCAGCCGGCATAAATAATTGGGCCAAACACAGAAACCAGTTCGATCACCTAAACAATTATCAAGGAATATTTATTAAGTATAATAACGCGTTTATTCCTTATAAGATGTCGCAAGAAATACCTGAAAACTGTTGTGGCTACCATAAGGACAACTGCCAGTACAATTAAATTTCGTACCGTACATGCTCCAAACAATTTCGCTCGTATTTACAATGGCAATCGTGCTACTTTCTGTGGTCTCGTTACTTGCGTTGAATGGAGATATGGTAGTGTACGAACTATTGAAAACGTTCGACAAATCGTTAACGTCGCCCGAGGCGTCTCGCATAACCGATCCCCCTACCATAAGTGCCATAAGAAAATAAGAAATTGTCGTCAAGAGAATCGCCAGTAACGTTCCCTTGGGGATAGCTGTTTGCGGATCCTGTTAAAAAATCGAAACGAATCGGATGAGCGAAAGTATACATCGAGGCCTGTTTTAAACGATCCGTGCAGTACACAATAATTACTTGATCTTAAACGTTAATCGCGCGTAATCTTAATAATAACAGTGTCAAGATATACCCTATAGTCGAAAGGACTAAATCACCTTCAAATCACCGGATATATTCGCACCTGCCAGGATACCTGTTGCCGCTGGGAAAAAGATAGCCAAGACTGAAAAGAAACTATGCTCCACCCCTTCGAAGTATCTATAGTCCGGATAAAAGTTCTCCGTGAATAGATCGGCTGCAAACATCGAAGGAAATACGGTAGAAATTTTGTTGGAGTTGCAGTCCATGCGAAAAATATAAAATTGTGATGGTCGAATCAAAGCAAAGATATCATTACATCACAGAGTGATTCATTGGCGCGTGTGTATGATTATCACAGCCATTACCATTGTATCCTATAAATCCTTTCGCTCTTTCCTGGTCGTCTTTGGGGCCAATAAAAGTGCCGATCATGAAATCGACAATAGCTACCAGGAGTATAACGAGCAAACCAATCTGAGCTTTTGCCTCCCACTCCAAACCGATCATCACGATCACCAGAAGCAGAACTATCGTGACGCAACCTGTTGGAAGAAAACAATGAAAACCCCGTACACCCGGGCAATGCACGATTTTTCTATATATTGACCTATGATTCTGATATCCGTGTTATCGCAATCGACGATGCAGATCCCGTTCGCTTTCAGACAATCGACCATGCTTTCGCAAAAGCCTACTACGTACATGGAGCAAGCGACCGCGTTCGCCAGCGAGAATATTAGCCCTATGGCTCCTCCGAATTCTGGTCCCAGCGATCTGGAAATCATGTAATACGTGCCACCTGCGGGAAACGTTTAATTAATTCCCATCGATCTGGCCCGTAACGACGCGAGTTCATTAGAGTCGGTCCAAACTCATTTGGTCGCTCAAGGCCATCACCCTGACCGTGAATCCGTGCCAGACGCGAACCTCTGCTCTCACACGACGACAGAACGCGTGTGAGTGTGCAGATTTGCGCAAGACTCCAGACACGGTAGTGGGGGACAGCTCTTCAGTGACCCTGAAAGACCAATTGATTCTGTTCCGACTGCAATCCGCCATGCTCGTCGAACGACCAACGCGAACTTAAAAATTAAAATTAAAAAAAAATAAAAAAAAAAAATGTTTTATTCGAAATTATCAAATTGCTCCCTCGAAGCAAACGATTCGGTGTTATTTACCTCCTTTGATGAGTCCGTTTGTGCTAATCGCCGACATCGACAGCGATGTTATTGTAGTCACTGCTGTCGTTGTGAAAATCAATAAAATAGCTTGCCCTAAAACCACCCGGGGGGGGGGGAAAAAAATGATGAATTATTAATTTATTAGTCGATCGCGTTCAATTTACCAATGAATCTTTCCCGGTATTCGTGCGTTGGGACTGTTTCGTTCGCTTATGGCGCCCAGGCACGAATAGAGAAACGATTCGTAAAATGATCTCGGAATTAATTGCGAAGGGAATTAGAATTTACCTATACCCGCCTGCGCAACGACCCACGAGAGCCGCAGAAACAGCATCACCCCCCAAATATTGAGAAGACATCTCAGCAGTACACCCTGTATCCATCCGAATTTGAATCCTGACGTCGGCGGCTTCACGTGTTGTGCTATGGGCAACGTGTGCGAGCCTGAGCTCTGGAATAACCAATTGAAAAAGACTAATTGTATTTTCTGATGTTTTACTTGCTGCTACTTTCGTAATCGTAAACTTAAAGACATACAAATGAACGCGTTTTAGGCTACGTAGATGACTCGCGACACTGGTCAGAAGCAACATTTGTTTAATTTGGTACGTTCCAAATTTTCTGGAGAAAATTATTAAACATATTTCAAACGTTGCAGATGTATTCATCTATGTTCAGCAGAATGCTGTTAAAACTTACAAATTCGTAGACTCATGATTAAATGTGTCGATCGATTCTATTTTCACCTGATTAAACTTATAATTTACTTTACTAAAATGTGCAAGTAAATTATTGAATAATAAAAGAAAAATTTAATTTTTAAATTTACTGAAATTTCTTCGAATTTCGAACGATTTTATCATTTGTTCGTCGTTTTAAAAAGTTAATAGATCGACTCTATTTTCACCTCATTAAACTTACAATTTATTTTACTAAAATGTGCAAGTAAATTATTGAATAATAAAAGAAAAATTAAATTTTTAAATTTACTGAAATTTCTTCGAATTTCGAACGATTTTATCATTTGTTCGTCGTTTTAAAAAGTTAATAGATCGACTCTATTTTCACCTCATTAAACTTACAATTTATTTTATTAACATGTGCAAGTAAATTATTGAATAATAAAAGAAAAATTAAATTTTTAAATTTACTAATTTTTTCTTCGAATTTCGAACGATTATATCATTTGTTCGTCGTTTTAAAAAGCAACTAGCCACGAAAGAATCTATTTTATATGCAAGTATATATTTACTAATTTTTTCTTCGAATTTCGAACGATTTCATCATTTGTAAGCGTATGTTTTCATTTTGTTCGTCGTCTTAAAAAACAAATGGCGACGAAAGAATGTACGCGTTCCGTGAACAGATTGTGAGATTGAAAGTGTTCCGTGACTAAAAGAGATTGGTAAACGCTGATCTAGACCATTCAAGTTCAAACTAAATCATTGTTCCAGATACACGCCGCAGCTAGGAAAGCTCGTTACGATTATGTATAAACTTTCGTCCGGTTGGCGATGATTCGGATAAACAAGTATTTATAGAATTAAACTGCAGAACTTCCCGAGAGATCTGCAGATCTCTCTACGTAAGCGTTACGCGTAAATTGAGATTTAGAGGTGGTTATCGGCATTGAAGGTGATTCGTCTAGAGGAAGGGTCGCCAGTCGACCAATGAAGACTAACGATTTACGTAACAATGCCTCACATGTCGTACATTACACGTCGCCCAATGTTGAGATACTTTTTAGGAATTCGACTTGGAAATCTCGCGGGATCGCGACCAAACACGACGCAATCGACACGATAGTTGAATTTTATAAGGGAAATGCTTTCCTCTTACACGGAAAAACAGAAAAAACGAACGCCAAGGAACCACCAAATTGCAGCGGGAAAAAATTGGAATAAAAATTAAAATTCACGGAAGTAATGGTAGTAGTTTAGATAAAAAGTATTTCAATTAAGATCACGATCGATAGAATATTGATAGCTTTAACGTTTTCAGTGTCAAGGTTCGCGCGAGAGTTAAGCAACGTTCAGCGAGTCAACATGGATCTTAAATACGCATTGGATCTTGACCAAACAAACGTTTCTGGAAGCCTTAGAAACGATCGAACGTGTAGAAAATAATCGGATCACGCTCTCACAGAAGTCATGGTGAAGTCATCGAGATTAGGGGTACGAGAATCGTTCGTATAAAATTCAGGTAATCTCAAGGTCGATTCTCCAAAGCTTTCGATAAACTGGAAACGCGATTTCTCTCGCAGGAAAGAATATCCGGTCCCTTTGATCAACGAAAACTGCATTTACAGAAGAGGAGCACGACCGTCAGGCGGTTCAAGGGTACGCAAGCCTTCTCAACTGGCTTATAACTCTTAGAGAGACGATTATTTCATCCCATTATTCCCCGTTATATCCTCGAATATCGTGCCTTGGACTCCGCTATAATTGCGAAATTATTCTTACACGTCTGCGCGGAGCAGATCTCGCGGCAGCTTACCCTCCGTGGAAAGGAAACTCATCGACGTTTTGCAAATTTAACAATAATTTAACAGAAATACAATAGAACATAGATTACTGTACTACACGGTAGATTTTTGCTCGCTAAAAACAAATCTGACCGTGCAAATGGCGAGAAAATCCATGAAACGTGCAACGCGATTTTCTTGTAATCGATGTTCCCGTGTCTCGACGAAACTTTTTATCCGTTTTATTATTTTCACCGTCGCCGAGGAAACTTATATGCTAATTATGTATACGTGTTTTGCAACGATGTAACCAGGCACTAATTAGTAATATAATGTCACGCGTAGGTATCTCTAGAAGCGTAAACAACAATTTAATGAGAAAAATTTCTCAGATTCCTTGAACATCTTCCCTCGACCAGAAGCGCGTCGTATAATAAATTCTCGAGACGAAGAAATTTACAATCCGTTGTACGGAGAAATAGTTCAGATGCTGAACTAGTAAAATTTATTTTAAAAAAATGACATCGCGTTTTTAATACGCGTATTTCTCACAAAATTGATGTCTGCGTTCTATTGTACGGATACGATCGTTTGGGATATTTTGTACCGTTTGCAAATCAGCGCACTGCAGACTCGTGAACTCTCACGAGACTCTCGTACGCTGCTGTGGATCATACGTCGGATGTGATCCACGAATGCACGTATGTAAGTACATGCGACGGCGTAAGTGAATTACGAGCGCGTTGCATGAAAGAAAAGAACGGCGAGGAAAGGAGCGCTTCTCACGCACTGTTACACGCGCTCGTGTGAGCACCAACACGTAGACAGAATACGTGGTATAATAGTCAAATAATAACAAACGCTTATCCCTCGACTCGTAATGTATTCGGAGCACGCGTTTTACTGGTCCTATTGACACTCTCGTTGAGCCACGCATGAGCCACAATTCGGATTTGCGATTCATATTTCGATTTTCGCGAGCCCGTTTACTCAGTTTTGATCGATCGATTTTTATCATTGGACCCGTGCAATCGAAGCAAATTGCGTTTCGTCAAGTCTCTCTTTTCTCAACGCGTTCTTCGTCGCCAAGGGCATTTTCCATGGTCTGACTCTCGCATCGACGTAGGCGATTTCCATTATTAAGAAGGAAAATTGAACATAACAGCGTGAGCTGAATAAAATGTCGCAAACTGTACCGTACGAAACCCCTGCAAACTATCATTTTTATACAAGAGGACTGTTTATTTCAATTTTTCATCGTGATAGAATATACAATATAAGCTACAAAAGCTAACTAAAGGGACTTAATATATAATATAATCGAAATATTCAGTTGTTCGTCGGCACATTTGATTTTTTTATCAATTATATAGATGTACACGTCTTCGAAAATATCCGAGCAACAGGATTTATTTGAGTTTCTAGAATCGACGGAGTTTTAGACGTTCGAAGAGAACAGTGTCGGGCTAGCAACGAACCATAGGTACATTTTCCCCAAAATTTTACTCGACGTCCATTGTTGGTGGCTTCTGGTTTAGAAATAGGGTCCTACCAGACCCCTCTGGCCCTTCCAGGTATATTCTATTATATTTTTCCACTCCAAAACGCATACATTCAAACCGAATAACAATTGGGACTGCTTCATTGTTCGATAAGTAGTTCAACGAATAAGGTTCCACAGCTCGATAAATCGTCGATAATTTGAAAAATAAACAACAGTTAACTAGAACCTGTGCAAACTATTTGGCCCCTATAACTTGAATTTATATAAATTGACTTTTATCGCTCGACCATAATATGCTTGCTATACATATAGGCAATTGTCAGTTGATAATTTTTTTTTTCGTTCGTGTTGCTATCGCGTGGCTTAGGTTGGAAGGACGGCTTAGTATTCAATTCCCGTTTCGATGGGATTTAATCTCCGATCGTGTCGTTGTAAATTATCTACTTTACTCTTTCGCGAGCAGATAAGATACTCTTACGCGTAAGGCGCAAAAAACGAATGAAATTGCAGAGTTTTATCAAATAAATGTATCGACACCAACGCTATATGCGTTTGGAAACATCGAAGAGCGCTCGAAAATTCTTATAAAACCGAAAGGTAATAAATAATCTCGATGGATCGTGTTTTATTTTCGTTATTCGATGTAAAACCACCAAACGGAGGACTCCAAAGAGAGATTCAGTGCCCTCGTGTGTGCTCAGTGGCCGTGAGCGAGGCAACCACTTCGTACGAAGCAGCCCCTATAATGGTTATAATGGACGGCCGCAACATATTCGCCTCGAGGAACTGTTGCATTGGTAAGGAGAGAGAATAAGTTACTAATAAATTGCATAATGCAACTAAGTAGCGAGGCTCAATCTTGTACAGCCACTAATGCAAAGCGTAGACTCGTGACTCTGTCTTCGGTACGGTCGCGAAAGGGATTAATAAGATCCTCGTCCATTTTGAAAACTTATAAAAACTCAGAACGGACCAAAAGGAAGAAAATCTTTAACGCAGTTTTATTCCTACACGTTTATAGAACAGAAACAAATTGATATCTAAACTGTTAGAAATCGGGGAATCGTGTTTCGAGTTGTGGAGGTCAATTTCTATAAACTCGAGTTGACCAAGTAGTTAACTTTAAACAACTAAATATGTATCGGTTGTATTTTACGATGTCAAAGGTCTTCGTAACCGTGATGTCCAACACAATAGTTTCTCCTGTATGTTTCATAAATAATTATTCTTTTTGGGTTTCTTGCGACCAATCGAAGTTTCCGTTTCTTTTGTAAACCAAATACAGGTTCCCTCCTTTCAGAGTTTCCATGCAATAATAATACTCAGAACTTTGGTAACATGTGGGGGACCGATTTTGGCGACATGTGGTCGATCGATGGTTTCCAACTTTAAAATATCCTTTCTCACCGAGGGAAACAGACATGCACAGTGATGATCGCTAAAGAAGAATTCATTTCTTTCATTTCGTCTGAGATAAATATAACAATCTTAACAAGTTTATTTTTAAAAACAGCATAGAAGTATAAAAAGAACTTTCTTCGACTATGATAGCAATTCATTGGAATTATGATTCAGTTCAGTGCCCCGCGAGTGCCTATACATTTACTTTTATATGATCGTTATCGAATCTACTTCTTTCTCATCCTTCGATTTCCTATTTTATCCGAATCGTAAATTGTTTACGTAACAGCTCTCGAGCATAACGTTTTCCTAACTGTAACCGTGGCACCTCGACTTAGGCCACGGGTCAAGGGGACCACCTTTGTAGAATTATTCAACCAGTTGGTAAACATTTATATTACAATGCCTGTCAATAGTATAGTTGCGTATCCTAACATATATTTATTCAAATTTGTTTAACACCGGCGCGATTCATAATTCATCGCTAGCCAAGAATGTTGGCTGTGCCCGATACCAACTTCTCGAACAAATATTTCAGCGGATGAGACAGACTTGTGGCATTTATGATTGTTCAAGTGATGCTTTAATTGTCCAACCGAACGTGGGGGTCTCTATTTGAGTCTGTTATAAACCGTGAATTTTCGCTAAATTAAACTTAATTCTCCCGAGATATTCTAAGATCTTGATACGTGGTTTTCCCGTCCTATAAAAATTCTACATAACTATGCAAATTAGTTAAGATTATAAATTCAGTGCTTCTTTTATTATCTATAAATTTTAATTTTTCGTTTTGCAAATAAAAATTTACTTTTGCTTTTTTTTCAGATGAACGGAGAAAGAGTTAGGAAAGATGTGCACTTGATTAGTTTGGTTAATTGCTGGAGATAACGATCGTAACGGTTACGCAACTTATTAGAACCGGCGTATAGTTAGAAATGAAACTTGCTTATTTTAATGAAATTCATTTGCGACACTAGCGTGTCACACGTAACCACTTGCACAATACTTGCTCGTGCTATGTGACACCTTTACGAATTTTCTTCAAACAAGATTCCCCGCGACCGTGCTAACGGAAAGTTTTTTATTTCGTCGTGTGAAACGTGTCCGTCCCATTTCCCTCCGAACGTGGACGACCTTTCGTTCAGCGGCGGTTAACTTGTGTGAATGTAACTTGATGAACAGCTTTTGGAGTCGATCGATTCGATACGAACAGTTTGAGACAGCTTTCTACGTTGGCATTGTGGGCATTACGAGCAACAGTGAATCATATGTGGACACTAGGAACATTTGTAAGGAATTATAAATAGTAGATATGGCGATTGAAACAGTAAAGTCACGTGCACGTGACAGTGGCTGCCAAAGTGTTGTGTAGTCGATGTTCAAAGAAATTCGAAAGGCTTAGGGATAGGAGAGGGTGAAATGTGTGAAAGTATATGTTTCAACTTTCTTTTGCACGATTTGAAGTATAGTTATATTTATTGATACTTCAATTGTTCAAACACATTTATCGGCCAACCCTGGAAAAAATTTTAATGGAGGATTCTAGAGGCCAAAATAAGACGAAAGTCAAGAATACCAATTTGTTGATGGAGACTTCGTTAAAAAGTTATTAATGTTTAAAGTTTCGCACAAACTGAATTTTTTTCTCGAAAATGCGCAGGATTTCGGGGATATGTTTATTCACCAAAAATGATTGTAATTGACCCCCACAATCGAAAATAATTTTTCCAAAACGATTTGAAATTTTTTTTTCCGTCGAAAAATTTCACACCTTCTCGAATTTTTTTCTAGAAAGTGGGTAGGATTTCGGGAGTATGTCTATTCACCAAAAATGATTGTAATTGACCCCCGCAATCGAAAATAATTTTTCCAAAACGATTTGAAATTTTTTCTTCCCTCAAAAAATTTCACACCTTCTCGAATTTTTTTCTCGAAAGTGCGTATGATTTCGGGGGTATGTGTAATGACCAAAAATGATTGTAATTGACCCCCGCAACCGAAAATAATTTTTTCAAAACGATTTGAAATGTTTGAATTTAATTGTTAATAACTTTTTAACAAAGCCGCCATCGACAAATTTATATTCTTGATTTTCGTCTTATTTTGGCCTCTAGAATCTCCCATTAAAATTTTTCCCAGAAATTGGCCGAACACTCTGTATAATATAAAATTAATAATTTTAAGATTTCATAACACTTGGGGGTGGGGCATTGCATCTGCTGCTGATAAAAGTGATAAGTAATTGATGATAGTGTTGAGTAGATAATGAGTGAAATGAATAATCGTTGAGACTGGTGGGTAGCTAATGAGTAACTGTTGTAAGTGATATCTATTTATTTCTGAACCAATGATCGTTCAGCTGGGCCCACAATTAGCTCTCGTGGGATTTTCTAAAAATCGTATTCTATAAAAACATTTTATGGTGGCCGACAGTCGCCGTTGGGTCGAAACGGATAAAGCCGAGTCGGAGGATTCTTCAATTGGCGCAGATTAGCTGTTGTCAAACAGGAACAATAATGTTGGACCTCGGAGATACGAATTAGAGAACAATTCGAGCGTGAATAGTTTCGAAACATTCGTACGATGTAATTTAATTACAACTCCTCTAGTTTCTATCTATTAATTTTAATACCAGTTCGTGGAACGCGGTACTTCCTTCTTTGTGTCTTCTACGAATCGGGCTCGTTTCGATCAATTCATAGGCAGAATTAATACGATCACATTCACACGACTTTATTAGTTCTTCTCTATTTCTTAATTTCTGTGTTGGTAATTACATCTCAAATTAATTCAATATAAATTAAAGAATGAAAATTTTTGTTTAATTTTTGAATGTTTAATTAAGACTGAAATCAGGCACAATAAATATCGATTCGTAGAAATGGGTAAAATGTTATTCGAATAATACGTGAAAAATAAGAACATAGATTGATTCGTTAGCGACATTAATTGCACATTATAGAGATCAGTTTTGATTCATTTGAAGCAAGATATAATTCATTCTTTTGTCGATATCGTAGCTTCTGGTTCTACAATAAGTGGTGAACATAACTTCAAGTTTGTTATAACAATGCCTGGCAGTTAGCTGGGAAATACCATCCGCCAGAATAAACAAAGATCGCGCGATCAATCTTTCTGCAAAGTTTACGCGAAGCACTCGAGAAATTGTACCGATTTGGAATCCGGCAGTCATCTTCGATATTAAAGTGCATTTTGTAACAATGAAGCAATGGTTAATTATAAAGAAGCTGTTATACGGTGATCAAAAAGTGTAAATGATGCTTAACGGTATTAATCAGCTCGAAAACGTATAAATGATCAAAGAAATGGAAGAATAAAATTGCGATTGGGGGGTGAAGGAAATCGATGGTACGCGGTGGAAAAATGTCCGGTTCCCACAAAAATTACAGAAAGGAAACACGCGCGAGCGCGTCGCGTGCTCGAATAACTTTACAACCGTAAAGAATACCAAGCGCGTAACAACGTACACCGTCGCGAGCGTAATGAGTACGACTACCGACGCATCGTAAAACAAAGAACTAGTGGTCCTATTAATGGTCAAGTATCATCATCCTTACCTTGTTAAGCAGAGTGGGATTGTGAAGCTCGTCCAAGGATGGCCTGTGAGCAGCCTGGATGCTCATGATGTTCCTGTAATTGTCCAGCCTGGGCAGCGCCTCCCTGGTCATATGCCTGAGAGACTTCTTCGTCTCTTGTTCGCCAAGAAGACTCGCACGACTTTCGAGACTATCGACACGATTCACGTGGAACCTCGTTCTCCTCAGGGGATTCAGTTCCACCGTCTCGGGATCGATGTCTCCGCTGATACCGTTTTCGTGAGCCATTTTTTCGCTTTCCTTGGTCGCTTCCTCTGTTCTACTCAAACTATATCCCTCTATCCTTTCGTCGCTATTCCCAAGTTCGATCTGTCCGGGTGTAGTTTGTCGATCGAAAGAACTGCTCCGCAGACGATCAAAGGATCCGACGATTTCACCGATCTAACGATTACAGCCTCGGGCAGGAGCTTCCTGTTAACAATCGTTGTACGACGAAAGATGTTAATTAAACTGTAGGGTGCGGTTATTTGTTCCGGTGACAATAAGGAACAGAGATTACGAATCTTTGATACTTGGTAGAAAGGGCTTAAAGAGGCCCTTCCGTTTCTTCGAATATTGTTGACCTTGTTGAATTCTTTTTTTAGCAAACCTGACGTGAAATCACGTTAGTTCTCAACAAAAATCTTTATTTGACCTACGATGATATACAGGGTGTTCAGGTACCCCTGGGAAAAATTTTAATGGGGGATTCTAGAGGCCAAAATAAGACGAAAATCAAGAATAACAATTTGTTGATGGAGGCTTTGTTAAAAAAGTTATTAACGTTTAAAGTTCTGCCCTTACCGAATTTTTTTCTCGAAAATGTGCAGGATTTCAGGGGTATGCCTATTCACCAAAAATGATTGTAATTGACCCCTGAAGTTAAAAATAATTTTTTCAAAACGATTTGAAATTTTTTTTTTCCGTCAAAAAATTTCACATCTCGAATTATTTTCTCGAAAGTGGGTAGGATTTCGGGGGTATGTGCAATGACCAAAAATTATTGTAATTCACCCCCGCAACCGAAAATAATTTTTCCAAACTGATTTGAAATTTTTTTTTTTCGTCAAAAAATTTCACATCTCGAATTTTTTTCTCGAAAATGGGTAGGAATTCGAAGGTATGTCTATTCACCAAAAATGATTGTAATTGACCCCTGTAGTTAAAAATAATTTTTTCAAAACGATTTGAAATTTTTTTTTCCCGTCGAAAAATTTCACATCTCGAATTTTTTTCTAGAAAGTGGGTAGGATTTCGGGGGTATGTCTATTCACCAAAAATTATTGTAATTGACCCCCGCAACCGAAAATAATTTTTTTCCAAAACGATTTGAAATTTTTTTTTTTCGTTAAAATTTCACACCTTCTCGAATTTTTTTCTAGAAAATGGGTAGGTTTTCGGGGGTATGTCTATTCACAAAAAATGATTGTAATTGACCCCTGTAGTTAAAAATAATTTTTTCAGAACGATTTGAAATTTTTGAATTTAATTGTTAATAACTTTTTAACGAAGCCTCCATCAACAAATTGGTATTCTTGATTTGGCCTCTAGAATCCCCCATTAAAATTTTTCCCAGGGGTGGCCAAACACCCTGTATAAAGTATCCATTGTTTTCAATGCTAAGCAATATAGTTCATAAAAATCTCTCATTACTTTGTATATTGTTTTTCGTTTCAGAATAACAGTACAGCCTCCCATGCCTATACGCCAGTAATCTTCGAATGGCGGAGTAATCGGATAATTTGTATTCAGATATGGGAATCTCCACTGTACGTATCAATATTATCGAATATTTTCTACAATTGATTTATCCATGATACGAGACATAAAGATAAATCATTCGAAACACTGATAAAAATTCAACCTTTCTAGAATGAGCATGTTATATTCGCGACGTTTATGTAATCGAAGTAGTAAAGGAAGTCCCTGCATCGTCGATATCTCCCGTGATCGAATCGCCAAGAGTTCCGAACAAGTACGTGAAAGAATAATATAAATAGTTCTCTGCGCTATCTTTTCTCGACGATTACAGTCGAAATTGACGTTAGTGGACGTTGAAAGCAAAGTCAGCGGTCGTTCCATCCCCTATAACCGGTTCGTGTTGGAAAAGATCGGCGCCCGATGCCCTTGGCTCTCGAGTCACAATTAGTTAACAACTGCCGCGTAGGCTTGTCAATTATGAAATTACCCTTGTTTACAACACTCCACACATAATTACTGGCTCTCGACGGGTTAATGCATGGGTGATCCAGTTATCGAATTAATTGTTTCTCGTAACGCCGTAAAAAAAAAAAAGAAGATGCTTGAACGAACGAGAAACTTTATTTCTCTTCGCGAGAGCGAACGCAGAGATTCAAAGAATCAGATACTTAAAAGAAGAAACAATCTTTTTCATATGCACGATCATTTTATAAAAAATTAGTTGATCAAGTACAGTAAAATTATTATGAAATATCGTATTCGATAAAAAAATCAAATACGAAATTTCAAATGGCCAATAAAAATTAATTTAAATGTTGGTTTGTTTTAGTAACATTTAAGAAAATATTCGCTCGCTGGCACCAAAGATTACCTGTTCAACGGTGATAAAGAAAATATTTCAACCGTACCGCCAATTGACGATCGTTAAAAATAATTTTTTTCCTGTTTAATCGAAAATTGTTGTCTTCCTTTGCGGGCTTCTGCCGCGAGAAACGAACGGAAGTCATCGTACTCGTGTCTTTTAACTACTCTTTGCTTTGTCTAAAATAACACATTGTTTTGCAATTATAATTCCGTTTCTTCGACGATGAATTTTTATTCGTTTTCGTATCGATTGTTCATTATTTTATGAAACGATGAAATTTTCATGAGACTTCGGGAATAGCAAATAAATTCTCTATGAAATTCCTTATGGTGCTTTATATAATACTGTTGCTGGACCACGCCTACGTAATAGAACTTTTTATTAAAACTTTTGCTAGAAATATTGTTTCGTATATTGGGTACATAAAACACGTGCATGTATTTATGAATATTAATCAATATTCTTATTAATTTTATTTCGAATATTCGTTAACGTCGTCAGAACTGTATAGTTAGTAATTAATAAGTCGAAAGAATGTTTATTCTCGTATCTTCTATTATTTTTTTCGAACTTCATTACAGTATGCATTTACAAGTAATATTGTACATTTTTACGCGTTTTTAAAAGAGCTACTGCAAAATACACATTTTTATACTATTTCATTAGATGTTTGCATTTATTGGAAATTCTATTATTAAAATTCAAAATACTATATAATATTCTCTCTACTAAATAATTCTTTTTCAATAAACAAGCTGTGAATTTCAAAACGACATTGTGTACGTACGATATTCTAGAAAACTACTTGGACGCAACGCTATATAAAGTCTATCATCTCACGAACGCAACAAGCGAGTATATTTTAAAAGATATTGTTGCCTAGGAATGCAGCTGCCTCACCCATAGCTGGACTGGTCTAATAATTGAACAGATATTATACAGGGTTTTCGGCCACCCCTGGGAAAAATTTTAATGGGAGATTCTAGAGACCAAAATAAGACGAAAATCAAGAATACCAATTTTTTGATTGAGGCTTCATTAAAAAGTTATTAACAATTAAATTCAAACATTTCAAATCGTTCTGAAAAAATTATTTTTAACTAAGGGGATCATTTTCAATCATTTTTGGTCAAGAGACATACCCTCGAAATCCTACCCACTTTCGAGAAAAAAATTCGAAAAGGTGTGAAATTTTTCGATGAAAAACAAATTTCAAACCGTTCTGAAAAAATTATTTTTAATTAGGGGGATCATTTTCAATCATTTTTGGTCATTAGACATACCCTCGAATTTCTACCCACTTTCGAGAAAAAAATTCGAGAAGGTGTGAAATTTTTCAACAGAATTAAAAAATTTCAAATCGTTCTGAAAAAATTATTTTCGATTGCGCGGGCCAATTAAAATTATTTCCAGGGGTGGCCGAATACCCTGTATACTATTCGAATACTACAATTTGAGTATTCGAATAGAATTATTTCGACAATTACATACAACGAACATCCCTTAAAATGATAGAAATTATTAGTTTAGTTCCCGCTGGAAGAGTCTTTGCCACAGTTGTGAACATAGTGATTTAAAAAAAAAAAAGAGTGAACGCGTTAGTTTTTCTTTATCAAATTAGAAATGTAATATAGTAGGTAGTCAGTTCTAGTCTCGTTCCGGTCGTCGTGCTTTGCTACAAACGCGGACCTACGTTTCGTTACATTATTCTCGCACGAGGGGGAAGACCGGTATATGTATAGGTACATCGTCTTTATACGAGTCTTTCCCAACAAAAAACGCGTCGTATTCAACCGACGAAACAGAAAGAAAATATTTGATCCTTCACCTTTCCTCCCAGTCCCGTTTAAGGGTCCTTTCGAGTAGAACAGGGTTTCTGTAAGGTATCCGATTCCCCCATAACCTCACGCCATGAATATTCACGCCTCTCGAACTGTTTCACATCTGCCCGCGAGATGTATTTGACGACTCTAACAATCGAAGCTTTTCAAAAACATGTCCAACGGCATCTCGGGGCAACGTGGGATGAAAGCCGGTGCCTTCTCAGCCCGTTTCCACGATCGCACGATGGAAACGTGTCCCTTTTCACTGAACTCGCACTGAACGAGAATTTTCTTGGAGCCGGAGCACACTACTTACGCGTTCACAAGCACGTGTGACTCCTGTCATACGTACTCGTGCGATTTCAGAGACTCGCCACTGCTTGACGCGTCCAGTCGTCACTATATCCCGTGTACTACTGACGGAACGTCGCACGAATCATAATTCCCTTTTGCTTGAGCGCGCGTACACGGCCGCGCGCGCATCATGTAATCCGATAAATGGATGTTGACCGCGTAAGGGGAAAATCACCAATTCCGCTATACCTTCTACTTTAAACGATCTACAGACTATCGATATTTGCAAGATGTATGTTTGTAAATTCGATCAACCGTCTTTTCCACAAGAAAGAGAATCGATCAAAACCGTGAATAAATCTCCAATAATCCTCCAAACGTATGGGGCTACTTGCGGCATCATCTTGGTTTCGCGCGCCATGGCACTTGACAGCTGCGCGAAATAGATGCGCAGGAATATTTTAAATAACAGACGATTTAACCCTCTATAAAACAAATTATATTTGGTTCTGAAACAAATTATACGATCGAACACTAATAAAGCACTGCAGTGTAAAGTGCGCCTATACAAAGTTACTATTCGTATGCAACCGTATACATGTTAAACAATAAAATAATTATATTATTCTTATTTCATTACGACCCAATATAGTGGCACGTATCAAAATTAATTCTACAAACATAATGAAATATATTTAATAAATGATATTTTGAATTTTACATATTTCGAAGACATCATTGTTATTTCATTTTTACGCGTATTAAAGCTGCGTACCTATTATACATATCGCGCAACTATAAAGCGCCTAGACGCGAAACCACAGTGCGTATTATGAAAGAGGAGGACAGATTACAACAAGCGAAGTTGTTCGTAACTTTCCCTTTACGCGACCAAAATTGTGTCACTAAGTGTTGTTAATTATGTAATTTTATTGTTTTTACTATGTATATACTTCATATACATCAACAGAATTGTATAAAATATATTTTTTAATATTAAAAGTATATAAACAACTGTAAACGATTTTTTTTTTTAATTTAATACAAAAATTATATTAAATATTATTACTTTTGGAATTTGATGACTAAGCATGTTTGCAAAATGCTTTTAGAATTGGCAAAAAACAAACAGAATTAAAAATTTCTTCAATGCATTAAACAAATTTGTCACTTATTTATCTTTATATAGCAGACATAAATTAATTCGTAAAAATAAAACATGTAATTGCGAATTTTGTTATGTCTAAATGCTATTTTAATAAACTAATTATTACTAAAACCATTGAACACAAGTTCAATTGCTGCTTGAACATCACCGTTCGTAAATTGCAATGCCTGAATATTCAATGTATCATTTTGCAGTCCGATTTCGTGCATCTGTGCTAACTGTCTTTGCAAGTCTGTAAATTGCGGTAAAACGGGTGGTAAAATTGGTGGCAATATAGGATCACTGATTAAACCTGGTGTTGCTGCAGAAGCTTGTTGCATAGCTTGCGTGAACATTTCGGTAGTTATTACTCCAGCATTTGTACCACCACCTGAAGTAGAGGAGGAAGAATTGGAAAGGGGAAAACGTCTAACTCTTGCTCTGGAAACCGCTGCTGCAAGTTCTGCAGCAATGATTGTAGCATTTGTTGAATTAGTGTTCAAATTTGGTGGCTGCGTAGAATCTGAGGATTGAGAAGAATCTCCAGCCATTTCTTCATCGCTCAAATTATCTAAATTATACGAGTAAGTAGCAGGTTGTGAGTTGGATACTGAATTGTTGGAGTTAACGGTTGCATTGTTGTGTGCCTCTTCGTGAACAGCAACAGCTATATTATGCACAGCTTCTACTAAAAGTGGATGTACCTCTGCAAACCTATTCATGTAAACAATATACAACTTAATTATAAATGATATTAATTGCAATACATATATAAAATAATATTTACCTTCTAACAGTATCTACATCGGTAAAGTGTGCCATTAAGTCAGCATTTTGTAATATAGCAATTGCTATTGTGTCTTCGTGTAATCCAGGAAACGATGAAATAATATTGCTTAAAACTTCTGGCTTTTTGCTAAAACGCTAAAATTAATAAATATAGTTTATGATACATGTTATACATGTTTTACATGTTATAAAAAATAAATATGACATTTACATGCAAAGTACTCTGGAGTACAGGATTATCTGTAATAGACTTAAATGCAGATACAAGCTGTAAAATGCTATCCTCTGATATATATTTAGGTACTGTTGATGTCTCTGTTTCCTTCTTTTTTAAAACATGTACCACTGCACCACCTTTTAAACCATAAGATTCTAGAGTTAGGTCATCTTCAAGGATGCTCCCACAATAAATCAGTTCTGGAAAAGTAAAAGAAATTACGAATATTAGACTATAATTCAATAATTATTTTTATTCAAATTATAGTTAGTATTATACTGTAAACGAAATTACGATAACTTTATATCATAAGTTGTTTATGTATTAGAAAACTCGAGGGTTATGTATAAAATAGTAAAAATCAAAACAAAGGATAAAAACTGAAAAGTAAAATGTCATTTTACCAAACGATTCTCTTGTTAGGTTAACCCTTCCAGCTATCTCACATTTCAGCTCCTTAACTTTATTTTTAAAACTAACATCATTTAATTTAATCGTGGTAAATGTTTCAGGGTCTAAATATAAGCCTAAAAATAATTCTGAAGTCATTATTATCAGTGAAGAATCCTATTTTAAATCACAAAAGATACACTTCGCAATCGATATACTCTTCGATTTTACGAAATCATCGACTTCACTGAACTTTACATGACGCGTATTATCTTCAACCACTGTTTTCAAGTATTTATGTAATGTTTTGTAGTCGACTACTATGGTGAACATTCAGCGTTCAAAAACTTTAAATCATATTTGTTTCATTATTATTAACGTTACGCTATTGTAAATAAACTTTCAACAATATAACGTATAGTGTAAAGTAAAATGGCGCTTATTACAAGAATGCTCCTAAATTCAAAGAATTAAGAATCAAATAAAAACTCTGTTAATCATAAAGTCGCCAATTTATTGTTTTTACTGTACAGTGGATTTCAAATTATTAATTATTTTAAACTCTGATTGGCAAAATCTAAACTGCAAAGAATGATATTTGAAAACTACGTTGAATCGATAAACGATGTCTCGATACGTTCACTGATCATTGTATCGATACTTTTACGGATACATCTGTGCATCCGATGCACGATGCATTGCATCGGTGTATGTAGTATGTAAAATCTAACGCCAGCGCCAGCAATATGAGGAGCAAGTTCAGTGATATGTATGCGATAATTTTCAGTAGCTGACATTCAAATAATTTCCGTATAATGTTGTACAATATACAACTCTGATATGACATAAGAACAAGCAGAAATGCAAGACATTTGCGAAAATATACGTACAGCTATTGAACATGGACGTACCGATATAATTAGATCCCTTTTAGATGCATGTACGTGTAAGAAATATTACTTTAAAATTGTTTATTATCCGTCATATAATGCTATGCTATAAGTACTTGTATTTAAAATATATTGGAAAATTAGATTAAAACATGGCACATTGAATTTGATATATTTCGTGTAACGGAACTTTTAAAGTAGGTACAACTGTTTCAATTTTCTACTTCACTTTTGACAGGCGAAAATGGCAATACAGCCGAAGGTATAACAAAAGACAAGATCTTAAATCAACCACTCTTAGAAGAAGGTACTTTTCTTTCATATGCTGCAAAGGTAACTACATATATATCCGATTGTAAAATGATAATGCATATAAATGTACTATAAAGAATAAGAATTTTTCATTAATTTATTTAAAAATACAGACCAATCAACCAGATATTGTACGAACGTTATTAAGTTGTGGAGCTAATCCTGCTATTCAAAACAGTAATGGGCACAATGCTGTAGATGTTGCATCAAGCGATGCAATACGTCGTACGTACATTGAAGAATTATTAAGAGCAACTGCAGCATCTGAGTATGTGTTATAATATTTGAATAAGTTTGTCTTTCTATTAGTAATTGATGTTTTTTGTATTATTTATTGTATTATTTTATTGTATTTAAAGGATAGACAGGGTAGTGCAATTATTAGATGCAGGATTAAATGTGAATTCATGGGATTCCCATGGCAGTAAAAATACACCTTTACACTGGGCAGCTTGTTATGGAAACAAAGATATTGTCGCATATTTAATTGGTAAAATTTTGGAATTTATTTAGTAGAATGATTATATTTTTTACCGTGTAAAAAATTATAAAATTTTTGTACAGATAGAGGAGCGGATGTAAATGCTGTAAACGGTTGCGGCGCTACACCATTACATGATGCAGTAAATCGTGGTGATGTTGCTATTTGTCAAGAATTATTACAAGCAGGTGCAAATCCTCTTGTACGAGCATCTAAAGGGTATATAGATAATACAATACTATACTAATAATCGGGGGTTTCGCAAAATCGGAGATCCTGAAATGCCCGGGTCTCCCGAAGATATTCGGGAAATAATTCGAGAGGATTCACGAAAATTTGAAATAAAAGATTTATACTAATTGTTTCCTTCCTTTTACAATTTAAAAAATTTATAATAATTTTTATCGAGTACTCTAGAAACTTCCGAATATCTTTGAGAATCTCGGATATTCTTCCGATCCCGAAAAAAATTTTCGGGATCCCGCACACTCCTGCTGATAATAAATATTTTATCGTACTCAAAAGAAATATTTTACAGAACTTTTGCAGGAAAAAGTCCATATGATCTTTCTAGAGGGAAACAACCTTTACACTGTTTTCTTCAAAGTTACTTATCGAACTTTGTATCGAATGAAGGCGAAACAATGCATAGTCCAACTGCATCGTTCACAGAAGGAAACTTCTGTCAAAAAAGTATTTCAAGTAATATGAGTCAACTTTCTATTGAATCCAATAAGTCAGTAGATCCCGTATATGATATACCTTTACGCGAATCAGGTAAAGACAGCCCGACTAAAAGTACAGAGAAAGATGGGCTTTATAGTTTACTCTGGCCACAACCGAAAACTGTTGTCGAGTTAAAAAATTTGTCCGCGTCTTTTATTGCTGGGAAAGAACTTTTTATATCTATAACACAGGTATATATAACGTAACTAAATAATGATTATTGTTATATTGTGCACCTCGTGAATTTTTTTGTTATATGATATATTGTTACATAGGGTAGTGAATCTATACACAAGATACTAGATGTTTGGGAAATTAGCAGGACTCATTTATTAGAGTTGGGACACGATGTAAAAATTGGCGAAGTACACCCCAGCTCTGGCAAATTACTTAACGACAATAGAATCGAATGTATAGTAAATAAAAAATTATTTAATAAACCTGATGGATATCAGTTACATATTTCACAAAACACTATAAAAGTTGGTGCTGGAAGCTTAGCTGGATTACATTACGCAGTTTGTACATTTGTACAGATTTTGCGATTGAGCAAAAGTCATAGCAAGTCGGAAGTATGCGAGATCGAGCCCGTTTTTATAAAAGATGAACCAAGATTCTCGCATCGCGGTATATTGTTAGATATATCGCCAAGAGGTCGCATCCCCACTTTAGAATATTTACTGCATATGATCGATTTGTGGTCATCCTTTAAAATATCCTATTTGCATCTTTATTCAAGACTCACTCCAAACTGTGATTGGCAACTTTGTTATTCAAAGTCAGAAATGATTACTCTTGACCGTTACTGCAGGTTCGTTCATTACTATAATAAATTGTAACAATTTACGATACAATATATCCTCCACTGACATTTACTTTAAAACGTGTATTTCTTACTGCAGGGATCGACATTTAAATTTAGTTCCAACTTTGGATATCGATGCCAACGTGGGTCAACATCATTTATCACAAATGTGGCCTATATTCCAAGAATTACTAGCGGTGTTTCCAAGTTTGAGTTATGTTCATGTTGGGCCCAGATTAGCTAGTTTGCTAGTTCAAGCCGATAATTTTGATTTGAATTTGTCAATTAATGAAACTATAGAAACAGATATGTCGGAAGTATTCAAATCGTATTCTTGTCTTCAAGAATTATGGCATACTTTGAATTTGAGCTCGAGTACGACTTTGTTACTTTGTTCGAATGGTTTACATTCCAAGCCGGAATTTCATAACATACCCAACAACATTATTCTTGTTGAATATGGATTTCAGGTAAATAACACGGTTTTTTATTTGTTCGCTTTGTTATGAAATATTAAATTTTAAGTGATTCTGTTACTTTAACTAATCAAATTTCATGGTACAGGCAGATTATGATTTCTCTGAGTGGACGGAAGCGTTCAGAATAGCAGGTGGTAATGTTTTATCTAGTTCTGGAACAGCCAGTTATAATAGTTTAGCGGGATGCCCTGCATCAACCTACGCAAATACAAAGAACGCAATAAAAACTTCTCTTGAACAAGACTCGGTGGGCATAATTGTAGCACATTGGTCAGGGAGCCATCATCTTACTCCACACCCTTTTGCTTGGATTGGATATTTAATAGCAGCAGGATTGGCATGGAATCCAGCCAGTGAGATAGATATGGGGGTCGATGACAATTATGAAATGTCCGAAGTCTTTGGATCAAAGTAATAATCTAACTAAATACTGATAATTCGAGAGGCGTATCTAAAATAGTTTAGAAATCACTGTCTTAATAAAATCATTATCTTTTTAGACAAAAATGTATTACAAGATTGCTGGATACTCATATTTTTCAAGATTCAGAATGTAAGATCGGAAACGCAATATTAGAATTGGGACGTTTAGATACTTTAGTACTTACTTTAAGTAAGAACCAAGGAACAAAATATTTACAACAGATCCCTGATAATCGAGGATCAACGTTGTACAGATTGTTAACAGATCCGGATAATGTAAATTTGGAGTATCTTTCAGCTGATTTATTTGCAGTAAGTATACAAATTCTAACTATAAATATTAAAGGAAATATAAGTTCAGAATAAACACAGAAGAAATAATATTTTTAACAGAAAGTAACAAAACAAATTAAACGCATTTCGCATTCGTTGTATGAAGCCAATTTATCGTCCAAATTTGCGTCGATGGAAATACAAGAACTTCAATTAACCGCTGATTTAATGTTAACGGCATGCAAAATCGGAAGGACATTGATTGGCGTTGGTGTTAATCCTAATAGCAATATGGGTCTTGCAGTAATTAATTTAGGAGTATGTAATCTGCCGCCTACATTTAGAACCGATGTAGCGAATAAAATGTTAGCTCATATAGAGCAATATAAAGGTTCGTGGTTACAAAGGCATTTACCTCAGGGCCTTCAAAGCTCTTTATTAGTTCTGACTAGTGCTTTACATAGGTTCGTGCCAGAATAATAATTTCTTGAACATTAAAAATTTTAAAGACTTTTCATATTTATATGTAATAAATGTCAGTTCCTGCTATACAAGATTGCAGGTACGTGCTGCGCTAAAAGCAATTATATATAGAGCTTATGAATGTTCCTTTAAAAGTACACTCGTTAATACAGAATAATCCAATCATGCCACATCTGTTATTTTAAATACTATTTCAATTTTTCTTCCTGATCGAATGGTTTCATATTTCAATAATTTTTAGTACTTAAACCTTTGCACTTATTTATTGGTAATAAAAATTGAATTAACGAAATAAACGAGTAAAATTTAAATTATAAGCATTTACACATTTTTGTGGCAAAATGAGCGCTTTCGATTTTCGGAAGCGACACAATAAAATTGTTTTGAAGTTACTAGTCGCTCGTATTAGAAAAATAATTGTTTCGAGTGCAGAGGGTTAAACGAAGATGGTACTAAGGGAACATACTCAAGGTCTAACGAAATTTGATAAAAAAGTATTGTTCATGCCAACTTATAATGTGGAAAGTGATAATTACAGTTATAAAATTGATTTGTTCAAATACCAGTAAATTTAGTGATTATGTATATGTGTTTAACGAGTTATAATATATTAATTACTTACACAAGACTTTCATGTCAAAATATGTATTCAAAATCTATACAAAAGGGTATTTTAATACTAAAAGTTTTTAAAACGATATAATTTTATACATTCAGTAATACTTAGAATAATATTGCTGCTTCATGAAACAACTAAGCAGTTCAGTCTAACTTGTATATTTTTTCAAGATTTAAATTTCCACAGTATTGTTAAGCTATTCATAAAACATTTGTATACTTGAACATGTGTTTATGATATTAATTTCGATTGATCAAATACATTTTGATAGTATTTTTTAAATCTTTTATACTATTACACATGTATGTAACAACATTGATATACCTATGAAGCTTCAAAAAAAGTGAAACGTTTTTTAAATACACGTAACGTTAAAACAAAATGATGTTAATTAATACGAAGTGAACAATTCTATGAATAAATATTGCAAAATATAAATTATTATTTCACTGTTTGCTATTATCATGTATAAGATTATTTTTGTTTTGTTCGTTCCATCCACCCATTTCTAAATCCTGTTTGTGTGTCATTTCATTTTCAAGAGCCTGAAGTCTATAGAACTCGTTAATTTCGAATTGATATTTTGGAGATGTAATGCCAAAGAAGTTAGCCAACCATTCGCCTGCATAATCACAACCATCCAACAGTTTAGTACCGAACCATGATGTTTGATACCAAGCCCAGGGCATCCAATTAAGTGTCTTCTGCAAATTTCATTTTGTAATTCGATATGGGATATATTACAGGAACTCTTAATCATTGTAAAGGTTAGAAATGTTAATACAATGCGTGGTTATAAACAAAACTTAACTGGGTCTATATGACTGGTTGTTATATTCTCTTCTGGAGCATCTGTTTCGTCTTCGGAATATTCTTCCAAATCACCATCCGAAAAATGCAATATGCGCTTCGGTCGTTTTTTCGGTTTCAGACCCTAAAATCATTTCGTAAGTCTACAAATACAAAGTCCTAATACAATTTCTCAAGTTACATACTTGTGTATCAGTACTACTGCTTTCGTTTAAAACAACGTCAGATAAGTCGGAAACGTCAATTTTTTCTGGATCCGTGGCCATTATTCGATTTTTTGCAAAATCTCTAAGTAGCAATTATAGAGGATTATTTACAAACACTTTGACAGATCTCATCTGGGACATCAACCAAAGATAGAAATACAAATTGTATGAGCTTGAGTTATTCGAAACTTAATGGTGAATTATTCGAACAGAAAGTAATTACGAATATGTACACTAATTCACTCCATTTTAGGAAAATACGTAATGCCAATGGAATTAAATGTAATCCTTTCTCCTTCTTTTTAGCTTATGATCTGTAGTTGCGCGATTGTAATGCTAGATTATACTAGCCATCGTTATTTAGCCTTTATAGCATGTTATCAAATCAATGAGTAAATTATTATTTATTAAATAAAATTCATCGTAAAATTAGATTTATATGCCATTGAACGTACAAGTACGAACGAATGAACCAGTCACATGTGTGTGAAACGTCTCTTGTGTATCTTATCTGTGGTGGAATATGCATTGAATTGATATTGGCCACCTACTCTATCGATCATTTAGTTAAAACTTGGTTACCAACAATGTAACTTGAACTCAACCTTGTATGCATTACCAGAGAATCTCTGTTATAGATCTACGTCTTTCCTACCTCTTTTATATTCCTGTGGATGAACATGCCCAATATTAATAGGTTATCGTACTTGGTAAAATAATACAATAAAATAAAACTGTCGATCCCTCGGTATATAATTCATTAGAACTTCTTACTTCTAATCTCACTGGAACTATCTAATCTTATAAATAAAATAGCCTATTGATAACGGATACTAGAGTAGTTCAAGCACAGAAAAAGCCTATGTAATAGGCTATCGCCTTCGTCATTTTTGTTCTCAAGTTCGTACGCGCTTTTATCGATAGCGTTTATATTCACACTAAACGAAAGTAGCTGAAATGAGAATAACAATCAAAGGGAAATTAATACGGTGTCGGATGCATGCGAAGGAGTTGTCGCGAAGACTAAACACGGTTTATCGATAAAGCAAATAGCACGCAGTCGGTTGCATTTTGTGATTCAGTGCCCTATACAACGAAAGACTGTCCGAGTCAGAGGTTTGCGCTTGGTAACCGTGGTGATGGTTGTTCAACCGTGACGTTTCTTGTTTTCTCTACAGTTAAGTTTGTTCTTTGTACATGTTATTCAAGTGATACTTCTTTTAAAAAATTTTTAATCTGTGATGGCACGGATGCTCACTTGTTTGCGATACTTTCTCATCGGTGGTGCTATTGTCGTCGGTGTAAGTGCATATTCCACTAACTACATATAAATGATACTATTCAGTGTTTACACCCAACGATCCACGTATTCGGCGCAGTTAAGAGAATTCGTTTCATTCCTCTTATCAGAATAACCATAGAGTATTATGTTTCTTTTCTGTTCGATTCTTGGACGTTCTATTATTAAAAGTACAGCAACCGGTGACTGGTCTCTGATTTGTCGCAAAATTGGACGACCGCCAATATACTATGTTAGAACGGTGTTCTTTCAAGAATTACGATATTCCGGTATTTGAATCGTAATTGAATAATGTCTTGCTCTCCCTCTCCCATGTCAACAATTTATTATTCATTTTTGTTATTGATTGATACTACTGTTAATGTTGACGATTTCTATCAACATATGTAAACTTGTAGTTTTTACTTTAATTTTACATTGTACAAAAAGCTTATCGATTTGATTCCACTACAAATTACGAATGCTCGTTTCAGTTGTCGAAAAGAATCAATTCTATTATTATAAGCAATACAATTTATGTAACTCGTAACAACCAATCAAATACTTTTGTTTGATCAGATAAACTTCTATCGTTTGCTTCTTATCTATATCTCTGTGTATCGAAAAAGATCCGCGATGTCGATAACGTACAGTATATTGTCCATGATATCGGCACTACAGAAGTATGCCGACAAATCATGCAATACAATTGATGTAACTTATGCGTAATTGTTCAAACAGATACGTTTAATATAATAAATATCAACGACGATCTACTCAACAAAAGTTTCTCATCCGTCTCGAAGCCCCCCCCTCCCCCCCTATTTTCTTAAAGACGGAATTCTTGCTCCTGATAGGCGACTGGACGTTACATTGTCTTTGGAAAATGACAGAAAATTTTTTCTCTTTCACAGATATGCGGTGCCATAGAGAGCATATTCGCTGGTTATTTCATATATCAACTGTACGAATATTCACCTCTCACGCCTAATAATGTGTGCGGTTCATCGATAACTTTATTAGTGGCGGGCCTGATGACATGTATGATAGCATGGTGTGCCTGGCAATTCATAGATTTTACGAATACGAGTCAAGTCACGATTGTAAGAAATACAATCATCATTGTTATTTTCAAAGAATTTTTTTTTATCGTGCCAAAATAAGTATGTACTGTGCATCCACGAGAAGAAGGCACAGCGTGTTTACATCCCCACTCCTGTTGCAGTCCGCTGACTCACAGGTATTGGTCGAATGACGAAGATCGGCGACAGCCAATCAGCGGATTGCAACAAGAGTGGGGATGCAAACACGATGCGCCTTTTTCTCGCGGAAGAACGATACGTGTTGAAAGACATTTTGTTTTTGCATGCAGCTTTCCATGGCGTTAATAATCGTTACGATTGTTAACGCGAGCGCTGGTATTTGGGCTCTTGTTAGACACGAACAAGTGGACATATTACCAACTTTGTATCTCGAAAAAGCATTCGCCCTAGCTACATCGGATGATAAAGTTTTTTGGGATCACATGCACTCCGAGGTAAATTAACAATTTAATTTACTATTATTACTATTAATTTAACAGTAGGAGGCTTGGGTACACGTTAAAATTGTCCTTTCTTTAGTTACATTGTTGTGGAATAAACGGACCTGTCGATTATCATAATCACGATGCAGTTCCTTGGTCTTGTTGCGATACCGTCTCGCTACTTTCAAATGTTGATGATAATAAAGGTATCTGTGCCACGATGTACGCAAGGGGTTGCCAACATGTAGTAATAAATCGTACTAGATCGATTCTCCTTCACGTTTTTCTACTCGCATTGTGTGCAGTATTATTACAGGTAAGAGTATAATTTTTAAATTTATTAAAAAATTAAAGAATTATTTTCAATCGTTATTATGTTATTTTTAGGTGTGTTTTGTAATAGGTATGTGTTGTTACGTGAGAGCTTGTCGGGAAAGATTGACGGAATCGATGATCGCTACGCAAACACTCGCGCGAGCATCCAAAGACTTGGGAACGAACGATAACCTTCTCGGTCGACAGCCACATGATTGATTTTCTACGATCATCGTAGAAAATAATTACGTTATCCATTCACGTGATGAAAGTCATATTCACCTTCATGAAAGTCGAATTTAATGGTAGTAACTCAGTTAAAGCTTCAATATCATTTTGAAGTATCACTTGCAATAAATACATAAAAAAACATAATATAGTATTACAATACATGGCATTTTACGTAATATATTGTGAAATCCTCGCTAAATATATTGTGCCATATTTTAAAATTTTATACCAAATACAGAGTTCCTTACCTTAAAGGTAATTTTTAATAACAATTTTTCAAATAAAATATAGTATTAGTGTACAGAGGAATGCGAAAATACGGATCTACTATTAGCTCAAAATTCATTACTTTTGTACTGATAATGAAAATGTGAATGATGTTTGCCTGACTGAAATGTACAATTCTAGATCTACTGATACAAGACAATGTAATTTTTATTAATATGTACGACAATATGTACTATTTTATACATTTTACCACATACAAGAGAAATATTTCTAATATAATATATTGCTTATTTTATGTCCCCGATTTATTTGAAAGTTGTAACAGCATTTGAAAGAAATTATCTTTGATTTAAAATACATTAGTTTTATCTCTTTCTAAATTATGTCCCCATGCAAACGTGTCTATATACTTTTCCATGATTATAAAATTTCAATTAACAATAAAATGTGCGATTAATGCATTAATAAATATAACAGAAACTTAGGAGACTACTCAAACTAATTTCGAAGAAAACGTTACAGTGTATGCAGCCATTATTTACAAAATATTTAAAAAACTACGCCCTATGTAATAAATATAAACACTTGTACGAGTTAAAACATTATGAATCGTTAGAAATTGTTTGATGAATCATTAAAAAAGATAATACAGAAACGATTATCGAAGTAAGGATTATATTCTGTATAATTGAATTTCATTGAAGCGCGTACCATTATCGTGCACGGCTTATATACAACATAGACGTACAACTCTATATAGAAAATATGTCAAAAGTAATAATTTTCAAAGGATATACGAAAGAAATGACGGAATATGTACTATTTTGCAAAGAGTTGATTTGTTTTATCCATTTAAACGATTTATAAAATAACTAAAAAGCAGTATAGATGTCACTTTTCTCAAAGTAACCGAAATACACTAAACTCTTTATAGTAACAAAAAATAGCGTATCGAAACGTATCATTACTAAATTTATAGTCAATGACAGTAGTCACTATGGAGTGGTTATGTATGTTGCTGTCCGTCGATGACAGTTCTATGACATCTATTAAAACTGATATACTAATAAACATAAAACCATGAGTGACACAACAAAAATTGAATGTAATTCTTATATAAGTATCGAATAAAGGTAAATCAGTCAAACAAATTAGTTTGACTTTGCATTTATTTACAAAGTACTTCTTTAAAAAAATACATTTCATTGTATTACACACAGTATAGGCACTCTGCTATCGTTGATAAGTAGATAATCATTTAAATAGTTCAAAGTGTCAATAAATGTACAATTGAGCATAATTTCTGTCTTTTATTGTCAACAGTAATAAATATTTTTGTTACGACGATAATAGCTTTTTAAAGAAATTTTTACCTATCCAATCAAGAATAAATAACATTTCTTCAATTAGTAATATGAGTAACAACGATAAACGTAATGGACTGTATTTTATTATTTACTATAGCCGATTAATAAGCGTATTTTTGAAATACACTTTATTGATTAGGTTATGTTTACAAACTCTAACTTTTTATATTTCTTACAATAACTTTATGAACAACTATTGATAATTAGTAAGAAATTATATTTAATTTGATTGGGATAATAAAAGTTGAAGAGAAGTAATAATTTATAATACATCATGGTTTGTGCATATGTATGATTATAAATAATGAATTTGGAATATGTTAAACAAAATCAAATGGATTGCTATTATTTTCATAAATATTTCTCTTTATGATTCTAGCATTGAATGACAAAATGAACAGTAGTTTTGGATTCCACAATTAATAAAAAAAATTAAACATCATCATCATGGAGGAGAATGAATTGTACAATGCTACAGTTCCATCTTTCTCTGGAATTGAACCAGCCTTTTGGAATTATTCAGATCATGTCATCCTTGATGATCTCAAGATGGATAGTAGTTTTATATATTTACTTTGCTCATTAGTATCTGCTATTTCCTGGATTATTTATATAGCCTATTATAATAGCAGAGTTATTGGTTATATATTAACAAAATTATTAAATCGATTTGTTATTAGAGATGGATATGTTAAAGTAGGTAAGTGCTTGTAGTATGTATGTTTGTTTCATATTAATGTGTTTTTGTTTATAATTCATCAATTATGTCTAACATGTTTTTCTACATTTAGGGTCTTTTACTCTAAGTGCACTAAGCGGAAAAATAATGTTTAGAGATATAGTTTATATCACAACAGATTATAGTATCAGAGTTCAGGATGGATGGCTTATATTTAGGTGGTGGAGGAGTTATGTTCCCAAAGATGTATCTGAAGGTATTCTACACAATGAATACAATTATGTAATTTATGTTATTTTATTTGGAATTCCGTTTTCACAGAGCTATAATTCATAAATATTTATACTGTTAGTAATTGTTTACGAATCACGGTATTTATTCAGGGTGTTCAATCATCCCTGGGAAAAATTTTAATGGGAGATTCTAGAGGCCAAAATAAGACGAAAATCAAGGATAGTAATTTGTTGATTGCGGCTTCGTTAAAACGTTATAGAAATATTTCCGGCCACACAGTATATTTTCGGTAAAGAATTTTTTTCACGAAAGTGCGTAGGATTTCGGGGGTATGGCTATTGACCAAAAATGCTTGTAATTGACCACCGCAACCAAAAATAATTTTTCCAGAACGATTTGAAATTTTTTAATTTTGTCGAAAGATTTGCCCACTTACTGAATTTTTTTCTCGAAAGTGCGTAGGATTTCGGGGGTATGGCTATTGACCAAAAATGCTTGTAATTGACCCCCGCAACCGAAAATAATTTTTCCGTGAATGATTTGAAATTTTTTAATTTAATTTTTTAATAACTTTTTAACGAATCTTCAATCAACAAGTTAGTATTCTTGATTTTCGTCTTATTTTGGCCTCTAGAATCTCCCATTAAGATTTTTCCCAGGGGTGGCCCAGCACCCTGTATATATTTCTTTAAAATAACATTAAAGAATTTATAAAAATGGAAAATATTTCTTTTTAGATCTTTCACATTCAGACACTCGACTTTCCGTCATGTTAAATGGCTTTGAATTACACGTTTACAATCGCTGTCAACTATATGCACAACTAGAAAAAGCATTTGGCCTCACACCTCAAATGTTTTCCGACGAAGAAGATCATACTGTTAATATAGATGATCGTGATCCAGAGTCATATAGTAATGCTGCTTGTGAGGCTCGTCAACAAATAAATGCAATGGATGTTTCACGTCATGTTGATAACATTAGGAAAAAAGAAGCTCATGTTATAGCTCGAACTTGGAGAGATTTAATACCTGTTATTAAATTAGATGTTTCTACAGTTAGTTTACGCATTATTTTTCTATAAATAATAGGTGTGTGTGGAGTTACCGAACATTCTCGGGAATCCCGCACACCCCTAATAGATAACAATCATTCTCTCTGCTTAAAACATTTTGTTACTTCAGGGGAGACTGGTGTTCGGTAATCGATTAGTACCAACAACTTTGTCAATAACCGTGGAGGAAGCACATTTCGTATATTCTACAAAACCAGCAGCATCTCGACATGACCATTTCATGCATTTCACAAAGTGTAAAGCAGAAAATTTCAAAGTTATTTTAGCACCTAGTCCAAAATATACAGGAATGGTAGATGATCCACCTAGATACATGGGTGAAGGATTTGTTGTTCTAAGCTCAAACAATATGGAGGTTTACTACTATATGGATGAACCAGGATTTGTCCCCGAGCATCCAGAAATGATACAACTGGTAAATGGTGATATGGTAGAAGCTATGCCACCAATCTGGGGTATTGATGTTAAATGCGGGAAGGGCACTGACTTTAGTTACGGGCCTTGGGCCGATAGACAAAGAGAACATTTATTTAAATTCTTTTTCCCTAATGATTATCAGCCACTGAAAGTTACAAAATCACCCGTGTCTGGCGAGAAAAGACAAGTTCAATCGTTTGACATTAGATTATCAACATTGAATGAAGCTACAATCGATATACTCTTTAGCAAGAACAGGGAAACAAACGCTGTTCATATTAATGTAGGTCCTGGATCTTATCTGGAAATTACCATGCCTTGGATAGTTTTGCAAGATGGATACACAACAAAGATAACAGGTCAACTGTTGCACTTAGAAGCAACTACGAGTTTACAATATCGAAGTTTAGTTGAAAGCGAAACATTAGAATTTGGTGTTAAATGTCACTATCCGATAAGATGGAACGATCATCAGGAATGGACGTTAAATTTAACTGGATGCAAAGCCACTGCTAATTTAGTTTATTCGCACAAAGAATTTTTTCAAGATATGATTAATGATTGGGCCAGTAAAGCCAGGCCTGATATTTTACATTTTGTACCTTATACGTGGAAGTTTAATTTATTATTGAAAGAATTTGAATTGATCACGTTATGTAATGAATATAATTGGATCGACTGTTCATCACAGAATCAAGAAAATGCGCACATTGCTTTTTGCGGGGAATTCTTCGAATTGTCGTTTGATCTTCCATTTGTGGATTATTTGCCTGTCACGATACCTTTACGTTTTTGGATTCAAGGCGAAAGCGTCGATCTTTCCTTTTATTTACCTGAAGTCAATACAAGTCGTACAATTTTGTTAGCTTTGAACAAAAATGCTAAAATTATGACACGCGATGGCTCACACATATATTTATCAGAATTGAATAAAACTAAGAAATGGAGGAACGTTTGCCAGAAGGGAGCAGGCTGGGTTGACTGTTGGTCTGTACCTATTGTGGCGTTAAGTATTAATTATACATATCATCCGTGTCCACCTTTAGGACCCACTCCGCAAGCAAATATAACAACCCCGGAGAAAGAAGAGATTCTTTTATCTCCAATGAGAATTCCTCGATGTAGAAAGTCGCCTGGACTTCGGTGGACTAGAAACGGTAGTCAAAAGTTTGATCCACAGTCTATAGCTCCTGACAAAGTTAGTTTAGATCTTGAAATCGGCTCGTCTATATTGATCGTGTACGGATCGCTCTTGAAAAATTTTATACATTTAAAAGAAAATTTATTTGGCGATTATCAAACGTTTACCGATATGCAACAAAGTCGAACAAATCCGACGTCTATAAGTACGGAAAGAAGCAAAGACAAAGACGTGCAAAACAGTAGTATCGAGTCTGTAGAAGATGAGGATGCAAAATCAAAATCATTCGACCCGAGAGATTATCGACCATTGGAAGTAACGGTTGGAATCACTATGCATGATATTCAGGCTCACCTAGTAAAAAATTGCGGCGAGAATGATCCACCGTGTCCAGTTATAATTCTCGAACGATTTGGATTTGAAATGAATAAACGATATAAGGAAACGGAACTTCAATTGCTTCTCTCACCTGCAATTGCGTTAGTTACTGATAATGTTGTTCGGTCGAGCAAGGAGCGTCATTTAAATCAAGGACATTTAATGTTAAGTGCGTTGCAAGTAAGAGGACATGCAATGTTCAGTAACGAAGGAAGAAGTTTGGATCAAGAGACTTTAGAGTACGCGTGGTTAATCGAAGTACAATTAGGAAAATTGACTGGAAAGATGAGTTCTCCTCAATTACATCACCTTATCACGTCTCTAGAAACGTTCTTATTGATGGTGAAAAATAATGAAAATAGTTTACGACCACCAGATCTACCGCATCATTGCCATCATGGCATTCCTCCATTGCAATGTCCTGATAGTGACATTGATAATCACTATAGGTACACAATAACTTTTTAAGTTTATACATTGTTTTCTCAAACATTAACACGCTTGTGATATTGTTATAGATGTCCTAGTTCTGAGGATATAAAGTATAGAATGACAAGAATAGCAATAGATGCAGTTGATTTGTATTTTCAAGAGGTAGGAACTACAGTACATCTTTGGATATCTCCAATTCGTGTTTCAACGTGTAATCTTCATGGTCAACAAGTGAAATCTGGCGTAACTGGTGTACTACCCAGAATATTAATACGACAATTCGTATCAGTCGCTGATCATTTTGCAAACACAAGTAACACAAACACAACTGGTAGTGGACGATCACATAATAATGCAAGCAGTCGTATGTCTAGTACAATTACAATATCCAATAGCAAAAGCACAAAATTAAATACAATTTATTCTATTGATCTCTGATTTATTTCAGGCGATGGATCCGACATTTGGTTGGAAGTAGGATCTGTAGCTTTAGGTCCTGTTATTTTAGAAGCTGCAATTTCACTTCCGACCCCTGAACACAATTTACACCTAGTACAAAATAAATATTTAAAATTGCACGACGAGGCCACTAAACGCTTATGGTTTTTATGGCCCCAAGAGAGTGGTATAAAGCCGACAAAGTGTGGTTGTATAGGTGGATGCGCATTCTTTGGAAATAATCGAAACGGGCCGAGATTTTTTAAACCAAATTACCATGATTTTCAAGACGGTATTAATGTCGCTGCGTATAGGTAAATTGTATATAATATTTAACATTAAAACTGCGTATAAGTTTTCTAACTTACACTTGGTAAAATAAACAAGTAACTGCATACATTATTTATTTGTTTATCTTAGAATTAACGAGTCTGGAAAAGAGAAAGGATTTGGTCAGTCTATTTTACACGACGGTCAACTGGTATTTCATACTTCGCCTTATAATTTGCAAGATGTATCTTTGCAAGACCATCCAGTTAAAGGAAAGTTAACCACTACTCAAGATGGATCGCACACTTCGAAAAAGGGTGTCGAACGTCCAAGGTCTGTGACAGATCATAATAAAGATTCCGGTATTGAAGAGAATAGTAGTAAAAAATTAATTACTGCATCAGCAAGTCCATTCGCATGCAGTGGGGAAAGGAAACTGCTGGGCAGAAGATTTTCTTATACATCAATGCGGTAATCTTCGGAATAGCTTTGAACCGGCTTATTAATGATTTGAATGATTTTTTAAATACTGCATGATTGCACAAATACGTTGAAATGTATAATATGCTGATATTTACAATTTTAACTATAAAAATCCCAAGAAACATTAATCGCACTAACAAAAGTGTAAAAATTGCATATGATTTACACTGCTATTCGTCAATGTGACTTTCTAAATGTATCCCAAGTTTAAGTGGACTCTGCCTTCACACAAATTTGTTGCTTTTTGCAAGCTTTTCACGTCTTTCTTGCATAAAAAATTATTATTTGCAAACGTTTGTTTTTAATGTACTTTGCATCATGACAAAACATAACATCAATTCCAATAAAAATACGTGACAAAGTCCCTTATTTTGCAGGATTAGATACAAATTTTTTACATAGCAATTATAAAATAACTAAACAATTAATCTTTAATAAGTTATCTGAGGTTTAATAAATCTGAACAATTGATCTATTTTTGTTTGTTTGTATATTGAAAATTTATTTGTTTACTTCTTTATCTCTTCATGAGAAAAATATCAATCAATTATCACTGAAGAGGACCAAAACCTATTATGGTCGAAACAATGATTGTTTAGCTATTTTATGACGTTTATTTTCTTTTTAACAAGCAATATTTACTATTAATTTTTTATGTCTGTTATCTTAAAGGTCCTAACATCTCTATATTTTTTATTACAGTGGAAACAGTGTAAAAGATGTCCCATATTCTCGATTAGTCGATGCGAGTCCTGTTGCGCAATTACCACAAAAATTAGATTCGGATTCGAAGCTGCATACAGAGCGCAGTAAATCCATTTTAAATGTTCCTGAAATCGAGGCTGCTCCGAAAAGCAGCGTGTCTGATTCTAAATTAGCAGTGGATTATTTCAATGCATCGGATGGTGAACCGTTTGAGTCAAACAGTCCCCAATCGTTACCAATTGTATCTACAGAAACAAATTTGTCTGACTCGATGCAAACAAGTACAAAAACTATCGATGGTATTACCATCTCTGACTCTCGCCATTCGTTATACATAAAATCAGAGTCTGATGAAAAATTAAAGAAAGAGGTAGGATGATTTAGAGTCGTGTGATTTACCTTTTTGTTAAGCGTGGTCAAATATATTTGTGGACGTTATAAATTATTTTTATATTTGCAGGTTCAGCGGACGATATCTATGTCTTCGGAAAATCATTCGGAGGCTTTCTACTCTGCTGACGAAGACACGAGTCACGGATTAAGCGGAAGTCGTACGTCGAGCTTGCGCCAATCTATCGTCGGATCCGGTTCCGTATTGGCTCGAAACGATAGCATGAAAAAGAAATTCTCGTCGGACTTGTCTATCGTAGAAAGTTCAGCGAATGTAAACGCTCCTGTGTCTGAGAAAGCTCACACTTTAGAGAGAACAAAACCGCAAACGATAAGCACGAAACGAAGCCCCAGAGTGAACAGAAACACGAGTTTTCAAAATGACATCGATTCGAACGAGAACGGCGGATTACGAGATTCGTCCGACAGTCATTCCGTTTCTTCCACGAGTTTTATATCCGCCGTATCCTCGCAAGAAGATGTCACTCTTGTTAATTTGCACATGCAAGTAAATAAACCCATTGTCGATTCCCCACTATTGCTGTCGAGCTACGTTAGTCATCTAACTCAGGTAGTATAAAATTTGCGTGTATTGTATTTTTTAACCTTTCTAACTAACACGAGGTGGATGATCGATCTTAGGTACGTTGCTCGAATTGGAGTCAATCGTCGATAACAGCTGGAGGTGGTGCATTTACCACGCCGCTTTTTCAGCGTACCGAGGATGGTAGATTAGTTTACGTTGGCGGGCGATACGTGCCAAAATTTGAAACTGTCACCGAAGGTTTTACATCGTTAAAAATGATCACGCGATCCGATGGCTCGCCTGTGGCTAGTTCGTCCAATAAAACACCTACCCATCCGTATCTTTGGGACAGTGCAACTTTGAATCAAATGGAAGGTAAAATATTTGATAATTATTTAGGTATAATGAAACAAGTGACGAAATTAAAAATTGTATTATACGTAGGCGAAGAAGACCATACAGCCCATAATGAGGAAGAATTATTAACAGTACAGCATGAAAGTGGTTCACGTACAACGATTATTGTAAAATTTAAAGGAGATGTAGATATTATGCTAAGTCCTATGGTGCTAGAATCTTTGCAACGTTTCATCGATGCTATCATACCAACATTGGCCACTTTACATCCGTTAACGATCCTGAATCATCTTCATCATGAGTGTATCGGGAAAGTCGAGGATGCTAATATTTTAAAACAGGATCAGAGTTTGTCTTATTGGGGTCAAGTGCAGACTAGTTCGAAACGATCCACCGCCGAGAAAAATATTAAAAATGGTCAAGGTGACGACAAACGTTAGTTTATACGGAATGTATTCCCTTCGTATTTCTATCAACGTGCTGCTAACATTTTATTTTTTGACACCAGGTAAAATTGCACTACAAACAAACGTGTACGAAGAAAGTATTATGACTCAGATACAAGGCAGTATTATTTTACCAAAGGTAATTAATGATATAAATTAATTACATCAGTATAATTGAGTACATGTTATTATGCATTGCAGATGAACATAACTTTATTACAAGCTTCTGTCGTTGAAGAAATCATATCCTTTTCCGCGCTCGAGAATATTCGCGATTTAACGTGCGTGTCGCTGTTTGCTGTTTGCTTCGACGATGTAACAGCAAGGTTTTACATCGGAAAACAGGCTCGAGAAGTGGTGCAAACGTTTCATAAACCAGTTGTATTACCAAATCAGAAAAAAGTTAACAAAATCAGCAAGGCATTTTTACCTGGTCATCAAACAGCTGCAGTAGTTGCCGATATTGGAAGCGGCGAGACAGTATATATAGAGACTTCAGAGAAACAACAAGAAGAAATTGTAGTCACATTAAATATAGGTAAATTGTACACTGTTCCGTGTATCAATATAAGCTTCAACTATTGCTAAGGACTAACTCAACTATTTGTTGTAACAGGCAAAGCTCATTCACAGTTACGTAGACTTAGAAACGAATCTTCGATATTGAAAGATGCTGTTATAACAGCTATTCCCGCTCATTATTCTAGAGTACTATTTACATGCACCAGAATAACTTCTCCATTGAAATGCGTCGATTATTATCTGCATCAATTTATGGATGATAAAGAAAAATGTGTATGTTCTTTATTTTTTCTATTTATATGAATTACGTGAATAATGTTTAAATCATTCTACACGATATTTATTACAGAAACAAACTGGTCCCCCGCAAGCAACAGAAGAATTTACTTTGGGAAGTGGGGAGGATAGATTGGGTTTTATAATGTTTGAGTGTGGATTAGAAGGTATCAAACTAAAGGTACTGAAGAGATCTCAATTTGAAACAGGAGAGAACGGGAGCGATAATAAAAAAGTCGATGCTGAATTATTTTATACGGATAGTGTGAAAAGTCAAGAGGAATTAGACAACGCTACTGGTATATAATATCCGTAACTAAATGATTCACGACCGTTTACATATTGTCTAAGTATTGTATTTGTCGTATTAAAGCTTCTACTGCGCCTGCAGCTGAACCAGAAACAACATCAACGAATGTACCCAACGGAGCGCAAATAAATACGAGTGCCACATGTGCTAGCCTCGCTTCGAAAGCTGGGAATGGAAATACTGTCTCTTGTATTATAGAATTAAAAACAATATGGTTCAATTTTGCAGCACCACCACGCACCCCAATAACACGAAAAATTGATTATACTCGATTAGACTGGAATTTACTGAGCACAGCATCACCCGCCATTAATGCTTGGATGAATCCTAGTAATAAGTTCGCGATGCGAATCGTGCACATGTTCAGAACTATGTACAGAAGATCGACCGCCATTGTTGCTTGTCTTATGGCAGAGGCGTTGGATGTGCAGGCCATTCACATGCCTGCTAAGGTATTTAACACTTAAACTACCGGTACTTCATCTATACCCATTCCTACCATGACCGGTCAAATGACCATTCTTTCTTCTTCTCTAATTTTTTCATTATATGTATAGAAAGTTGTGTTTTGAAGTCGCATATTTTGTCTTAAATTTTGTCCAGTTTTTTTACAAAAAAAAAAAATCATTCGACCGGTCGCGGTAGGTTTAGTGTTAATATGTTTTTTTTTATATAACGAAAAATTGTGTCTTAAAAAACTGTTTATATTATTGCTATGTACTATAGAGTCGTTATGGAAGATTGACTCCATTGGCAAAAACACTACAAGAAGATCCATCGTGTCAATTATGTACAATTTTACAAAATTATGTTCTATTAAACGATCTAATAATTATCGAAGCCAATTTAAAAGAATCTGATTTACCTTTGTTGTCTACACTTCGCCAAGTAAGTTGTATTATAAACATGATATACATAAGAATTTTCATTTTTCAAACCATATCCATTTGCGTATATCTTTTATTTTTAGGGTGTCATAGTATTGAGCAGACAATGGAAAAATGTCCTTTATACACCATTGTTGTTGGAACACAATTATAAAACAAAACATGTGAAACCATTGAATGTTACTTTTGCTGTTTCAGATCCAGATGAGGTATGAATATATTCTATTTCTTATGCAAATTAAAAATTTGTATAATAAATATAAGAATAGAAATATTTTAAATGAAGCACTATGCAATTCCATGCAAAATAACAATAACTAAATTCCTTAATACTTTGAACTTTCTTATTAATTTTTTCTGATATAATTATTAACATATCTCTTTCTCTAACAATTTATATTTGGTTTGAAGTTATGTTATTTTTCTTTCATGGAAACAGTTTAAATAATATTTCATTCATTTTAATCGCATAATATTGCCATTAAAGAGGAAGTTTTTTATTTCATTCAGAAGTTCATAACACATTTTATGGGGAATATAATTCGGTAGACAATTTTTTTTTCAGCAAATAAGCAAGGAAATGCAGAAGGATGATTTCGATATAAAATGGAGTAAGAATTTTTAAAATATATGCACAGCAATAGTCCTAACACAACATCTTCAAAAGTTCTTTTCATACTTGAGTACAGAGCTTAAATATATTTTCACACTAATAAACGCACAAGCTTTATCATATAACTAAACATTAACTCTACTCTAACAACAAATACGTTAGTGCTATTATGCATATATGTCTTTGTTAATAAGGAAAGTTACTTACTCATGTTGTCATTAACATACTTTGTGACTAAAATATGGTTGTCCTACTTTGTATGTGATACAAAATGTTAATTCACACTTCATTTTGGTATAAATTGTAATTGGTGGAGGTTCTCTAATGCTTGTGCATATTTCGTACAATTTATAATATTACAAATATATGCACAAATTTTCTTATAATCTTAAGACTTCCTGTGAAATTCAAAACTTCTGAAACCAAAATCTTCCCAAAATGATATTCATCTATTTACTAATAGATTTATTTAAATCATTCGTTTACTTTATCATGTTTGATTAAAAACGTAGAAAACATTGATTTTTACTTCGTTTATTGCTATTTATGATTACATACAGAATTTTCTCTTTCACTGGTAAAGATATTGAATAAATATTTCGGGTTTGACTTATTCGTCCACAGGAAAATTTGCTGACAGATGGTGAAGGTAGTGCAGGAGAGGTTGATGATCAGGAAGTCACAGATGAATGTGCTATGTTAATTCATACGGACCACATGCATAAGCATACACATGTCAAGAGTGGACAAGAAAAAACTACAGGTACTATATGTTAAACTCAACAGAAATATTAATTACATTATCCGTGACACAATAGGTTGAAACAAAAAATACATTGGACAGTATTCCTGTACTACTGATACAATTTTATTGGATTATCCAATGTTTTATGAAACTTCAACTTAATACACCTGCAGCTTTCTAGCATCTGCTTTAAATTGTAATTTTAATAATTGCTTCATGTCCTATTCTGCATTTTCGTACAGGCACATTATAGCATGTGCCTTTAGGATTAGTGTTTGTACAAGCATTAGTATCAATATTCTATTAAAAATTTTCTTCTATGCTATATAAACATCCATTTGCTTCTACTAGTATTCTCTGATTTTGTCCTGAGTACCAGTAATAGTAAAATATTAGACCTGTATGTAGAGTTTTTTTGATTAAAAATTTTTTAATAATTATTTAATAAACTCGTAATATATTTTAAATGGTGTAATTTATTTTTTTTTGGTGTTTGAAAAATATTTGAGAGGCTGAAAAGATTCTTTAAAGGATCTTATACGCGACTCTGCATATAAGTCTTTCCAGTACTTAAATTTTGAACACACATTGAGGCTACTATCTGTAGAAATTGATATAACAGCTGCATTTTGTAAATAACATTGTACCGAATACCATTGTGACTGTAACATGCTTTCTTCAAACACACTTTGATAATATAATCTTGGGCTTTCTGAACAAAAAACATGGCTTGATATGGAATGACCAGGTATTTGTGGTGATGGTTTGACGGTTCCTGTAAGTTCTCCTCGGGGGAAAGACACAACCCCTATAACAACACCGGTTCCAGGTCCGGATTCATTAACCTCCCCCTCTCCACCAGTAGTTCATCCAAAGAAAGGAAAATCACTACAACCCACGCAAGTGCCTGCTAGTACACGAGCAAGTATTGTTTTCCCATTGCTTGCAAGTGGCGGGTTATTCAATCAAACTCGGGAACCAAATAACATAAGTAAGTGCGAGATAATCAAACTTCATAGACTATGTATTGGCAGTCTACACATTGGTATAGTATACCCGAATTGAAATCATTTCACTCCATTAAATTGAATGAAAAGGTACATATAGAATTATCTGCAGTTTAATTTATATTACATTAATGATTACTCCAGTGTGCAGACTGCTTCAACTATATCAACTATGCATAACATTGGATTTGTCTGCAGTTTGTATTGCTTCGCACTTCAATTACAGCACTACATGTTTTTGTATGTGTTGAGTACTTCCTTCTTCATACTTGTTAATTATTATTTCACCATAGCACTCATTAGGCATCTGTCTCATGTTTGTATTTCTATTTCTTCTTTAACATTGCTTTGGATTTTACTTTTTCAACTAATCTTATAATCTTTTAATCAGTTATAGTTAAAGTAAGTACAAATGAAGTTTTGCATTAGGTTATGGCACGCTACGCGAAGAAAAGACACCGCAAATTCACATTTCTCATTCTCATCAACTTGGTTCCAATCCAAGTATATATTCCGGAGGCGGGCATGGTAGTCAACATAGTACTGGAAGTTTGGATCAAGTGACTTCACCCACAAGTCATCATTCCAATAAACCTCTAAATACTGGTGAAGATTTGTACAGTTGGATGGCTAAGCAGCAAGAATTTATAAAAGACAATGAGAAAGGCAATTTGAAAGGAAATTGGGTAAGCAATAGCTTCAGTTTAAAACAAGAATCAGATAAAAATATCTGTTATACAGTGGTTACTTTTGTTGTACCTTTTATCTTAGGTCTTTCGCGCAGAGCAAAAATCTTTAAAGGTATTTGAAATGCGTTTTAGAATTTGATCTGCCGCTTCGTGCAATTACTATTTCATACTGTGCGCGTTAGGGTGTATTTCAATGCACCTTTGAATATAATGAATTCATATTTTTTTTCAGGATTCTAAAATTAACACAATGACAACAGATGACACGGAAGACTCTGATGTTCATAGTGGTACTCTTCTATATCCAATGAAAGATTCCCTCAGGCTGTTAGATGCACATTTAATTTTTGAGCCGCTTTTGTCTTCCTTATCCGTTATGCCGCAACAAATGCTATCCGCAATTGGTTCAGGAAATGTAAATAATGTGTCTTCCTTAGAATCATTAGGGTCAAATTTGTCTCTGGTAGGAAGTATGGAGACAATGCGTATTGACATAGTGGTCAGTGAATTTGGAAAACTAACAGACAAGAAGAAAGGTACAGTGACAAATGTCCAGTAAGAAATTCAATGAACAATATCGCTCTATGCATTGATATAAATTTTATTAAATATGTTAGGAAACAAATACCAAACGAAGAAAGGAAATAAATTCCATTTGGATATACCACCGGAAACTCCGGCATTTTTATGTGAGAAAATTGGTATTGATATAGATGTTAAGAAAATGGCTGATATGACAGTAGACGATATGATTCAAAAGCAAACCGTTTTGTACATATCTCGGGGCCAATTGAAAAAGCATACAAGTACAGTTGTGAATTTTAGTCTAAATATACGATACATTAGCCAACAAGTAAATATGCCTCTTCTCAGATTATTGCATCAGATTAGTAATATGTATCAGAACGTTAAAGAGACACAAATGGAGCTGAAAGAACAGCAACCAGAAAGTAAACGAAACAATAACTTAATTGTCAATGATACAGCAGTAAAAAATGGATCATCGTCAAGTAAGTATCACATGTTATACATTTTTTAAAATAACACTTACATGAATTTAATGTATTCGTATTTGATCAACAGCATCCGATTTACAAGAACAGCTTCTATTGGGTGGTAAAAAGATGGATGTCCCTTTACTTCGCAACAGTTTCGAACCCGATATATCCAAAGTTACTTCACCTGGAATGAACGTTCGATCTCGACCACAAAGCTTTGCTCAAAAACTATGCAGCACTGGGAAAAGCGTGAAAGGATATATCAACTTGAGCGAGGGGGTCATAACTCCTAATTTCGGGGCGAGTCCTAGTGGATCTGGCTTAGATAAATTTTGCGTACTTCCTGATAAACGTAAAGACACGCCGCACATGACGCCACGTTGTTGGAAAACAATTTATTATCTATTGGATCTGTATGCTACGCGACCAGAGACTAAAACTATTACTCATCGTTTCTCTATACCTGCGGATGCATCGGAACAGTATAAAAGTGGCAGAAAGTATGAATTACTAAATGAAACAAAAGATGCTGATATCGAGAAAGGATTGAACGCTGAAAATAGCTCGACACCGGTGCCGCTTCCACGAGAATTAAGTTAGTTTGGAGAAGATTGTTCATTTTGAGAGGACAAAATATCTTGATAAACAATAATTTTTTTTCAAAGTCATATCTCCGGGAAAAATTTTAATGGGAGATTCTAGGGGGCAAAATAAGACGAAAATCAAGAGTACCAATTTGTTGATTGAGCCTTCGTTAGAAAGTTATTAACGTTTGAAGTTCCGCCTGTAGAACGGCAATCTGCGAACAGCTGCGCACGCGTGACAGTGGTTGTCGTTCTACAGGCGGAACTTTAAATGTTAATAACTTTTTAACAGAGCCTCAATCAATAAATTGGTATTCTTGATTTTCGTCTTATTTTGGCCTCTAGAATCTCCCTTTAAAATTTTTCCCAGGAGGTATAATGTATCTCTAATAAATATCTTTAAATTTTAGCTAATACTTTAACAACACTATATTGCAGGTATTGTCACGGGAGAACGAACAAGATTAATTATCTTCGGTGTTGCCCGAATACATAGAACTAGACTATTAGCTACTCTCAGTGGATTAAAACTAGAGGCAGAAATAACAAGTCTTCATGCCAGTTTAACATGTCGTAAAAAGTCAAAACCCGCAAGCTTGGAATGTAGCTTAACTGGACAAATTGGTAGAACCATGATTGTTTTACTGGAAGGGGTAGCGCCTAGTCAACAAACGGTTGTAAGAGTAACTGTAGGGAAGTCACAGGCCTTATATTCTAGTATTAGTAGACGTCAAAAAGATAAGAATAGCGGTTTGTTGACCGTCGGCGCTGTGAATATAGATATTCCTCAACATCCAGTAGCTCTACATGGTATGATGACCAGAGGCAGTAAACAATTATCATCAACCTTACAAGTAAATATACGTTTCTTTTTGCGTATACCACTAGTACTAATTAAATTTGTTGCGATCTCAAATAACAATTTTTATTTAGGAACTTAGAGTAACAAGGACATCCTCGAGAATGTCCAGAGGTCAACAGCAGGATGAAGCGGATATAGCCGCACCTGGTAGTCCTCATCATTATGCACCAGCGCCATCGGTTGACTTAGAAAAACCACAAGTTGTATCTAGTCTGTTAGAACCTATTGTCATGCAGTTTAATATAATACTTCAAAGTTTGAGTATAACAGCAGCCCTGTTACCATCTTTACAAGCTCAATATAAAATGGATCAGGTCACTAGTTCCGGTATAACTGGTAGCAAAGCTAAATTTACGATAGATCTACCTCATCACACGTTGAGCTTTACGACAAAGCTTCAAGTGATTGAAGCAAATTTACCTTCAGAAGCTAGCATCGAACTTCCTAAAGTACATGTATCTGCAGAGTATATTCAAGATGGCAGTAGTAATATGAACGATAGTAAATTAGCTGGTGAGTAAGAGATCATTTTTTGTATTACGATTACAGAAGTGTTATTTTTAAATTGTCCCGTTAGCTAGTATTTTACTATACAAAAGTAACTTAAATGAATTTTGTGTAATTCACAGATGGTGTTGTGCTAAGGCAAGGCAGTTATCTTAGTGCTACGGCCGATATTGGTACCTTTGAACACTCTTTGACTACGGATCTTCTTAACCATTTAGTATTTGTACAAAAGGTATTCATGAAGGAAGTAAACGAAGTTGTACAGAAAGTTTATGGTGGGGAGAAACCTGTTCCTTTGTGGCTAGAGGATGAAGAACCCAATAATACAACTATTAAAAGAATATTATTCTCATTAATTATCCGCATCAAGGTATGATATTTTCTTATTATTCATATTTATAAAACCACGTGTTCTAAGATTTTGAACACTTTTCATTCAATATGTAGAGAATACAATTGACTGCAACAACTCCCACAAATTCGGCAGTACGATTAGAAACTGGTGCTGTTGAGCTTCAGTTATCTAACAGAGTGCAAAATGTGTTTGGCGCTACTCAGCCAAATCCGTACATGAAATTATTTGGAAAGGCACAAGTTGATATCAATTTAAGTCTTGGTCAGTTGCTGAAGAATGTCTTATTTGAAGAGGCAGAACCGGAATTCCAGCAATTCGCTTTTTTCAATACTAGAGTGGGATTACGTAATGCCTTTCGAGAAGAGATGGCACAGGGCGAAGATAAAGAAGTAGTTTTAATTACACTAAAGCGTCCTCTGATATATGTCCAACCAGTGGCTATCGACAAAGCCATTCTTGTTTGGTTAAATTACAAAAACGCGTATGAGTACTGGAACGAGAAAAGAGCCAATTTGAATAAAGAGGTTTTAACGGCTACACAGCAAGTGTTTGAAAAAGTACCGTTTGGCCAAATAACGAGTCAGCTTAGCGCTCCTCACCTAGGAACATTATTTTTGCAACTAACTGTCGACGATATGGGTATTTGTTTACCCCTCAATCCTCTACCACCTACTTGGGGCATGAACAGAGGATTGTATGATGGCGAATCACGGGATGCTGTGGTGGTAACCTTGGAAAACACAAGTATATCTGCATGTAGCAGTGGTAGCTTAGTTAGCAAAGGAAGGTATGAATGTTACTATTAAATTCACTGCATACTTAACAAGTTTCATGAGCTAAATTCAAAATGTTTTAATCATATTGTGCAGATTTATGGGTTTGTGCTTAAGATTTGCTGAAGATTTTGAAACTTCTTTGGATGATTGGAAACCTGACACAACTGATAGTAGTATCATGAATTTGTGCATAGTGTCGGAAGGTACTTATGAAGTCTGCAGTAGAACGATCGCGCAAAAACAGGACAAATCCGGTAATAACCATATAATTACACCGTGGAGAAATTTTGTAGAATATAAATAATTTATTTTAACCATTTTCAGATAACGCTAAATGGATTTTAAACGTACAGTGGCAAATGGAAGGTGTTGATATTCATTTGGATGTTAACGTGGGGCAACAATTGTCAGCACTTGGACACACGCTGACAATGTTAACTGGTTCTGAGGAAGATGATATTCATGTACCTGCGGACTATGATAGCGATGACGCGGATCAGCCAGATAATAGTACTAGCCAGGTTAAAAAAAAAGTATGGTTTAATTATCTTTATTTTATCCTATAATACTATTTCGGCCCTTTGGTTTGGTAATGTATTTCAAACCACATAATAGTTTTCAAGGCAGTTTTATAAGAATAAACTAAAATTCATTTGTTTCTTAGTGTCCTTATATTTCTTTACGTTACTTAGATATGCATACCATTGTATGTATTATTCGCTAATCGAATTTTGCTTGTAGGAGAGTATACTAATGAAGAAGTCAAAGAATTGGACAGACAGTTTACCAGCGTTCGTTTTTGATCCTACGCTCGACGCGAAAAAGAGATCGAAATTAATTGAAAAAGAAATGAACGAACAAGCGAAGATCATAAATGATCTACGGTCGCTAGGTGCCTCTCACGGGACTATAGAACAAGAAATGAAGCGTTTACACGAATTAGAAGCTATGGTATTTAAAGATTTTAGAAGGTATAAGTGTATTAAATAATTGTTAATAAATTGTAATGAAATGAAACATCGATACTGATACTTTTATATAAACTATGCAGAGATATGATTCAGAAATTAAGAAGGCAGTCGGTTAAAGCATCTGGAATAAAAGGGAAATTGGGACTTGGTGGTAAACCAAACACGTATCGATCACGTTCATTTATTGTACCATCACCGACGCTTGAAAATCAGCTTGAAAGTCCCGAAGATCTAAACATGGAAGTCAATTCAGCAAATTCTGCCAGCTACGAAAGTAGTCCTAGAAGTGGTCCAAGCCGGTAGGATATATATTTATTTCGATATGAGATGCTAATTTATAAATTTTATTTTCGAATGTGGATATTAATTTTTAGATCTGCTTCCCTTCGTGTAAGAGGACTCAGTGGACCACGAGTTACTTTCAGTGACACACATACAATGGGCAGGTACGTTCCTTGAACAATTTTAGCATTTCTTGTATTACAGATGAGTAATATTATTTTATCACGAAGGCAATCGTCCTTACCAAGCGCTGGATCAGAATTGAGTTTACCGGAAGGGGAACTAGAATGGCCAGAGACTATTGAAATAGAAGGAGAACGAGTTGAATTGAGAAAGAAGAACAGAGACATTAGTTGTACCTCAAGTTACGACAGCATGGAAGGGAAGTACGTACGAGAATTAAATACGAAATTTATATTCATAAAATACGTATCTTTTGTTACGTTATTTCCTATTATAGTGCTCCATTGCTCGACTCGTTTGGGAAAGAACAATCGTCGTCGACTTCGTCGCCGTATGTAACGCCACAGAAAACTCAAGAGCCCAATATAGACTTCGAACTCGACGTGAAAGTTCTGATTAACAGTGGCAAATGTGTGCTTCACACAAAGGATCCAGGGAAAGACGATGAGATTAAAATGTACATGTATATTGTGCTATTAAATTTTCTATCGCATTTCACGTGACGAAAATAATTATTACTATTATTGCAGTATGAGTAGAATGAAAAAAGAGCGATCGTGCTCAGGAGGCACGTTTGAATTTCAACCAAGCAGTCCTAGTAGTAGTAGAAAACATTTAAGTAGTAAAGAGAAATCGTCGACTACAAGCACGTCTCGATTGCGATATTTGCAACACACGAATGTACCCTTAGTCGATTTAACAATTTTTCATATTCCCGGTTTAGACGTGAAGGTAAAAACATTGCATTAGATAAATGATTTTTGATATTCTAGCTTCACCATCTTTTTTTTACCATATTTTTCAGGTGCACTACGAATCTAAAACGCTTCCTGAAGAATCTATGTCTCCTCGCGTGTCGTCAGAAAATAGTACGCTCAATCCTTCATCGACAACCTCGCTCAGGAAGTCCAGCACCAAGAAGGCTAGTCTATTTGCTTGGATGACGCTCCAGAGCATACCGGAGGAAACCATAATTAGTCCGCATATTCTTGAATTTTTGGAACAAACATTAGAACCGATACCAAGCAAAACGAGTTTCCACAACACTGTACATACGAACGCGGTGTTCCCGTTGGAAAATACGGAGAGCACATCCTGGGCTGCTACCGCAGCAAGTAGTAGCAATTACGTTTATGCAAGTTTCCCTGTTGACGTGATAGTATATTTTCATATGCAACCTTCTACATTCAGGTAAGTCCTTAATGATTTTCATACGTTTGCAAATATTAATTGTTACAAGAGACGTTTATTATTCCAGGTTTTCTTGTTTACCGGTTTCTCGCGTGGAATGTATGCTTCAATTGCCGTCCCTTGACATAGTGTTTTCGTCCAAGCGAGCGGAAGAAGAGCTCATAGAATTTCGAGAGTACAAATCCCCAGGTATTCAGTCCTCGGGGAAAGAAGCAAGTTCAGCGATCGGTGGATTATCCGTCACTGGATGTCTCGCTGACTTTTCCGTTTATATCTTTCACCCATATGGCGGTGGGAAAAAGACAGGCTTGAAAGAAGCACAATGGTCGCCTTTATCGGACAGCGAAAGGAAAGATTCTCTAAGCATCAACGTTGAATTTGTAAAATTCCATATGTCGAGAAGTCGAAAAATAAATTTTCATAGCGAGCTATCGAAAAAGATGTCTGATACTAGTCGCGCGGTTATACGATTTTCTAGTAAGTACCAAACAAACATACAAAAGTAACGCGTAATGTTATTTATGTATTTTATTAATATTGTTTTGAAATCTTATAGCAATTGTCGATATCGGATCCGCGTCGTTTAAATATGATATGCGTAGATTAAGTGAGATCTTGGCTTTTCCAAAAGCGTGGTACAGACGTAGCATAATGCGTCGTTTATTTCTGGGGGATTTAAGCTCAGGTACCGCATATTCTGAAGGCGATTGTAGCCCTTCCCTAAATCAAGACGAAGCAGTCATTGGCAGTTCTCTGTTAAAGCATTACGATCGACACGGTACCGATGGGCTGTCGAAAAGTGCCCCGGAACGAAGTCCAACATTGAACAGAGATAAATTGAGATTGAGTTTGGAAAGTGATATACCCAGACATGCACGTTTGAAAGGTAAAAATTTTCTTAAATTACCGGTTTCAATATCATTTTAACTGTATTATTTATCTTTGTATTAGATATCGGCAGAGGATGGAGTTTCACCTCTGATAAACAAACGTCCTCGGAAGTTAAATTAAGAGAAGCCGCGTGGGAAACACTGGTATTGTTTGCCATAAATTTCACCCGTTTAAATGTTCATATGAACATGAGTAACGTGATGGGCAATGTTACGTGGATGGCGAAAGATTTTAGGTCCGATGGAAGACTATCGATAGGTAGTACAGGGCATAAAAATCTGTATATAAGTGTCGGATTAGGAGGCTCCAGTTTAGATGCAAAGGGTGGTATTGTTGGTGGTACCATAGAATTGAGTAAAATCGATACGTTCAGTAAGTTAGCAATAATAATTTTTGTATTAAAATAGGAATATTTCACTTTAAGTAAACTACACTGCACATATACATGCTTGTAGTTCATATCAGAGAAGAACCTGGAATAGAACCTGATCACACACTGGGTTTGAGACTGTTTGCATTGGAATTGCGATTAGATTATATGGGTACGAGCGTGCTAATGTCCAGAGTGTCTTCATTGGACGTATCGTTAAAAGATGAATGGAAAATTAACCGAAGTAACAGCGGAGATGCTTTCATGCCAACAAGAAGGTTGCATTTATACATATGTTTCTGTCTTTTAGGCTTCTACTGAACAAGTTATTAACCACTTGATTAATTAATATAGGCCAGCAATAATCTTCATGCATGGAGATTTAGGGTGGGATCAGCTGCAAGTTATGATCAGTAAATCAACGACAGCTGATTTATTAAAAATGTACTATAAGTTAGATGAATTTTCCAATCAACAATTTAAAAGTAGCAAACGAGTATTTAGCTCTTTGCAACCGAAACATCAAAGAGTAAATAATAGTAGCTTCAGAAAGAGGCAGATGAAACACAGGTCTACCTGTGAAGGTAATTTTTAATACACATGCCTTTAGTATGAAGTGTAGATAATTTGAATGAAGACATGTTTCAGGCCCGTGCAACATAAATCAAACCACGATATCAGATGCCCGTCATCACAGGCATTGGCAAGGTGTATTAGCCCAAGTAGCAGGTCTTCAATTGGGGAGTTTAAGATTCTCTCTGCCATCAACGGGGACTGTACTCGGTGGAACAATGGAGCTTCACGGATGCAACATTAGTTTAGCTTGTTTCCACGGGATAAACTTTAAGAGCAAAAGTTGGGCACTGTTCTCGTTAAAGGAACCGTGTATCAGTTTTGCCACAGAAGCTCAAGAGATTCCAAGCGTTGAATGTAAGAAACGTTATTGTTTGAGAACATTTAATTCACATTCTGGTTTCACTGAAAATTATATAACCATCATATGCATATTGCAGCACCGAATACATGTGACGTCCATGTTGTGCAAACTTTGACTATTAGTTTAGGTCAACAACAGGAACAACATGCAAGGCATCATTCTATGGCTACTGTTTGTAGATTGAGTCGCAGTCTGTTATTTCCACCCCAATTTAAGTCGTTACAAGAATGGTTTCATTATGCATTTGCTAGTAGTGAAATCGATGGTATGTGATATATGTGTACTAGACATTTCTATTTTATTAGACAATTTTTTTAATTCAACGCGTTAATCAGTTTTTAAATGTATAGCTGTAGATCGGTTTCCATGCGTTGAAAGGGAACGGACAGACAGTACGTCAGATAGTGGTAACATGACTCGTGGAAGAAGTACATCTACGACTTCCGGAAAATTGCAAGAACATTCTCATGCAAGGGAAGTTATATTTGCACTACCGTCTTTGCAATTACATTTAAAAACTGAACACCTTCAAACGGCGAAAACTCCCGATGTCATTGGTAAGTAATAGTTTTTATATTACATAAATTTAACGAATATCCATATTCACGGAAGTGCACATCATACATGTTTCTTATAAATCACAATTGTGAATTATAACATACAATATACAACTACCCGTAACAAAATATTTTATGTAATCATTTCTAATCATGTAATTTATACACGAGTGTACAAGACTCAATCTTATTAAGTAGAAACTATTTCTCACTGAATTGTATATTGCAACTATTTTCTTCCTATATTTTTAGGAGCTCCTAAGCATATTTTATATAGTAAGTACAGTGTGAAAATTGATTTATTTGAAGTCTGGTAAGAAGCACTCAATTCTCATTCAATTGAATTATGATTTGTAGTATATACTAGGTTTTTGAATGTGTTACACTGGATGTAGTTTAAATTTGTTTTCTATAGTCTGTTGTATAACAAACTACTCTGCATGAAATATTCAGTAAATACTCAAAAAGTATTAAAGATTATCAAGTATTTATAGTCACTTTTATGTAATTGTACTTTTATTTATTGCACATGTTTTGTACACGTACAAACTTTTGAATCAGTAGAACAATTACTGAACCAATTCTAAGCCCCCATTTGCTTTAGATTTAAAAATAAATAAAGATAAATCCATGAGAAAAGTTACTTGAAAAGAAGAAACAGTATTAAATGAACTCAGAACCGGTCACATCAGACTCATACATTTATATTTAATTTCCAAAGTAAGCCCTCCAATTTGTGGTGAATGTAATAGACCAGTGTGTGAATGTATGAATAGTGTAATAAATTATTTCACTGTAAAAGTATCAGCATTATGCAAAACATCATTAATGTTACAATCGTATAGAGAATTCATTAGATAGAACATTTACGATATTAACACATTCTCAACATACTTCTTGTATCATACCATTCATACTATAATATAGTAATAATTGAAAAGTATTACTTATGTATTACTTTGAACGTGTTAACTCGTATTTGTAATGTAATGTTATGACTAGTACTAGGTGAAATTTTATGTGAAATATATTATACAAAAAGTGTTTGTTTCACAGGTGAAAAGCCATTAGTTGAATGTAGTTTCATAACGGAATTCGAGGACCATATCTTTGTTACGGTGGATGCAGAAGCCTTTTTCTTTTTGCACGACTTGATTACTTCATATGTGAAGGAAGAAATGGTAATTTTGACACGCCTTTTAAGAAACTAAATATCAGAAAGATTTATGTTATTAATTCTGATCTTGTTTGATCATACATTGTAGGATATGGGTGGACATAGTACCGATCTTCATGGAAGAAGAAGCGGAACTGCGTCCACGGCCAATAGCTTCGCTGCAACATCGATTACCTCTGAGGACGAAAAGAAACGGAAACAATTTGATCCGTCAGAAATGTTTATAAAAGACTGGCGATCCTACAGGTGTAAAACATGGCACTTAGAACCCACCGTAAGGTAATATTCTCGTGATCATTCCATTATGAAATTATACCGTTAAAAAAAGAAATTTTTAATATAATATAGTGTAGGAAAGTATTTGTTACAGTATCATAACTCGTAACAAGTGTCTCTAAGTGAAAAACTACCACCTAATCTTGAACTATACGAAAAATATTTACTGTTTGTATATATTCATTAATTTTTATTGTTCACGTTGAAGATTGCTCTCATGGGCCGGTAAAAGCATCGAACCATATGGCATAGACTACATCTTGCAGAAGTTAGGATTTTCTCATGCTCGTACAACGATACCAAAATGGATTCAACGAGGTTTTATGGATCCTTTGGACAAACTATTAGCCATTCTTATGTTAAGAATGGTCTCAGCCGTTCGAGAAGAATCGCCGGAAGAGCAGAAAGAGCATAAACGGGATAAATAATTATTACAACATAAAAGCGATCATTAGAGCCGTTAAAACATTGAATTCGGGCAGCAGAACAGACTCAAAAGTGAAATCGTACAATAATCGTCCAATATAATAAAGTTCTTTCAACAGGTTGGTAAGCAAGAATAATAATACACGGTACTCCAAGCTTCTTCCTAATATTGCGTAAAGTGAATGTTTGGTTAACACGAATTTACCAGTGAGGGGAGAAACCAAAGTGATCATTGTAACAGATTGTTCTCAGTGTAAGAAACGAAGAACTCGTAATCGAAGAAACTAATATTTTCAATGCATACACGTTTTAGAGGATATTTGTATGCAGTGTAATTAGGAAAAAATGCAACCTGTTATCAAGCAATTGTACATTAAATTATAGATAAAGGTTTATAATCATCAATATTCCGTTCGAACGTGTTAGATATTGCACAGAACGCCGAGGGCACATCAACGAGCGTTAGAATGTATACATATTATAGCGTTCAACGACGTTTCGTTATATTTTCATAAGGTAATATCAAGAATTTTAGTTTAAAAGCGAAAATTCGTTCTCACGATCGTTCACGATTGAATACTAAATATCACCGTGATCGATATGCATTTCGTGTATATTTAGTTCAGTATCGGAGAGGCCAGGTGAAGACTCGCACCTTTTCTCGTTTCAGGTGTGAGTCTGTACCTAATCTCCATGTTCAGTACTGATGTAGTATTCGATAACGAGTTTTCAGCTTTAGAATTTTATAAATTACATTTATGTACGTACTATGTACAGTTCTTAGCGTTTTAAGAAGTTACGCGCCTAGATAAGGAAAACACGAAATAATCGTACGCGTTAAATACGAAATACATAGAAGTTTTTCGCTTCTAGCTTGAAACTTTGCAGCTTTCTTAGCGCGTACTATTTCAAGGAGAATCCTCTTCATACCTACTGCTCACGCGATTACGCTTACATTCTCGAAGATATTTTTTTTGTAGTCGTTTTTCCTTTTTTTTTTTAACGTATTTAGGTGAATGGGTTAAATGTTTCACGTCGATCGACACCGGCCGCTATATTTTTGCTCATCCTTATGAATAATTTGCGCGAATCCTACGATACGGTAACTTATTTTTTAAAACGTCGATATACGATTTGATTCTACGATAGAAATCGGTTTTACGAATATATTAAATTATTGTTATAACGTAATGTAATATATTTTTGTGTATACATCGCGGTTCTTTACGTGTAATTTGTGTAATATACAGAGGATTTCGTAACAGGTGTGGGAATCTTTAAGGGATACCTCTACATGCCAAAATGAGACGAAAAAAAAACGACGAAATTGCCTTTGAAGCTTTGTATACGAGTTATTAATTGCTGAAAATACACGAGAAAACTAAGACTTCGTTTAATTTCTTCTTCGTTGTAGAAGTAACTTTATTATGTAAAATGTAATTCGCTTGATGATTTATTTAAAATACGTTTAATGATGTTTATATATGACGAATATATGTATATCAGAAAAACCAAAGAACTATAAAAAGTAGCCTTTATTATTCATGGTACTATTTTGTTAAAATATATAAAACTTAAATATAAAGTTTCTTGAAATCTATATGTATATGTAAGTGTATACGCATATACTAACATGCGGCTTGTTTAGACTCTTATTGCGGCTCCCGTACACTTATTCAATTTATTAAATCTAAGTATCGTGTAAATTTAACGAAGTAATACCCACAGAAATGAATGCAGAGCGTAATCACTGAATATGAACTGAATTTTAAACAGTTGATGCTTTCCCCACTGCAAACTTACAAGTTTTCTACCAGCAAGTATGTTATAGAAAAAAGTATCGACATGTATTTATATAAAAAGGAAAGAAATTCATGTATAAAAAAACGTATTTTCTCAAAAAAGATATTTTGTTGATAATCTCTTTTTACATATCTACTCAAACATAACACTGATCTACTATAGTATTTTTAATATACAAAATACTGTTCCAATATATCATTCTTGTATGTTTGATGGTAAAAAAAAACTATCATACACGCTTTTGTCATTCTTAATTTGTCTTATATTCTGGCATGTAGACTCGCTCCTTAAAAATTTTTTACACCTGCAGTCGAACATTTTTTGTATATACACATATATATACATATGCATACATATATATGTATATACATTACGTGTATATATATTCACGAATTATGCACCTATAAAATGAATAAATAAAGCTGGTACATATAGACGTAAATTGTTACTTTTAGGATATATGTATAGTTTCAATGTATACATATATTGTATTTTAAGCGGAATGTAAAAATCGATTAAATGTGAAGTAGTGGATACAAGAAGCAAAATTGATGTATCGTTGTTCAAGCGTATTTTTCATTCGTCTTAGCAGTGGCGGATCTAGACATATCGGGAGCCTGATGCTAATTACTTTTGTGCCCTTTACTTTTCTGAAGTGTTGAAGGGAAAATATATTTATCTTTCTATTAGTTGTCTTTTCGATGCATTGTCGTTGTTATAAATTTACACTGATCGATGGAACAGCTTCGACCCGAAACTGTGCCACGAGTTCAGTGAAAACACTTTACATGATGAAGTTTGGCAGACGATGTCGACTCAAGGGCGCAAAATTATAAAATCAACTGAATTGTATCTAAGAAAAATTATAAGTAGCTTTTATTCTGCATAAAGAGAACACGCTTTATAACATTGGGCTAATCAACCATTATAAGATATTAAATCAGCGAGCTATTTCTTAGGAAATATGTTAAAAATATGAAAACCGCGAACGACCGTCCTGCGACTATCAATTTCGAAAATTATAAATACAGTACCAGATAGAGAAAAATAGCACGTAAACAATTTTTCGCGTATTTGATAAAAAAATTCCGCTTTTTCATTAAACCAGGCAAATTCGCCTGGTACCGTTAACAATACTTTTACAAATATTAAGTTGTAAATAAAATTAGGGTGTCATTTACAGGAACCGCTCCATTTTTCAGAAACGTACAAACTTTTTCTTTTATGCTTCTGAATGGTAGTTGAATTAGAAAGTAAACAAATACGGTGTTCTTGGAAACCCCTTTTACGCGGGGGCCCTAAGTCGAAGCTTGTTTAGCCTCACATTAGATCCGCCCCTGCGTATTTGCGCAAAACTAAAAAAACCCACCGATACAATACATTTAAAGTACAATTTCGTCGGTTCACAGTCTTCCTGCAGCATTACTTAATTTTAAGCGCGACGTCGCGATAAAATTGGTCGTTTCTCGATAACTTGGTTGATTAGTTGATCTATTTAACGAAATACTGTGGTGGGAGTGAATCCTTAGTGGCCTTGAGCTACCAATTGGTCTTGCACTGGTTAAAATATATATATTAGTGTGCTTCTATCGTTGCAAACCGAAGCAAAGCGTTCCCCTCGCGTTGCAAAGTAGCAATTTCGGGCTTTTTATCGTTCGCTGCCGCTATGGTCGCAATAATGTGTGTTTACAATAAGAAAGACGAGAAGTTACTTTCAATTTTGTAACGCCAAACATATATACCAATATACGTGTATTGTATACTCATCGCATAGAATTTGCATCGTGATATACGTATAACTTTATATGCAAGTTCCGGCAACTGTTGTAAAATTGGGGGAATAATTGATAAATTAAAGTGTAAAAGTTTAACAATAACTTCTGCACAAGTTATATCGATTGTAAAATTCTATTAAAAACTGTTGATACTATTAACGAAGAATTAGTTCTGTTTTTTGTACGTTTCATTTCGAGAATGTTACCAAACGATTGTGTACGCTTTAATTAGATTCAGTCGTTGCCCGATGCTCTCTACGCGTTGAATATTCAAATTCGACGCGGTTTTTGTGCACTGACTTTTACCCTTTGATTTATTCCAAACATTCGACGAAACAGTAATTATTACCGGAACGCGTGTTACACGTATGTATGTATAATTTGCTCACAATTACGACTCATCTCGTGACGTTCTATTCGAAAGACTTGGTAGACCAGCCAATACAATAGTAGTGAATTTTACATTGTAATTTTAGTATTATTTACGAACACGGTGTATTTGTATAAATACTTTTTATTTATTTCTTTACTCGAACGACGAAACTTTGCATCGTATCGGGCATATAAAAGCAACCGGATCAACAGTTAATCGTTCAGTGGATCTCAAATGTTTCCGCTAATTAGCTAATTCATCCGAACGGTAGATATATACCTGTATGTATATGTGAGGTGGCACATGTCCAAGTTAGAGAAATTATATGTATAGTAATGTGCCTGAAACACGCGTTTACATATTTTCCTGCAGCATTTACGGCATAGGGCTTGATTCGTTTGGACGTAAATTTCTTTTTACTGAATTATCAACTGTTGTTCTATTTTCTATGTACATTTGTTATCGATATTTCAAGAAACAAATAAAAACTTTTAAGGCATTTCCAGTCGTTTATCATTACGCGGTGACCTATAGTTTTACCACTAATTTTGTTAACAACACACCGGGAGTTCCTCGACGAACACTTATCCAAATACTGACCATGCCCAACACTGTTTAACTTCGATTATCGAACTGGTAGTTACTACGCGCTGCAGCCGTTGTCCGTTAATCAGTTAATCAATTTATGTCGGTACAGTGTATGGTCCAGTGTTGATCATCAAGAATCGAAGTGGAAGTATACCACCCTTGCGATTCATTCATAAATAAAAGCACAGCTTCCATTGTTGTATACTAGCTGTTTGTACAATTTTATTAAACCTTCTGTGTATTCGTTGACTTTTATCCATTTTACCTTTTTGTTTGCAACAAAAAATTCCATTTTCTAGTTTATGCCACGTATGTACTTTCAATCACGTTTCAATTCGGTTTTCAATTATTCAAATTCGATTTTTGCATTTTAGCAACTTTATTTGTTATTTTTTCGTTTGTTTTATCTCGGTAGAGGAAATTTTTCAAATTTGTCGATCCCAAGGCCTCTTGCATAATATTTTACTAGTTAGTAATTTATTAATTTAGATGTCAAGTCATTAATATTATTACCTTGTAGAATATTGCGAAAGAAGCTCCCGTAGTGTAACACTTTTCTCATATGTCAATACAAGTATGAATTCTTCATTGATTTTTAATAATTCGCGTCGCTCCTTGCGTTTATACGAGGAATAGGATGGATGGAGTATTTCACCACTTATTGCAAATCTATTCTATTTACAGTGATGAGTAAAACCAGGGGCGGATCCAGAAGCATTAGTCGAGGGACGAAGAAATTTATTTATAACTTTCTAATAATATTTTTATCTTATAAAAACCTAAATAATCAAGTTTTCACTGATTACTTATTTGCACAAGTGCATACACGAAAACGTTTATAAAATGTAATAAAAAATGAGTAATTAATATATTTTTTTTTAATTTCATAACTCTAACTAAAGGAATTAATATTTATAATGTAATATTTTTTTAAACGAGTTCATAAATTTCCAATGAGCATTGACCACTTTTTAACCGATTTTGGAGTTTGTTTGAAGTTTCTGTCTCGTTGAATAATGATTTCATCTTCGGAGGGCGGCGCATTTTCTACCATTTCTGGCAAAATAGCATTGTGAAATATTTTTACGCATATGTTGATTCATAATGCCATTAATACAACGAATGGTACTTGTCACATATGTTGTACACTCTCATATTATGATGGAGTCTCTACCATATTTTAAGGTCTACCTTGCAGGCTGAGATTTGAAACTTTCACCTTCCCTTTTCCAGCACGAGGCTCTATAATTCCATGATAATTCGATTAATGTTTGTTTCATACGACCATGTTTAAAAAACATGACATAGTAGATTTTCTCGTCCGATTGCAGAGTTACATCAATTTCTATTCGTTCGACTTCAAATATAATTTCATTATGTAATTCAAATTCTAACTTTCGTTTAACGTATAAGGATTTAATAATAATGTAATGATCGTAGTTGGAACGGTGCTTCTTGTTGCAATTCGTATGGTGCTGAGTCTAAGACACTTGACAATGTTTAACGGTAGTAGTCGCGTCGCTTCAATTGCAACAAAATAATAGGTTGAATCGCATTAGACCGCGCTTCTACGCATTGTGTCGTCAGTATTCAAGTACCTGTTTAGTCATTTGCATACAAGCGTTTCCTTTGTTTCCACAGCGAACGCTGGTAATATTTGGGACGTATTCCACCGTAAGTAAACTTAATTGCTATCGTACATGCATTTGCAAAGCTTTGAAACAACTATGCATATTCCGGGAAATTGATCAGAGACGAAACGTGCACACTTTGTCTTCCACTGTAATCGGTTTACTTATTCGTAATTACGTGCCTCACAATACATTGCTGTTTCAACTTATAAAATGATTGCTCTGAATGGAAACACACTGCAATAACACATACTCAAAAGATCGAAAGAGACTTTCTTCAGCGAGAGGCCAGAATTTAAGTAAAGAGAACTGAATATTATCCTCGACATCTTTCGATTTATTATTCAGGATCAGGACTGAAATTACGATTCGGCAACATTTTATTCAATAAGATGCAGTAAACTTTAATAACAATTTTAATGACGTTAAATTAATTTACAACGGTGTAACCGTTCTAAAATAAATCGATTTACACGATAATCGCTGATCCGGGCATGTTCTACGGTCAATAAACATTATCTGCGGTCGATGCAACGTCGAATTTATGCAGAAATATTGCCTGCAACGGTACTTACGGGAAGATACGATATTTAAGGGGGAATAAAAATTGAGCAATAATGATTTCCAATCGTCGAAACACGGACAGGCGACGCGTAACTGGTTTGCAACACCGGTTAATTAATGCTCGCGTCGATGATATTAATTCTTGCGTGCACATCGAACGCGATCGCTTAACTCGAGACGCTTTTCGTCCGGTTCTCGAACGCACGACATCGTCGAAAGTCGGTGTTAATTTAACGAAGGTAAAGTGTTCATGCATCCTGTGCGCGAGATATGCACGCATGAGAGGCTTTACTCTGCGTTTCGGTGGAAAGACTTCCGGTGAAAGAAATTAAGGCCAGCCGTCTCTATTTAGGATTTATGATGGACGCCTGTTACATATCCCCCGAGCAATCTGCACGAATGATCGATTCGGATACACGATGGTATCCGTGGTTATTAAGCAACTCGTTCAAAACGGACTTAATTTGAAAATTCCTTGCACGATAACGAGAAATTACGAAACAATAAACAGAGTGTATTGCGAAATTACCGAAACTGCTAGTTTGCTATAATCTACCGTTCGAAATTCTCTATTTGATAAAAAATGTATTATTCAGGTACTTGAGAAATATTCAAAATCTGTGAATAAAATTTAAAAATCTAAGAATCTTATTTAAATACTTGAATTGGATATAGATATGTGTACACATTTGTTTCCATTCTCTGTTGTAATTTTGGTATTCCAGATACGCTGCACTTGTTTAATATGAATACAAAATTAGAGTAAAAAATAGGAACAAATAAAGCTGCATGATGTAAAATATGGGGACCAATAAATTTCTATATTTTACTCTCAGTGATAACGAGAAGAATATCTGAAACTTTGGGGTGATTGATAAATGGCACAAAGCAACGATTATGTCACCCTGGCAAGTAATTTGGAATAATGGTATTTTAATTTGTCTACGTTCAAGCAGATAATCAAATTATTTTCTCTCGTGATCTAATCAGACATGAAAATTACAGCATAGAAACAAGCACCTTAGATAAATATCAGTTCTAAGTCTCAGTTTACTTGCAATAGTCACAGGTGTAATTTCCGGAGTCATATTCAGCACATTCACAATGTACCCATATTTCACACATGAAACACTACATCCATTCTTCTCCCCTTTTGTCTTCCATGTGATTCGCATTAGAAAAGCATTGCTACACTTTAGTAATATTCTGAATTATTCTAAAATACCTTTCTGCAAACCTTAGCAACACTGATTGAGAAACCTCCTTGCTTTAGTAGCTGATCATAACTTGTATAGAAATCAGTGTTTAATAAAATTTAATTTATAGTTCAATATGTGCATTTTTAGGTAATTATATTTGCGGAGAAACGTTTATGTAATTGCATTGCTTAGGATCACATGGGTTCGGAAACCGGTTGAACAGAATAGAATAACGTTTAGACAAACGGAATATTAGATTTTCATTTTACGCATGACATTTAAATTAATACAGAGAATTGTCCTGTGCCTAAGCTGTTGGCGTTCGATCTCGACCGATATGAAGTATGACATTATCCTTTAATCGTAATTATTTATAACGATACTAAAGAGCAGTGCAGCCCATTCGGTTGAAATGTGAACAACCGTGTCAAGGTGGTCCCAGAGTTAGTAGAACGCACTCTTATGGATAATCGTTCTTCGCCATTCTCTTAGCGCGATGGACAACCGCAAAAAGGTTGTCTCGAGTTTCTCGTAACGAGCCCATTTATTTTACTGTGATTTCAATGTTTGAACTCTGCAGATTTTTATTGCGATCTGTAGCACAGATCAAACAGCACGGCAAATAATATATATGTATATATTCCCGTAGCACGGAAATGAATTTATCAAACTAAAACGTTTCTGTTGACTTTACTGTAGTAATAACTTTTTCACGAGAATTATTATATCTCGATG